GTTACTCCTTGCAGAGTCCATCTGTTTCAAAAGAGTTACTAGGTGACTGAGCCTAAGTCAATTGGACTATTGTTTTGAATTTGCAGTACCCATGGAATGACAACGAAATGTATTTATTCAAGGCAACAATTGCCTATGCCATGAGGAAGTACTACAAAAATGAAAGCATAGCATTTCAGTAAGTTACTTTTTTTTCCATTTAGCTTTGCTGTGGGCAATTGCTACGCAGCACCTGAGAGAGTTCCAGATTCCCCCCCCCCCACAACAATATCACAACCAGTTTTCAAAATAGGAAAATGCACATACTTCAGTGCCCTGGGAACATTCAGAATTTACCTAAAAGGGTTAGGTGCCCCTCTGGTACTGCATTATACTTTTTACAGAAGCCAAGAGGAAGCAAATTCTGCGAACTTTTTAGTGTTCTTGTCAGGGCTGTCTTAAGCATATGTGGCGCCAGGGTGCAAAGATCCACCCGTTGCACCTCCCCCGGTTGCCCAGTCCCAGGCGCGCAGGAGGGTGGAGCCGGCCGGCCACCTCAGTGTCTCGCTGGCTTGGTCGCCCCCGAACTCACGGCGCAGAGCTGCCCACAGCAGAAGAACCAGCTGCAGTGCTCTGACCGACAGGCGGGCTCTTCCCCAGACTCAACTCTCGGGCCCCAGACTCTCAGCCTGGCGCCCGGGTGCCCTGCACCCCTAGCGTCTATGGGTAAGACGGCCCTGGTTCTTGTGCTAGTGGAAAACAGAAGGCCCATAGCTTAGTGGTAGAACACATGCTTTGCATGTAAAAAGCCTCTGACATTTGCAGGTAGAGCAGACATAGATTTCTGTCTGAGATATTGGAATGTCAAAGTCACTGTAGACCAGGTGGAGCTAACCACCCTCTTGCAAGTTTTTATCTCCTGCCCCAAGACTCCACTGATTTTGATGTCAGCAAAAAAAAAAAAGGGGGGGGGATAAAGCAGATACAGCCCAAATGAGACTCTCTTTCCAGTCATTAGATCAATCATTTGATGAGGGGTGATAATAACCCCCTCTTCTATGCTGATTTGCAGGGATCAGCAGAAGAGGGAAGCTATGTGCCTGTGTGAGAATGTAGAGTATCAACAGGCACCACTGGGCTGTGGTCTCCAAAGGGCTGGGAAGAGATGAGTGCGGCCCTCAGGCTGGAAAAGGTTAGCCACCCCTGAGCCAGATGAAACAATGGTCTAACGTGGTATAAGGCAGCTGTGAGCCTAGGAGACCACCATCACACTTAACTGTACATTGATTTTTGCTGGGGGAAGACCCTTAAAATGGTATATCAATACATTGTGCACATTAAAAAAACCCACACCAATTGAACTGCATAGATTTTGTAAAACGTTTTGCCACATGCAATGAGAGTTTTAAACCAGCGACTTTGGTCTTGCTAAGAACTCGTAGCCGTATAAAATGTGACTTAAGTTGGACACTTCTCAGGTGAAAGATGTATGTTTGGGTTGATGGCTAATTGAATAATTTGCCTAAGTTACCTGTGTATATGAAACCATTAGGTAATCTATGTGTACAGTCAATATATTCCATGACAAATATGGAGATCTCTAGGACAGCATATTCAGAAATATCTGCATGGTTTTTTCAAGCTTGTAATTCTTGTAGTGAAGACATTTTTCTCCCCATCAGATCAACGAATGTCCATGTAGGTGACGTGACGCCACGAATCTCCTTCGTTTTTACTGTCAGCATGCCCAATAATGGCACTAATGTCACAGACTTTGTTCCCAGATCTCAAGTGGAAGCCGCAATCAGGTGAAATTTTTGCATTGCAAGGAATTAGCTTGCAAGTGAAATGGAAGAAGCGAGAGTGTAGAAGCTGGAATATTGGGGATATTTGGGTGGGGGGAGGACTTGCAATAAATGCCTGGCTTCAATCCTACACTCACTTATCTGGGAATAAGTCCCACTGAACTCAGTAAGGCTTACTTCTATACTGTTAAATAAACCCAGTAGAAATAAGTGTAAGCAAACATGGTTTGTCAATTTCCCATGAATTCAGTAGAAATGACAAACCATAGTTAATACAAATTCAGCTTTTAAATCAGCTTCCACCTGCAATTTCAAATACTGGATTGGCAGGCACCCTTGGATTAAAACATAATGTCAGACCATGATTTAACTAAATAAACCAGTTGAAAGTGGGGAAATTGCAGTCAACTTTGCAGTCAATTGCAGAAAACCAAGAGAAAATAGTGAAGAGGATAAGAACGACACTAGAAATATGTAAACATTTAAGCCATTTTTTTCACCTTTCCATTTTTCTTCCTTTTACATGTTGCATGCTTTCTCACATCAGACCAGCTTCACATTTTAGTAGAGAGACAGGAAATATTTTTTAAGGTGAATCCTTGTTTACACTGTAATTAGATTCCCACCCACCCCGTTTTTTGGCAGATTGTCTCGAGGACGCATCAATGAAGCTTTCCAACTGGATGACCAAACTCTGGAATTTGTTGGTATTCCTCCAACATTGGCGACACCTTACGAACCCCCAGTCACCATATGGCTTATAATTTTTGGAGTCATCATGGGTCTTGTAGTGGTTGGAGTTATCACCTTGATCATCACAGGGCAGAGGGACCGAAGAAAGTAAGTGATGTTTCAGAGGCAGTGCACCTCTCTTATACCATACAAAATAACTCTGTTCTGCACCTCTCTGTTGTGTGCCCTCTAGATGTTATTTACCATCAACTCCCATCATTCATGATAACTGGCTATACAGTGGTACCTCAGGTTAACTACTTAATTTGTTCCGGAGGTCCGTACTTAACCTGAAACTGTTCTTAACCTGAAGCACCACTTTAGCTAATGGGACCTCCTGCTGCTGCCGCACCGCTGGAGCACAATTTCTGTTCTCATCCTGAAGCAAAGTTCTTAACCTGAAGCACTATTTCTGGATTAGCGGAGTCTGTAACCTGAAGCGTATGTAACCTGAGGTACCACTGTACTGGCAAAGGCGAATGGGAGTTGAGTCTACAGTATTTACAGTGTACTACATTGGCCATCCCTAATGTAAGAGATGGGAAAATATAAGGGAACCAAGTTTTGACCTGAATCTGCAAACTGAAAATTCTATTGTTTTCAGTCCCTGTTAGTGAATTGAATCAGCCTGTAGAACGTAGGTGTTTGTCAGAATATATATACAGCTCATATTAAGTATAACATTGCTTTTTCTCTAGTAAAAGTTTCCCCTTTGTTGTGTGTGCACATGTTCACGGCTTTTATAGTTGAAACTCAAAAATAATTTTTCTTAATTCGCAGAAGAGCAGCAGAAAGCCAGTTAGTCCAAACGGCAGCAGTCAATCCGTATGAAGAAGTTGGAAAAGACAATTACGCATTTGGATCTGAAACAGCATTCTAAGAAGGAAACCAGGAAAGCTAATATATGTCTTATTTATCACTGTGTGTCAATGCCAGCAATACAACACATGGAACTGTATTGCTTCGGATTGTGTTTTAAAAATATAAAGGCTCTGTGTATGCAGAGGCAGATGGACAGAGCACATCTAAGCACCTAGTGCAGAACTGATTGCTGGTGCTCACATTTAGGCAGACCAATCACCCGTTTTCAGCAGAGAAGGCATGAACCAGAGACCTACCCTTCTAGGCCCAATGGACAAATGAGCTACTCAGCCCCTCCAACAAGTAACAGGTACCCTCAACACTTATAATACCAACCATCTCTTCAGCATTGTACATGTGGCTCTTGCTCCAGGATATCTGAGTGCGACATCCTTAAATCCAGTCCTAGAAACCTAGAAGGGCAGGAGTCTTGATCAAGGCAAAATAGCCACACACATAAGTTATCAGGGCCCAGCTATGGGAGACAGTCAATCTGTAATTAGATGTCTTGTCTCTTCAGGTGTTTGCAAAAATAACAGCGCATGCCCTTTCCCCTGATAATAATCTCCCTGCCCCTCACTGGGAGTGGCCATTTGCCCCAGGAAGAAACCCTTATGGGCATGGTTGCAAACAGTGGGAAACATCTTGAAATATTGCTGAGAACCTGCCATTCATTTAGGTGCATTTATGTCTCCATTCTAAACTCTTGTTTTCAACAGTCTTCCCTGAGTTTTTATCCAAACCAAATGCTGATGTAGTGGATGTTGGCATAAGACAGTCAACCGGGTAGCAAGCTTGAAACGCCTTTTGTTTTTATAAAAGCCATTGGAGCCAGTTATGTGTTAACCTTGAAGCACTTATTTTTATTTTAAATCCAATTGTAAGAACTGTTTTCCCTTTTTTCTAATATCCACAGCTGCAGAGATTTGGTTTTAGCTTCACTAGAGACACGGGTATGAAAAAGTCCAAAAGAACACCAGTAAAGATTTTTCTAAGATTATCTCGCATCTTGGGTAACCACTGCAAAACTGTATAGATCAGGAGTAATAGATTCATGATACAATAGTCTGATTGTTGTGCACAAGCGGATGTTTCTAACTAAATGTTACTGCTATTTAGAGATGGGAAGGCCTGGAAAAATACCCGGGGGGAAACCAGGTTTTCCCACATTTTTCCCCAAAGCCGTTTACCCCCTGGAAAAATTGAAAAAAAAAAAAGTGTGTAGAATATCCAAACTATATCAAACTATTATTTTCAATTTTTCTGGGAAAAAACTGGTTTTGGGGGAAAACGGGGGGGGGGGGGGGACTCGGGACTGTTGTTGTTTTTTCAATTTTTCCAGTTTTTTTCCAGGCCTTCCCAGCTCTACTGCTATATGCAAACTGCATTCTACTACAGATCCTCAGCAGCCTTTAGAACTGATAACAAAGCTGTAATCTGAAGAAGAAAAACAACCCATGAATATTTAAATAAAAATTCAATATGTGTTTCTCATGCCATTTCTTTTATTCATCTTTTAGCCGTTTCACTGGTTTAATAAATCATTGGGGTAAGAGTTTCCAAACCAGATTTTAGAGATGGCATTAGCGCAAGGGCTCACAAAAGAAAAGGCTGGACAATCCTTCAGTGCTTGTCATCTTCTCTGTGTGGTTCAATGAGAGAAAGCAGATGGCAAAATGTGGGACGTTTTTCAGGCAGCTGTATGAAAAGGAGAAACCAACCAACTCAGCGCCTGCCATTGATTGGTGGCCATTATTATTATTATTATTAACGTGATTAACAAATACAAAACACACAAAATCAACATGTAACAATAATTAAAACCAACATACAATAAAACACAGTACAGCAAGCAGAAGAAATTGGACTAAAAGATCTCCTCTAGCTGTGTAACCAAGCCATGGACATAACTGGGGCACCACCATCACCGAGAAGGCCTTGCCTTATATCACCACCCCATGAGTCACACCCACTGGGGGACCAAAAGGAGCTCCTCCACCCATCGCAAGGCCTTGGCTAGTAGGAACCTTAATATGTGGGGTACATTCCGTGCCACAGCATGAAGAACTTTGGAAGGTCATCTACATTTCATTTATTGTTTCGCCTTTGGAAACTTTTGTCAAACGAGCTCCTGTTTGAGCATGTGATGTTCCTTGCTCATCCTCATAGCATTGGTCTATCTAGCCCAGTATTGTGTACTCTGACTAAGAATGGGTCTCCAGGGTCTTAGGCAGAGGTCTTCCCAATCCAAAAGCTTGAGAGCCTTCATCTAAGAGGGTATCGGGGATGAAACCTGGGTTGTTTTACATGCCTTCTGAACCTGAACAATCTCCAATGCCCACCACAAATGCGACCAGTCTGAACAGTACCTACGGTAAATACAGGTGCCATAATAATAAAACATGGAGTGTATTTTTGGATCAGTACCTATAAATAGTGCCTATGGCAGTACCACACACTCAAACTTTTGGAGCGGTGTTAAAACTTTTTTTAATAAATGGGGTCAGATGTGAAATGAAGGGTACACAGCTACTGATGCACTTAAGAATAAGGTTGACTAAATCAAAAGAGGTACACAAACACATTTTTTTTTGTAGGCATGCTAGGCTACAAAAACAGGACTACAGCTTTATTTTTCTACATCACAGGCTTCCTGTTTAAAAAGTCAAAGTAGCGTGTGTGTGTGTGTCCTTTCCAGGGAAGGTAATGCTTCTCTTATTAATTTAAGCAAATCCTTTGACAAAATAATGCTTTTATGAAAACCATAATTGTTCAAGATTCCCTTCAGTTCTGATGTGTTGTCATTTAAAGTCAGGCACCTTAGTCCAAACCACTGGACACACCTGGGACTCCTACACACTTAGTCTTCTCACTGCAATGGAGTGACAAGTTCTGTGCTTGTGCGGAGTTTGTCCTCTCCTATTAAAATAATAAGTGAGCCTTTACTGACAAGAGAAGGTCCAGGCACAACCAGAGGCCTACAGCTGCAAAAGACAGCAATAGCGGGGGGGGGGGGGGGGCTAAAATCACTTTTCTTTTTCAGCCTCTCGTGAACTAGGACACATACCTCATTCCAGCAGCTGTACATTATTTGATAAATTGCCTGGGAAGCCAACTGCGGGCGATAAAGCCGATAGCCAAGACAAACCTTTTCAATCACTTGCATATTGTCATACTGCTCATAGGGTTGTTTCCCCAGAGTGAACACCTCCCACATTAAAATTCCTGTAGACATGTCCACAGAGTGGAGGAAAACAAGGTATTATAACGGTACATAAAACCCAGAAGGACATTACAAAATAAAAAAAGGTTGCTTCCGGGCAATCTGTTTATTGAGCATTCATGCGGATTTGTTGGCACTAAGTTTGCAGGCAGGTTAGGAGGACGTCTGCTGTTTGTTGAGGTTCCATTCCGATTTGTTTGCAGGGATGTTAGATGATGAGGCATCAAGCAGTCATCATCTCCCACTTTTCACTGTGTTTCCCCCATCGCTTTCCTCATTGCAGAATGTCGTATTTTGGTTACACAAGACCATTCAATCAATTTCAATTGTGCAACATGAATTTGCAAGGTGTGAGAATGAATCCCACCCCCAAATAGCAACAGCCTGGAAGCATCCTTATTTGTGTGACAGTTATTTCTTGATATAGGAGCATCATATTCTGCATAAGATGCCCATTATTTATTTCATTCCATTCATGAATCGTTTCTCATAAAATATCCCAAAGCTATTTCACAGTAAAAACATGATGAAAGACCAGCTGTATACTGAATTGCCTCTGCTGTTTAAAAACCCACAGCCTCTCTCGCTAATTTAAGTGTTTATAACTTGTTCTTGTTCCGTCATGCATTTTTTGTGCTACCAAGCTACTTCTCTTTGACTTCACAGCTACCTTTTTCTTTTCTTGAAAGTGCACTTGAAATATCCACAAGCCAAAAAGGGAGCATGTCAACCTCTGTGTGAACTGCTGGCAGGATGTGGAAAGGTGTGGCACAGTACAAATCGGCAACTGATAAACAGCATCATTGTACTAGTTGCTGCCACTCCTGAGAGGTATCCTTTCCTCTGCTTTTTATTTAGTGCTGCTATGGCTCGGCAGAAGTGGTATCTAGATTTGATCATCTATCTGACTGCATATTTTTAAAAGACTGCTGTATTTCCAAAAGTGTGTTAACGCCCACGTTTTAATTGCTTTGTGACACTGAGCTATTTAATTAGGAAATAAAGCCAAGCTGGAGAGAAAAAGAAAGAGAACAAAGAGCTGTCCATGCATTTGGAAATATATTTCCTATATGGCAAAGAAAGTCCATGCAATACAGACCTTCACAATCTGGGCGTAATCCAACAGGGATGTGGCCTGCACAAGTCCTATTGGTTTCACTAGACGAATTCCTTAGGGTGCATTATATCATCACTCTGTGCCTGATCAGTCACAGGTCCATTTATTTAGATAAACGACATCTAAGGGCTTTTCTTCACTTCACATGTAGCATTTTCAATAGTTGCATTACATACTCACCAAAGGCCCACACATCCGATTTGCTGCTGAACTTGGTATAATGAAAAACCTCTGGTGCTGACCACTTCACAGGAAATTTAGTTCCTAAAGAACTCACATACTGGTCATCAAGCACATATCTATAAGGCAAGATTCACTTTTTAGGATTCACGGAGCAAAATGAAGGATCTATCCGAGTGACGCCTCAGTTGAACCTACTCTGCTGAGATGTCTGCCAAAAACAACCAGATGGTTGTACCCAATGACAGGCCTATAACTAACCCATAACTAACTTAGATCCATTCATGTCAATAGGTTCACTCTGAGTAAAACTGAGCTGGCTACAACCCAGTAATACAAATATCAAAATATTGGTTATCAAATCACCCATCTATCCATTTTTTGTAGAAGCTGGTTTGGACATGGAATGCGAAAAGAAAATTCACAACAACCTTCTGGCAAATGTAAAGTATGTTTCTTATAAACAATATCAATATGAAAACTTCCCAAGATCCTTAGATAACCACTAGCTTGAGGCTAGTTTAGGGATGGACAAATTCCCCCCCCCCCCCCCGCCGCCTTGCCCCCCAATAATTTACAGCTCACTATGAAGCAGAGATGTTTCTATTTTTAAAAAACCCATCTCAAAATAGTATTTAAAAATGTATTAATATTTTAAGAAGATTCAATCCATATTTGATACATAAGCCAGGAGTGGGATGAGGATTGCCAAAACATTTTTCAGGCAATCTCTGTATGAAGACAGAAAAAAAAAGCCAACAACCCTGAGGGGGTTGTGCACTAAACACTCCCTTACTTCAAGAAGCAGTGGAGAAAGCAGCTTCTTTTAAAACAAATCAACAACCTCAAAACCTTGATTTAGCTGCTGTCTGTGATGCTGGTAGCAGTAACGAAACTCTGATCTTAGCTGCCCGGCCATGAGTTTCTTAACCCAGGATAACTTGACTGCAGTTTAGTTCCAGATTATTTGAGAAGGAAAATGTGGTGCCTTTTAGGTTATCATGAGAGCTGCCATTTTTGAATGTCTCGTTAATGTGTGTGTGTGTGTGTGTTTTTAATCAGCATTATAATATTTTCCCCCACTGAAGCTAAAGATTGAGACTTACCTTGTCATTCCAAAGTCAGACACCTTCACTGTAAGATCAGTATCAACCAGGCAATTTCTAGCAGCCTTTGCAGAGAGCACAAGAAACAAAATCAGCTTAGAAACAGATGTGATGCTGATCAGTGCTGTGAATCTCCTAAATCACCCCCCCGCCCCCCAAACAACCACAGGTTGTTATAAAACAAAAAAATCCACACCCATTCCAAGTTCTGCTTTCCAAGAACTTACCAAATCACGGTGTATGAACTGATGTTCCTCAAGGAAAGCCATTGCTTCACAAACATGGTAGCACATCTCCATCAGTTGAAAGCGATGCAGCCCTTTGCCATGGGCTTTTAAGTAACTAAGCAAGCAGCCATTAGCCATGTATTCAGCCACTATGTAGATGGGATAGGTCTTTGTGCAAACACCATACAATTTAACAAGTTTGGGGTGATTCAGTTTCCTAAAACGAAGTACTGGATTTTAACACTTATATAAACATACACAGGGCACTTGCATGCACCTCCAAAAACCCATGCAATTATTGTCTATTCTCAGTCCCACCCCCCCCAGAAGCTACATAAAGACATAATAATTAATAACACAGTGTAACGGCTGAGCGATACTAGTTGGATCAAAAATATAGTCAAGGAAGGCTTGACATGGCTAGTGCTTCAATAGGGATTGCAGTGCAAATATAAAACCCATATTGGCCAGAACATCCATTCATATGCATCACAAATGTTTTCATCTAAAGGAACACTAATCAAACAATATTGTAAATAACTGACAAAAATGCTTCTTCATATTAAAGGCATTGATAGGGCAGACAAAACCTATGGTTATCTTAGTTATGTAAAGCGACCCCTGACCGTTAGGTCCAGTTGCGGACGACTCTGGGGTTGCAGCGCTCATCTCACCTTATTGGCCGAGGGAGCCGGCGTGCAGCTTCCGGGTCATGTGGCCAGCATGACTAAGCCGCTTCTGGCGAACCAGAGCAGCGCACGGGAATGCTGTTTACCTTCCCACCGGAGTGGTACCTATTTATCTACTTGCACTTTGAGGTGCTTTCGAACTGCTAGGTTGGCAGGAGCAGGGACCGAGCAACGGGAGCTCACCCCATCGCAGCGATTCGAACTGCCGACCTTCTGATCAGCAAGCCCTAGGCTCTGTGGTTTAGACCACAGCAAATCATATAATTTTAGAGTTGGAAGGGCCAAGAAGGTGATCTAATCCAATGCCCTGTAATGCAGTAATGTTTTGCGTAACATGGGACTCGAACCCACAACCCTGAGATTAAGAGTCTCATGTTTTGCTGACTGAGCTGAAGCTGAAATTATTGCATGAACGATACGGATGCTATGTCTACAGTTGTCAAAAAGTTTAAACAATACCCTTTGGAATATTTAACAGAGGCAATTAAAAATTAGGGAAATGGTGCTTAAACCCTTCACTCTGCCCCCGAGAGCTGCATATAGCCTGTCCCTTTCGTTTATTGAATTATTGCAAATGTTTTTATATCACCGTTCAACAAAGGTTCCCAGGGTAGTTTACATAAAAGGAAGTGGAGGAAAAATCTTAAAATACAGAAGACAAAAACTAAAAGGCTTCAAGATCTCAAAAGCCAAATCAATACAATAAGTAGGGCTCACATTAAGGCTGAAAGGCTTGGAAGAACAGGGCGCTCTTTGCCTGGTGCCAAAATGACAACAAAATAGGTAGAATTCTGTGGAGAGAACAGGTGCCACCACTGGGAAGGCCCTCACTGTGGCTGCCACCTCCATTGCTTCAGACAGGGCTGATACTGACTGTCAGAATGATCTCTATTGCAGTTCCTAATGTACAGGTAGGCACATATGGACTTAGTGTCACTTAGGGAAAACCCTTGCTTACATCATGGTTTCAGCTTCTTCCAAGAATTCATCTTCAGACATTGACCCTTCCTTGATCATTTTAACAGCAACGTATTTCTTTTTCCACTTTCCCACCTGCACCACTCCAAACTGACCACTCCCTATTTCCTTCAGCAAGACAATATCTTCACGCTTTAGCTCCCAGGGGCCTAAGTTTGATAGAAAGAGTTGTTATATTAGATCATATATATGTTGTTGTTTTTTGGTGTGGGGGGTTTTTGCTGTTGGAGAAGGGTTTCCTGGAAAAACTATTACTAATTTCCTACCACAGTCAAAAAAGGCTTTCCCCTACCTTTTCCCAAAGGTGCTGTGGATGGAACTTTGTTTGCTTTCGTGGACACTGCATGTCGAAGTCTTGTAACTATACCTAGAAATTAAGTTCACCAAATATGGTAAATTTGCTGAGAAGGGAACCTGTATCTTAAGACCTGCATGAGAGGCACTGCTGAACGTCCCATCTATAATCATGGCACACTCCATGGCAACTCATGACAGGGTCTTCTCAGTTATGAGACCCTGGATATGGAAATATGTCTGTCCTCTTTGTTGATGTCTTCTCAACTTCTCTTAAAGAGGTGTCCATTTTGTAGCTCAGTGGTAGACAGCATCTGCTTTGAATGTAGAATGTCCCAGGTTCAACCACTGGCATTTCTAAGTAGGGCTGGACTCCCAACTTCATCGTCCCTGACCACTGGCGGTGCTGACTGGGACTAGTTGGAGCTGAGGTCCAGTAATCTCTGGTAGGCCACAGATTCCTGATCCCTGATTTATGGGAATAAACATGACCTACTTCCAAGGGGGAAAAAATATTTACTGTGACTAAAATATGCAGATAATTGGAGAAATCGAAAGCTGTTGTCAAATATAGTTAATGTTCTTTGTCTACTTTTGCCTGGATCTGTAATAGTTATTATCATTTATAGATATAAAGGTAAAGGACCCCTGGACGGTTAAGTCCAGTCAAAGGCGACTATGGGGTTGCGGTGCTCATCTCGCTCTTCAGACCAAGGGAGCTGGCGTTTGTCCACAGACAGCTTTCCGGGTCATGTGGCCAGCATGACTAACTGCTTCTGGTGCAACGGAACACCGTGACAGAAGCCAGAGCGCACGGAAACGCCATTTACCTTTGAGCCACAGCAGTACCTATTTATCTACTCACACTGTTATGCTTTCGAACTGCTAGATTAGCAGAAGCTGGGACAGAGCAATGGGAGCTCACACTGTCATGGGGATTCGAACTGCCGACCTTCTGATCAGCAAGCCCAAGAGGCTCAGTGGTTTAGATCACAGCGCCATCCGCTCCCCTTATCATTTACACAGCACTTGAAGATGTTGGATCTTTCCATAATAAAAGAAAACAAATAAATAATTAACAATTTGCTGTCCTTTCTTGAAATTCAACATCAGCTGCCAGGAAGCAGCAACTGCACTGCCCAATGATAGGACCAGCAATGGTAAGCCTTAGTAGAATCTTCTCAGGCCGAAATTCTATGCCCAGTTTGCCTTGGAGTGAGCCTCACTGAACATAATGGGACTTACCTCTGAGTAAACATGTTTAGGCACTGCCAGTATTGCCATTAGGAAACTGAGGCTAAGAGAGAGCAGTTTGTTTATAAGTCTATCTAGCTAGTCAGAGAATGAAGTAAGATGAAGATTGGGAATTCCCAGCCCACACACTTAGACTACAATCACAAATACACCTAGCAGGGAGTAAGACCCATTGAACACAATGGAACTTACTACAGAGTAGACATGTGTAGGATTGTACTAAAAGCAAACACACACAATAGGGAAATTGACATTCATGAACACAATGCAAATCATGAAATGATAAAGTGATTTACCTGCTGAATTGTGCTGATGATAACGAATAAGCTCAGGAACTGAATCAAAACAGTAATTCTCAGCCAGGTAAAACTGTTTTTTGTTGTTTACATTGACATGGTAGTGTTTAACGATTCCTTTTTTATCTCTGGAAAAAATGAAGACAAACCATTCCAGCTAGCATAAGGAAAAGGAGAGGAATCTCTTAGAAGGAGGAGTTTTTCAAAGCCCACTTGGGGGGGGGGCATAACATTATTGAGGACCACCAGTCACAAAGTGGTTTTAGACAGAGATGGAGCTAGACATAATCACCTGGCTATTAAAGACATCATTCACTACTGATAACTAATCCCTTTGGTAACAGCTAAATTATTTGCTACAGCAATTCCCTTGTGGCAGAGTTCTATACAGTAGTTTAGCTTTCCTCAAGTTAAGTCTAGACATTGGTTCTGGAGGTATCATGACCTGGGCTGAATCTAGACATATATAAAAAAACACTGTGAGAATGCTTTTTTTAAAATTGAATTTCCCATTAGCTCACCATCGCCATCTAGTGTCACATTTGTATAATACACTTAAAACACACTTTAAATGTTCTATTTGCAGCTGTATAGCTGAGTCTTCAGCCTCTCTCTTTTTTTAGCAGAATTTACTGATCCAAAGGCTCTAAGTAGAGAGCGCAATCTGTTTTATATTTCCCCCTTCCTTCTGTCTCCAAGTGTTTCTGCTCATCTCCTGTAATTTCTTCTCCTTTCAAGTGTGTAACTTTTAACTTATTTGCCACAAACTGTCAGTTCCTATCATACCTCCTAATTTCTCTCTCCACTTCCCACTCTCTCTGCCTGTTTCCCCATGAGCTTTAATATAGACAAGCACGTAGCACTGAAACCAGCCTTCAGAATAGGGACACTTCAATTTGAATTATAGATGAACACAGATGCAATCTGAATCCAGAAAAAGCAAGTGTACAGATTGGTTAGGGTATACATTATATTGGAGGGGTATATTATATATACCTTGCCTACTTACCTGCAAGTCATGCTGAGTACAGATACAGTGTATTTTCCTGCATGGCTGGAATTACGAACCATGTAAGCCCCATCCTTCCCCTTTTAATAAAAACCAGAAGAGAACCTTTGTAGTAGTTGAGAGGGTGGATGCTCTGTTGGTTTCATAAAATGTGAAGCCTGTTTCATTGATATACACTCATACCTTGGTTCTCGAATGCCTTGGTACTCGTATGTTTTGGCTCCCAAACGCCAAAAACCGGAAAGTAAGTGTTCCGGTTTCTGAACGTTTTTCGGAAGCCGAACGTCTGACGGGGCTTCTGCTTGTGTGCAGGAAGCTCCTGCAGCCAACCGGAAGCCGCGCCTTGGTTTTTTAACGTTTCAGGAGTCGAACAGACTTCTGGAACGGATTACGTTTGAGAAGCAAGGTACGACTGTATTAGAGATGTTCTAAAAGTGCATCAAACTATGCTTTTGTATAGCTCCTTGCCAATCACCAAGGGTCAGTGCAAGCAAACCATACGTAAGGACGGACATCACCAACACACTGAGAGGCAGCTGACATGCTTATGTACATTGTTCACCCTACACACATATAAAAAAATTGAGTATCATCAGGGGAAAAGGTGGGGTATAAAATATATAACAGCAGCAGCAGCAGCAGCAGCAGCACATAAGAAGGCAGCAATTTCGGTTCCAACCTCAACTTTGGCACAATCAGTGATGTTTCCGTTCTGCTGAAGTTCTGTTTCTGCCAAATACTACATTATCTATCTCACTGCATGCTATTTAACATAATATAAATCATTCTTTTCATATGCTATGGATTTAATGTAAACAATGACATAATTGTTTCCATGCCATTCACTTTGATGTAAAGGAAATGTTGAAACTCTGTATAAAGAAAGTCATTAATGGCGTATTGGTTGTAGGCTATATCTATATCTATATCTATATCTATATCTATATATAAATGTTGTGAGCGAATACCAATCGTATTCACTGGATTGATTTTCATTCCAGATCTGGGATAAAAATGTGAAGAACGGCAATTTCCACTTCCGTTTCTGATTTCTCTGACACTCCCAGCCTGCACTATTTCAAAGGAAGGAAGCGAATGCTTGCAGCTAAAGGCAATGCATAAACCTAATAAATGTGTAGGAATTTTTAAACACTACCTTCTGCTGCAGCAACTGTTCTGCCTGGGCCCTTGAGAGTTTACCAGCATACCAACTGCAACAAAAGAAATTGCTAACATATTACATTCACAGCACACAATTATTCTGTAATTGCATTATTATGGAGTAACACTTTCATTATTTGAACGAGGATTGGAGAATCTCTCCCGCACAATGAGCATGCCATGATTTTGGAATAAGGTTATCTGATAAATCACTTAAAGAATATGTTCATGTTGTTAAGCATCCCATGGGACAGGTTAAAAAGTTCTGAAACTCACTTTTAAAACCCTCACATATTTACTAAGCAGTGGCTGCCATATGCAGTTTCTAAGTAAATACTTCTGTGAAACCTTTAAAGGCTTAAACTCCCTTGAAAATGAATTTTCAATTACTACTGTAGCATAGATGATTGCTGCCCCATTTATTTAATGCTGGTACCACAACACACACACACACACACACACACACACACACCACAGAGAACATATGTATACATCGTTTCCCCCTACCCCAAATGCTTCACGAACATTATCTCATAAATCCTTACAATAGACTTCTTCCTAATTGCTGAAAAGTGCCTCAGCAGTCCTTACAACAGAGTATTGCTATCTACATGTTGCAAATGTTCAGATGAGATGGGGAAATGACAGCTTTTCTAGCACCACCTAAAAAGATTGTGACTGGTCTGGGGTGTGTGGGGGTGTAATGGGAGATTCGGAACAGCCTTTAGATGGAGGAGGAAGAGTGGGATGCAAACACAACAAACAGTAATAATGTTTGCACAGACAGAAGCATGGGGAAGCTGGCAGTAGCAGTAGTGCTGTGTATATCAGTGCCAGCAGGATAGGGCATTTATATCTCTGCTTGCCTATCCTGTAGTAAAGGTCTTCCTCCACTGAATACTTAAACTAATGCATTGTGCACCGCCATCCCAATGATCAACCACACCCAATATCCGCCTCACTCATTATTAGCAATGCTTTCCTCCTCTTCAGTTGATGACGCTTTAGCTGTATCGACACTTCTTCTGTGAATGCAAAAAAGGCACAATGAGTTCTCCATTTACTCCCCCGGTCGTCAGGAGAACTGCAACACTGATATTAATCTACACCTAGGCGATAGTGAGCCAGAAAGACCACAATCTGACTCAGAATAGAGGCTGTTTCCTATGTTCCTCACTGAATCTGAGGGAGTTGAACAACATCTGTAGGAGCACAGCTAGTCACTCCTGATTTCACAGGATAAATATATGGATTCTCTCGTTGGTATATTCAGCATAGAATATGGAAGTCAAAATGGATGGATTGTGATTTACCCTGGTTTTTCAGTGGCCTGGGATACCTCCTTCAAATAGGCACAGGGTGCAAAGCCCTCATTTCTGCAAATGAAAAATACAAAAAAAGTTATTTTTTAAAACCTACATGAAGCACTTGGAAGGAAGACGATGAGCAATAAAACGAAACAAATAGAGACCAGGTGACATGAAGTTGCCATGTGTTTCTGTTGGTACTGCATGATAATTGGTGCCTTCCATCCATGTGGGATCAGGGGCAGCAATGTGGTTGGTGGATAGTCATGATGTTGCTAGTGTCTTTGTGGAAGTGGGTATCATAATTGGTTTATTACCTCTTTATTATGATTGGGCTTTTCACATTGCTGCTGGGACAACATCAATGTAAACTCTGGCATAACAGCAGATTACCGTATTTTTCGCTCTATAAGACGCACCAGACCACAAGACGCACCTAGTTTTTGGAGGAGGAAAACAAGAAAAAAAATATTCTGAATCTCAGAAGCCAGAACAGCAAGAGGGATCGCTGCGCAGTGAAAGCAGCAATCCCTCTTGCTGTTCTGGTTTCTGGGATAGCTGCGCAGCCTGCATTCGCTCCATAAGACGCACACACATTTCCCCTTACTTTTTAGGAGGGAAAAAGTGAGTCTTATAGAGCAAAAAATACAGTACTCCATTGGCTGATAGGACTGCACAAGTCAAAGTATGTGCAGCCAGCTAACCTCTCTGGCTCTTGCAATTTTTCCAATCTCAGAGAACTCCAATTCTTATACAAGCACTTCCCATGTTGTAGATGTAAGTAGATCATATGCACAAGTACTCATCACGGTTATTCATAAATAACATTTATGCTGTTTGTATGACAGCATACATATGGTTTCTCCCCATTTTATCCTCACAGAAACCCTGTGAGGTGGATTAGCTGAGAAGGACTTTGAATGAACCAAAGTCTCATGGAGCTTCTAGGCTGAGATTTGAACCTAGTCCAAGACCATCAACCGTCCATGGAAACATACTCAGTTCATGCACCATCTGAATTGATCATTAGACAAGCTTTAAACAAAATAACACAGTGGGTTTGTTTGTTAAACTGGGGTAATTCTTCGTTAGAATTTTTCCGAATACATCGGCTAACAGAATATGAAAACTATACCTCAGTAAAAAGGAAATCTCTCTAAACAATGCAGAGGAAACTTACCCGTCCAAATCCTTCACGAGCCACCAGTCAGGAGCCTCATCGTTCATAACATAATATTTATTGTTTCTCACAAGAGGAACATCAGAGTTTCCTTTTGGCTCATAATTATAAATAGCTACTGCTTCTTTCAGAAATGACTTGTCAAGTGTTTGACCTGGAGGTTGATGGTCGTACTCATTGTTCTGAAAGCCGGTAACATAAGATATGCCACACAGAGAATTTAGAGAAAGAAATCATTGCCGTTTCAACAACAACAACAAATTACACAGCACTTTTCAAGTGTCCAGTGTACTTTACAAGCGTAACCTCATTAATCCTTAAACTGTGGCTAAGGAAGTTCTTTTATCAACATGAACAGAAAAATCAGTATCTGTAATTTGTACAATTATAAGATGCCAACGAACTATGAACTAATCACTGGCCTACAGCACCCTCCCCCACTCCTGTGTCTGCCCACAGCTGCATGTGGCCATTGGGAGTAAAAATGCTGCCCACTTCTGAACAATTTGGGACAAAGTTATCATGAGTGTTCCATGTATATGCAAAGAGAGTGCTAGGGGTTGAGAGTCACAGACAACTATTAAAACTGTATCCTGGGTCATCCTGTTTGCTGACTTGCCTGTACAGTCTAGAGCAGAAGTGAATCATCCTGTGCTTGCTCAACCAACCCTAAGCAAACAAGCTACCACTTGGGTTTGCAGAAGAGATGGCCTATGAATGACTACCATGGTCAGGGGGATCCAGTGCAAAAGGTACACCCTTCTGTTTAGGTTTAGGTCATTGACAGTTCACTGCATTTCTTTATGGAAATCCCATCAGAAACAACAAACCTGTGGTTGTTGTGAGGCTATTGATTGCATATAATCAGGCTATACATTATACATCATAGGTCAGAGAATTGCTTTAAGCTGCTTAGAATCTCCTTGCAAAAAGTGTTAAATCACAAGCTGCCAAGGAGATAACATGAGAGTTGGGCCAGATGACCAGGCCAGATGACCGGTTGGGGAACTGAAAGGGGGAAAGCCCTAAGATCAAGTGCTGGTGAAAGCTGGAAAAAGGGAAGTGCCACCAGATGTTTCCTGAAAAGCCCTTAGATCTAGTGCTAGTGAAAGCTGGAATGCTTGACAATGTGTGTGAAAGTGAAAGGACATGGGTATTCTCAGTGGAAAATACTGAGCTGATATTAAATCCTGGTAGCAGGAGCTGAAAGTACAGAATTAGCCTTGAAATGGTCAAACCCAGTGAAAATCCTGTCTATGTATAGAGTTGGCACAGATATAATCTAAGATTGTATGTTTTGGCCTGGACATAGAGGCGGGTGAACTATTGGGGTCTCAGCAGACATTTAAGCTAGGATGCTGGCTCATGAAAACTGAGTAAATTGACTCAGTTTCAAGATTATTAGCAGAGTCAGAGCGCATTCCAGCTAAACTGACTTAATGGGGATGGGTCTGGTGGTCTTATCTGTGCTTGGCCAATAGAGATGCTAATTAGCTTGATATCACAAATGACCCTTTGTGGGGCTTGGCATAGATAGCTGTGGGGTTATAAAATCACACGTTCATGGCCATCTCTTAATAATCTGATTCTTGTGAGGAGTCCCCTTTTGGGAAATGTCTTTGTATGTGTAAGCATGTTAACTTTCTGCTATAACTTTCAAACTTCTTTACTGTTATAATTCTGAGATAAAATTCTCTAGTACCTATTCCTGGTGTGTTCTGATGTCTGAATAGCTTGGTCCAATCCCTTACAAGTTTTGAGAAGATGACCCTACATGAATATCCTTCACTGTTTACGTGATTAAAAAAAGTCTACTCTTTCCATCTGTTCCAAGAGAAATATGAGGCAAGGGCCCCTCTTCTTTCAAACAATTCCACATTGTTCCTCCTAATGGAAGCAGAATCTCTAGAGTATAAACAATCCATATTCACTTTATTAAAGCAAAGCTTTATTCACCTGTGCTCCTGGTACCGGTGGAAGCGGTTTCACTGCACTGCTTGCACTGTGAAGAATGTAATCTATATCAAGAATTAAGGGGGGAAAGGCTGGGTGAAATTAATGCCCTGAATCTCCACTGACAAGCAGACTTTGGAAAACCCTTATCTGGCAGCTTTGTTTATTACCATAGGAGTGATGGACTAACCCAGTGGGCTGCATTGTTCCCTCATTACCTTCTGAGAGCAAAATCTGGTTGAAAACAGACTGTGGGGTTACAATGTGGACCTTGGTCAAATCCATTTATATTCCTACATTCCAAGCAAGCATGGTATAATGACCGCTCCCCGCTTAAAACAGAGGGCGCCCTTTGCGTGGACGCGCGCAGCCCCTAGATCTGGAGCGGCTCCAACAGCATAGGCTTGGTTTGCCTTCCCTCAGGTGGGATACCTGGAGGTCTCCGCCTACCTCAGTCAGTTGTCCAATCCCACCTGGGAAGCGTTGCCAAGGAGACCAGGCCAGGTAGGGGAGGGATTACCTGCCCACACAATAGAGGGAGGATCTTACCTGGGAATCCTCACTTGGCTCCAGAGCTTCTCCCACCCTACCCACCCTCAGTTAATGTCTTATTTGCAGGTTAACTTTTCTTCAAAGGTTTTGCAGGTTAACTTTTCTTCGCAGGTATGCGGGCGCTGTTAAAGGGCCGGAAAGGAATTTCCCTGCATTGCCAGGTCTCGCCTTTCCCGTAGCAAAACGTCACAACTTTGGCGGTATCAGGCCTTGGGCGGAATCCTTTAGTCCATCTTCCTCTTTGCGGCGGCGATACCAGGGTTTCCCGTAAAAGGGGTTTCTGAAGGGAGGCTTTGACCGTACGCCGAAAGGTCGTCATTGCTCTCCCCTGCGGCGGCGGCGTAACGGGCGGCTATCTCTGCTTGAACATATGGTCTCCAGAGCCGGCCCATCCCCCACACACACTGGATAACCCTGATGCTCCCTAGGTCCCCGGCTGGGGACTGGGGAGGGAGAACGCCCAATGCCTGAGCCAAGGTCTACCCACATTTGAAATTTAATAAAGTTGTGGCCAATTTAATCCCATAGCACGTTGTCATGAGTCGTTATTCCACATGACGGGGGGACCACGCGGGATCTGGGGACTCCGCCTGTCCACGCAAACATGCTTCTTTAAAAGCCTGAACTGTTTGAAAAAGGCAGTATATCAACTACATTATGCTGAAAACCTCAGAGTCTAAAGGGTGGTTGGGAAAAGTTCCTTCCTGCTCATCTAACTGTACAAATTAACTGGCAAACAAAACAGTGATGTTTTGTGCCAAGAACTCGGACGGAGAGCAATATTTGCATGTAGATAGTTTGTTTTGGAAATACTTCAGCTCACTGACATTTGCAGCTTTGTAAAAACAACAGGGCATTGCTTATTTCTTTTCCAGCAAATTTGCTGTGGTTCCCCCCTCACTGTTGGGAAAGGCTCAGTCTGAGCAGTACTACTTCCATCTGCAAGCGGGTTGCTCTTCTTCAAATAAGCACATATGGTAGGGCAGGCATCCCCAAACGTGGCCCTCCAGCTGTTTTGGGACTACAGTTCCCACCATCCCTGACCACTGGTCCTGTTAGCTAGGGATGATGGGAGTTGTAGTCCCAAAACAGCTGGAAGGCCGAGTTTGGGGGTGCCTGTGGTAGGGGAAAAACTAGGCTTGATTGATTGATTGATTGGTTGGTTGGTTGATTGAATGTATGGAGCAGGAGCATCCAATCATGTAAACCCCCACCTGCAATCTGAAATTATACACCCCAGATACAGAGGGCGGTACAGTATTTAACCAAGTTATACTCAGAGCAGACCTACTGAAATTAATGGCGCTAACTTAGTCATACTAAAAGGCTCAGGACCGCAATACCTTAAGGACCATCTCTCCCCATACAAACTGACCTAGACCCTGCACTTGTCATCTAATAATAATAATAATAATAATAATAATAATAATTCATTTATACCCCGCTCATCTGGCTGGGTTTCCCCAGCCATTCTGGGCAGCTCCCAACAGAATTAAAAGCACAATAAAACATCAAACATTAAAAACCTCCCTAAACAGGGCTGCCTTCAGATGTCTTCTAAAAGTCAGGTAGTTGTTTATTTCCTTGACAACTGATGGGAGGGCGTTCCACAGGGCTGGTGCCACTACCAAGAAGGCCCTTCTCTGTGTCCCCTCTCCCTGAGAGGTTCGGAGGGTGGCAACATGAGAAAGGACCTTTTCTACGGTGGCTTCCTGGTGCCATTGGGACTGTTATGATTTTTTTTCTGTGACTGTTTTATTGTTTCTTATTATTGCATTATGTCAGTTATGTTTTTAATGTTGTACACAGTCCTTGGATCTTTGCATGAAAGGGTGGAATATAAATTGAATAAATAATAGATCATAATAATTTCAGTGGGCTAAACTGAGTTGAATGTCACCCATAATAATTACTCACACCATGCATTTAAATCACTAGGACAATACTTTAAACACTTATGGTGGTTTTCCTCAAAGAATTATCGGAGCTGTGGTTTGCTAAGGATGCTGAGGGCTGTTAAGGAAACCTCTATTCCACTCCAAGAACTACAATTCCCAGAGTGCTTTAACAGTCAGTCACTCTTCACGTGGGCTTACTGTTACTGACATCTTTGTTGCTTTTATTGCAAAATTGTGGTTTTGGTCTGTATACTCCATTGTGATATTTTATATGAAAGGGCAGTTTGTAAAAAAAAAGAAAGAAATGGAAATGCCTAGGAAAATAACAATTAAATAAATAATATTGGAAAGGGCACAAAAAGTCTCAAATTTCCATTGTACGAATGATAGAAAGAGATGAAACAACACATTACACTTTCCCCAGATTATGCATCCAGGAGCCGCTTTGCAGGTTTGATTGCAGCACAGAAACTTCCCGTTGGAATAGAATCTGCTGTGGTACTTGTTTAGTAAATCTGTATTGCCCAGAATCTCTGGAAAGCATAGAAAACAGAGGAGGTGGGGGGTGGCAGGGGAGAGAGAGGAAGAGACTGAAAATGTTTCTGCTGTAAAACAATATAGACTAATAGCTCAGATGTAGGGCCAATTCACATGGACAAGGTGCGAATACTGAGAATATGGACTGAGGTCAGGGCTGGCCCTGCCATTAGGCAGATGAGGCAAAAGCCTCAGCAAGCAAATGTTCAGGGATGGAAACCAGTGGTGAGGTCATAGTGGATAGGGCTGTGGTTGCCCCAGGGCCTAGCCTGCACCTCCTAGGTTGCTACACTCAGAAACAGTGGAAGATGTTGTCCTGCTGCAAGTCTTGAAGTAAGATGCAGCTGGGGGTCTGGTCAACTTTTGCTCATGGAACAGAAGGGACTCCATTTTGGTTTTCGGCTGAGGCTGCACAATATTGTGGACCAGCCCTGACTGCGTGTATCAGTGCAGTGATAACTGTACTAACAGTTTAGAAATGGTTAACACTGCGCTTCTATACACGTTCTGCTCAAAAGGAAGCTTCAATGGGACTTATTCCCAGGTCAGCAGATACGGGATTGTAGCTTTAGCCTCTGGCTCAGAGCTCCCGAGTCCTCTGTTACTTTAAAGCATTTATATACCACTTTACATCACCTTAAATTTCAAGGATAATGTACAGCATAAACATAAAATAAGACACTAAAACAAAAGTAAAAGCAACAGATAAAATCCGACTTTATATATATATATATATATATATATTGCACATACTGAACTTCAACCTGAGCTGGAATTCCTCATTCTCTTGCATGAAGGGGGCAGTTTTGGGGGCCTTATTTACGTGTGTGTGTGTGTGTGTGTGTGCGTGCGCCTTCCAACAAGCCTTTTAAATCGAGATCTTTCCCAGCCTGCATCTGTATTTGAATTGTTTCAAAGGTGTTTGTAAAGACATCCCGTCATTTGTTGTTTGGTGCCTAGACTTATTTGAGGGAAGCAGATGGAATTGAATCAGATAAATACCAAGTCAGAACATTGATCCATTGGGCTTAGGCAGGGGATACCTCCAGCCCTACCAGAAAATACTGGGGCCGTCTGAATGCAAAGCAGATGCTCTGGGCCTTCCTTATGAAGCTTTCTGCTTCCACTGGAATTAACAGGGGAGCTGTGTGTGTGTCCATCAGCCCCCAAAATGTCAAAGAAGCACTGACGTTGAACTTGTGGCGTAGGCGTATAAACTATGTGTGCTAAAAACCAGAGCCGTAGCTAGGTGATCTTGCGCCCCTGGCAGAACCATCAAGCTTGTGCCCCTAAAGGTAAAGGGTAAAGGGACCCCTGACCATTAGGTACAGTTGCGGACAACTCTGGGGTTGCGGCGCTCATCTCGCCTTATTGGCTGAGGGAGCCAGCGTATAGCTTCTGGGTCATGTGGCCAGCATGACTAAGCCGCTTCTGGCGAACCAGAGCAGTGCACGGAAACACCGTTTACCTTCCCACCAGAGCGGTACCTATTTCTCTACTTGCACTTTGACGTGCTTTCGAACTGCTAGGTTGGCAGGAGCAGGGACCGAACAACGGGAGCTCACCCCGTCGCGGGGATTCAGACCACCGAACTTCTGATTGGCAAGTCCTAGGCTCTGTGGTTTAACCCACAGCGCCACCCGCGTCCCTTAGATTGTGCCCCTAGCCACCGACAAATTGGCTCTTCTTTCTGCCTCTCCTCCGACCCCGTCCCCTGCATCCATTCAATTCCTCACACACTTCACCTTGTAATGAACTCTTTTTTTTTGTAATGAATTCTGATTGAAGGAAGTCGAAACAGAGAGAGGACACCAAGATGGGGAAGGCTGACCTAGATGACGGTATATAGGCATCTCCCCACTTACGCGTGGGTTAACTTCCGGGCCCCTGCGTGCATAAGTGAAGTCACATAAAGTGGGGAGCACCGCACTTTAATAGGGAGGAGGGCATGGGAGTCAGCTCCTTAGAGCCAAGGTTCCTTCACGCCCCCTATAATATTTGAGGAGGCCACCCCACCCCCAGTTACTGGGCATTGCCATTCAATTAGCAAGCATGCACTCTATCTTGATTATACAGGGTGGTGCTTACCTGCCCCCCCCCATATATTTTATTCAACTTGGCACCCTTGAAGGAGGGTGTGCAAGAGGAAAGAGAGAGAGAGAGAAGTGACAAGTGACTAGGCAGGCTGGACAGGGCGCCCAGCGGAGGGTCTCGGCAGCCGATTTTGCAGGGCCCCCCCACCTGCGCCCCTGGCAGGGGCCCACCTCACCACCCACTAGCTACGGCCCTGGTAAAGGCTAGGCAGCCACCATAAAACACACATGCCATTTAGATAGTTGCAAACATTAGTTTTCAATTTCAAAGCGGCTAATCTGCTAAAAAAAAAAAAAGTTCAATTGGTTTACTGAACTCTGAAAGCCTCCCACAGTGTTTTCTTCTTCAAGCTGTTCTGTAAAGAGCTTTCTCACAAAGGCACTATCAATTTCCTTAAGTCAGCCAAGTTTCATTATGCTACAGTGGTACCTCGGGTTACAGATGCTTCAGGTTACAGACTCTGCTAACCCAGAAATAGTACCTTGGGTTAAGAACTTTGCTTCAGGATGAGAACAGAAATCGCACGGCGGCAGCAGGAGGCCCCATTAGCTAAAGTGGTGCTTCAGGTCAAGAACAGTTTCAGGTTAAGAACGAACCTCCGGAACGAATTAAATTCTTAACCCGAGGCACGACTGTATTTGGATTGGAAATCCTTTCAGGTTAGCTGTGAAACGTTAAAGAGTCCTCAGAGTCTGATGAAACAGCTTGTTACCTTTATGCAAAGCTTCCAGCCATCGGCTCCGGCTCTCTTCGTTTGCAGAGAAAACATACAGGAGGCCACCTTTGTACACAATCTATGCATAGGAGGAAACAGTTTTGGTGTTACTGAGCACTAAAATAAACAACGCACTGCTGGCCTGCCAGATGCTGGTGTATTTCATGCGTGATATGGGAGAAACCAGTATAATTTCAGACACTGCCATGTGCAGAGAGTTATAAATTACAGTGCATGGCGGGGGAGGTAGATGAATTAATTCAAGCTGTGCATACAACAGATTTGAATGTGTATATTTGGGAAATCAGTCTGAGCTGGGTTTAGATCTGAATCCAGAATCAATATCAACAAAAATAATAATAATAAAATGATAAGACACAATAGGAAAAATATTATCAGCACAAAAATTCAAATAAAACAAAAACATGTCACCAAAAAGCGGTGTTACACTCAGCATTTATCATAATAACAGCAGAAGTGAGTTTAAAACCGCTCCCTGTGCCTCAAAATCTCTTTCAAAGCATACTTTGCAGCAAAGTGTTATCTGGGTAGGAACAAGACAGGCCACTGCCCTAAAAAGGGTGTTCCAAATATAGAAGTTCTGTGGAAACCAAATAATTCATCTCCTAGATGATGTTAACTTTTTGGTCATTTCCTCCGAATCACAAGTCATTTGGTGCATTGAAAATGTAAAACACACCAGGAAGCACCCACCAAGCAAAACTCCAAAAAGAGAGATCTTTCTGCATATTGTTGCATGCCATCCCAGTTTCCAAGCAGTGCAAGGTTCCAGGTGCTTGCCCTCAGTTCAGTTTCTCCCGACTGAGGGAAAACGGAGGCTGTGGTGTTTTTAGGATGTATGGTTTATTTATACATATATACACAACCTGAGCCTACAATGGAAGGGCTAACGGCATTAACACCCCAAGAAGGTCTTTCTTCTTCCTCGGATTCAAACAGGAATCAGGCATGACTCTGTCTCTCCCAATTGCCCAGCCTGCTGCCTGCCCCTTCTCCTTTCTAGCTCTCTCTTTTCCAACTCCCAGCACTGGCCTTTGCCTACCAGTGAGTTGAAGGAAGATGGCCCACCTATTTGTTATCCAGCACAGAGCCACTTCTTTTGTTACCTCATTGGCCCATACTTAGGGGGCCATTACCTCACTAGGAAGCTAGCCTGGCTATTCCAGGAATTGAATCCCTGCTGGACTCAGGAATTAAAGGGGCTCAGGCTTACAGTCTACCCACCCTAAACTCATAACAACACACTTGCCAAACATCTGATAAAGGCTTCCTTTCAGTGTTGCTACATTTGAGTTATTGGAGGAGATGTTTTTTCAAGATATCTGAACAAGTATACCAAGCCACTGAAGGAGGTCTTTTGGCTGAAATGTCTTGGGCCACCAGTACATATTCAACAACATGCTGAGGCAGGGTTTTCTCTTTTTTGAGGGCATTCAAACTATAGGCACCATCCAGCAAAATATGAATTCACTACCGAAAATATTTTATTGTGTACAGTTTTACCTGGAAGGGATACTGCCGCTCTGGCGGGGCTGGTTCATCTAGATTCACTTCCTCTGCACATCGAATTTTCTTAATTTCTATTGACCCTTTTCTGGTTCCTTTTTTCTAAGAACATAAAAGGAAGTAGGGAGAAAGTTTCCAACACCCATAAGAAGGAATACATAACATGAAAAGGCGTTAACCAGAGGTTGAATACCCAAGAATCTCTTACCCGCTTACACTGCATTCTAAGAAATCTATTTCTCACCTCTTTGTCATATTCATAGTAGGAAAGGCTTGTTTTCGTAAGAACAAAGAGTCGTTCTTTGTAATTATTTGGAGATATTTTTTTCTTTTGCTGAGACTTCTTCATCAGCAACTCTTCTAGAATGATTCTGTTCTCCATGGTTTCCATTTTACGGTCACTAAAAGAGCAGGAAATGTTCCAAGTTAGAGAACACCAATTAACCAACTGCAAAACTGAATCAAATTTGCAATTAAAATAATTCAATGTCAAATTTGAGTCTAGAACATATCCCTTGATACATATTATTTACCTACTCTCAAAATAAACAGCAACATAGAAACATTAGTTCCTTTGACTAAAATATAATGCTGGTAAATAGTCCCATTTATTCCAGTGGATCTTGATTTTCAAATAGGCACATTTATAAATATAACCCAAGCAAAATTATGTGCAAGATGGCAATTCTGAAGCAAAAAATCCAACAAATTAAAATGAGCAACAAAAGGAAACATCGGTATATTTCCTAGATTGTACAGACCTAAAGAACGCTCCCAGGCTTAATCCGCAAATATCACTGGAAATGTCAAAAACGTAAGTTGCACTTATTTTAAAAAGGTCATATGTGTACAGGAATACTAAAAGGCAGTAGAACTCATTATGTGATGCCATAATGTGTACAAAATAATAATACTAATAAAATAAAATAAGAAGAAATGAGGCTTACCTCAACAAGGCACTTCCTACAGAGACAATATTCCTCTTCTCATGATGGATTCAAGAGGAACTATCCTTCTCATTGCTTCTTTTACATATTTACCAAATATAGGAATGTCTTTCAGATGTTATTTGCATACAACTCATATTGTCCAACATCCTCTTTCCCAGTTATAACACACCTGTCTCTTGTTAGTTCGTCCATTTTTTATACTAAGAAAAATATTTTCCAATGAATTGTTTGGGGTACGTTTTCACAAAGCGACACAACTGGAGTTTTTACTGCTTGTCTTCCACTGTGGGAATGAATGCCCTACCGGTGCAAATGTGATAGTCTCCCCCCCCCCGAAATCTAGATAATTGAAGTTAGGACTGATGCACCAGACCACACTCTCCCCATTTTGATTTTCACATGTGTAGTGCTTTTAAGGAAGACTGAACTATTTCCTAGGTATAAATATTAATTATGAGAATTATTTTTTTTTAAATTACACTCATTGATCTTTCTTTTGTTTCTCCTTCCTACTTCTCTGCTATCTTTCTTCCAGGGCACTTCCACCATAGCTGTCAAGCGTCCCTTATTTGGCGGGACAGTCCCTTATCCCAGCGCCATGTCCCGCTGCTGTCCCTTATTGATGATGTCCCTTAAATTTCCTGGGTTTCAAAGGAAGCAGCTCCTCTCCCTCCCTGCCAGCCAGGGAGGAGGGAGGCTCCAACTGTGTTACTTGGCTGTGTTGCTCACCCAATAAGGAGTCTAAGAACGACTGAGGGGGTGGAGCTTGCATGACTTGTGCTGATCAAATCGGCTGCATTGCCTGGGAACTCGCCTTTGCTCCACGCTTCCCAGCGGAGAGGTGACGGTGGTTTTCCTTGAGGCTTGAGGCTTCGTTTGGCTGCTGGCCGGGCTTTCTGCCTTTGGCTCGGAGGGGCTCAGAAGTTGAACATACCTGTGCCCGGAAAATCCCTTATTTTGGCTGCTGATCCCTTATTTTCGAGGCTGCTGGTCCCTTATTTTCAAATCTGTAAGTTGACAGCTATGCACTTCCACACAGCTGTTTATTGTGGATGTGGTGCTGCTCAGGCATGCATGTTTTGTGTTGCATCCACACAACACCATCCTCATCAAAATGGCACCCCATATTTCCCCGTTTAATCCAGTTTGATCCAGGCTTCCCAGAAAACCTGATAAATTGGGGAGGGGGAACCCCACACTTAGGAGGAATGGTAAATTTGGTTTAAATTGGAAGGAGCGGGGAATACAAGGTGGCATTTTGATTAAGAATGTACCATGTGGACGCTGGAAAAAATTCCACTCATGAGCAGCACTAAATTCACAAATTAGCTCCTTCCAGCTTCTGTCTCATTTTGTAGTTCTTGGAGTTTCCATAGTTCTAAAGACCTCATTTCCTCTTGTACCCTGTGGCACTTCCTTTCCTCCAAGCAACCAGGATGCAGCTTTCCTCTGTTGGGTTATTTTGAAATCAGATACCGCTTCAGAACTGTTATAAGGAAAAACTGCTCTGGGGGTGCTCAGGGAACAGTTTTTTTCTTTTAATAAAAGTAATTTTGCACAAATACTACTACACAGTAAGTATGTGGTATGTTAAAAATAAATACCGTATTTTTCGCCCCATAGGACGCACTTTTCCCCCTCCAAAAATGAAGGGGAAATGTGTGTGCGTCCTATGGGGTGAATGCAGGCTTTCGCTGAAGCCTTGAGAGCACCAACCCCTCTTGCTCTCCAGGCTTCGCACAGATCTCCGCAAGCCGTGGGAGCCCGGCACGGGCTCCCACGGCTTGCGGAGAGTTGCCTGCATGCTGAAGCCTGGGCGCGCTGAGCTAAGCGCGCCCAGACTTCGCGCAGCACCGGGCTCCCACGGCTTGCGGAGAGTTGCCTGTTCTGGGGGCTGGGGTTGGGGGAAGCTCGGGCTTCCCCCGCCCCAGCCCCGCGCCTGGGGGGGGGGATAATTTCCCCCCCTTTATTTTCCCCCCAAAAAACTAGGTGCGCCTTATGGGACGGTGCGTCCTATAGGGCGAAAAATGCGGTAAATCTCATCCCATGGCAAATGTAAAATGTGAAAACTTTGCAGAGGGGAAGTCACCGTATTGTTAACTTGCAGTGTTATGGCATACATACCTATTCAGAAGCAAATATTTGTGTTTAATGGAGCTTACTCCCAAATGGGTGTAGTGGGTGTAGGCTTGCAGTAATCAAACCAGATTAAGATTGGAGCTGTACTAATTTGCAGACCGGGTTTAGGGGGTGGGGACACACACACCCCAAAAGGCAGAGTCCTTGACAGGCCCATGCATAGCTTATCTGAGGCCTAGGGCAGCAGTCTTGTTAGAATAAAGTTATAAACTCAAACAAAAAATGAGGGAAACCCTGTCCCGCCCTACAAGGCTCATGTCAAGTGTAGGCCTACCTGGCTGCCCGTTGTCCCCCACCCTGGCCTGATCCTTGATACAGTGGTACCTCGGGTTAAATACGCTTCAGGTTATATACGCTTCAGGTTACAGACTCCGCTAACCCAGAAATAGTGCTTCAGGTTAAGAACTTTGCTTCAGGATGAGAACAGAAATTGTGCTCCGGCGGCGCGGCAGCAGCAGGAGGCCCCATAGGCTAAAGTGGTGCTTCAGGTTAAGAACAGTTTCAGGTTACGTATGGACCTCCGGAACGAATTAAGTACTTAACCCGAGGTACCACTGTAGTACAAAGATGCACCACTATGGTTAATGGCAGTTACTGGAAGAATAAGAAATCCAGATAACACACTTTTTTATTACAAAATAATGGAAATGGTTTGTTGAATATTTATAGAAAAAGATATAAACAGATAAGAACATTGGCAGGATTATTGTAATAACCTGCAGTTTCATAAGAGTACGTATTTAAAGTAGATGAATAAATGAGCCAAGTTAAGTTAATCTGGACATGCAGGAGATATTAAAAATAAATTTTAAGGAAACGCAGAAAGAGGGGGAAGGAAGTCAAGTTTTGAAATGTTAAAATGATTGTAAAATTAGTGTAATGTATAAATCTGAAAAGCATAAATAATTTAAAAAGAAAAACTATGGTTAATGGCAGCAAGGTAGGTTAAGCCGGGTTATTGACTGACCCAACAATTGACTGTTGTTTATTGAGTTAATAAAACTGGTTTATCTGCCTTTTGGTGCAAAATATCAGGAACGGAACACAGCAACCAAACCACCAAGGGCAGGAAAGATACAGTACTTCCTTTCCTAGCTTTGTGTTTTTATTTGTTTCTTATCACCGGATTTTGCCCATGAATATAATTCATTTATAGTTACGGATGTTCACCTATACATACGTACGTGTATATGTTCTAAAAATATTCCCCAACTATGTTGTTTCTACTCTTAAATCTGAGTCATCTACATGGTTTACGGTTGACACCGTTGGGATGCAGGACTCTTGCATCTTTAACAACTGTGTGGAAGGTAGCCATGAAACAGGGTTAGACTCCCCTAGTTGGAAAATGCAATTGCAGCAAAAGCTTCGCCTGTCAATATTCCATCTCCCAGGAATTTTACTAATAGCTTTGCAGCCCACCATTTTGCTTTGGGGCCCTGCATCCCCCAATTGCCAGAGGACTCCAATTGCCAGAGGGCAAAGTGTACATGCGAACTTGTGCCTCTGTGTCTGGGGCCAGGAAAATTCTGCAGGCCCCCACCTCAAGGCTCTCCACCTCGACTTTTCCCTGCCCTTGCTGGAGAAGCCAGGGGTCGCACCTGGAACCATCTGCACGCAAAACAAATGCGTGACCACTGCGCTGCTGCTGCCCACCCTACACCTACGCCTTGGGACTGCGTTTGTGCTGCGTGCGACTGGATCTGATCCTGCCAGATCCCTTCTTCTGGCGCATATCTCTTTTATGCAACCCAGCTGTGTGCTGGGAGGAGGGGGAGATTAATTTCCAGACCGGAAATGCCTCCCGGGCAACGGAGGGAATCACAAACACGCCTCGCCTTCCCTTGTTTACAAAAGGAGGTCCCGCCTCCGAAGAGCCGATAGGGTGGCTGCCCTGCTCGTTTGGACAATAAGGGGCGGGGCACAGCCAATTTTAGAAATGGGCGGGAGCATTTTGTCCGGGGGTTCCTATCCTTTGGAAAGGGCGATCCTGTCTTTGCATAATAATATTTGCGCTTTATAATGATCGCGGTGGCAGGTGGACTCGAGCGCCGCCTTTAGAGCGGAATCCCAAACGCCTCTCTCGTTCCTGGGGAGTAAATGTCACTTAGTCCCATCGGAGCTGCCGGGATCCGATGCACCGCTTACCCGGGAGTAAGCCCCGTTGGAACACAGCGGGGTTTGCGCTTGAGTAAACCTGCGCTGTGAGTCCGCTTCGACTCGCAGCTTTATGCAATTCGCCCACGCCCTTAGCGCTATTGTATTTGTTGTATCCGGCCCTCCTTTTTGTTTGCTTTACACGTTATGTTTTTGTAAAAAAGAAAGTCTAGTGATTTGCTGAGTCATACCGAGCTTGCTCTTTTCCCCAGCACTTCAGCAAGCAGCGTTTTCTGCCGGGTTTGTCCATCTCAGATCGGGGAGAAGGTAGGGAGCCGATAGTGGAGAAGAAGAAAGGGAACAGCTGCGGGACCATGATAAAGGTCACTTTATTTGTAGGAGGGAGGGAATTAAGAAAGCAAAGCAAACTTCTGATGGGCATATTAGCAAAGGGGAGCAAAGAAACTCTGCGATCCTATGCATGTCCTCCTCAGGGGTAAGTCCCGGTGAGATCCGTAGGGCTAGCTCTTTAGGTAAAGTGCATAGGATTGCCAGCTTAAAACCATTGACTAGTTGAAAAGAAAACCCATTTGCTAAAGGGAGCGTGTCGCCCCTTTGCCTGACTCTGATGCCTTCCGGCTCAGAGAGAGAGATTGTGGCTGGACGTTATTTAAGACGCACGTCTTCTTTTGGGCAGGTGGTGTGAGGTTTCTTTTTAGGACTCGGTGCTGTTTCCCCAAGGATGGCTGCGACGGCGAGGAAAGTTGTCAAAACCGTGCTGAGCAGGGAACAGGCGGAAGGAGTTGGCGCTCGGGTTCGCAGAAGCATTGGGAGGCCTGAGGTAAGGCGCTGGTTGTTTCTGTTTCATATGATGCCCTAATCCAGCCTTGGCCAGCTTGGTGCTCACCAGTCATTTCGGACTAAAACTCCCATCAACCTAGCCAGCTCCTGGTCATCCAAAATTGTCATGCCTATGTGGTGTTAAGGGGTGGCTAAGGGTACCTGAGCTCCAGATATTTTGTGTCACCCCCTTCCCTCATTGCCTATCCCTTTCCATTCCTCTTTTACACACACACACACACACACACACACACACACTATATATATATATAAACTAACCTTAGAGCAGTGGTACCCAACCTTTTTTTGGCCATGCCCCACCTAAGCATCTCTAAACTCCTGATGCCCCCTCCCTGTGACATATAATTCTTATTATTCAAAAAGTGAACTATAATTGTTGAGGAAGCCTAAAAGGCCATTAACTGTTAATAACTCATTCTCAAATTGCCCCCTTTAAAAATCAAATTGCCCTACTGTGGGTTGTGTGCCCCACATTGGGAACCACGGCCTTAGAGGGTTCAAATGCCCATTTGGCCATTAAGCTCATTGGGTGACCTTGGGCCAGTCACAGCCTCTCAGCCTAACCTACCTCACAAGGTTGGTGTGAGGATTGAATGAGGAGGGGCAGATGAACCATGTACGCCACCTTGAGCTCCTTGTAGAAGAAAGGTGGGACACAAGTCCAATAAATAATAGTAAATTAGTAGGCACAAATTTGTACCTTGGGTTCTTTAAGTACCTTGCTATTGGTGTATGTATGTTAGGGTGTTTGATGGGGAGTGTAACACAGGGGTGGCTAAGTCAGGGACCTGATGAAGCCCCCCCAGCTTATTTTTATCCCCACCTCCCTCAAATCCTACCAGGTTTCACAGTGGCAGCAAAAAAGTGTATTTTTTTTAAAAAAAGGAGATTTAAACCTCTCCACCTAGCAACCTGGTTCATACAAAGACCACACCCTCCTTGTCATCGTATCAATAATGAGCAGAGGATAGCCATAGCCTCTGCCTCAGGTGATCTGCATGCTCATGCAAGTGTGTGGCGCCTCAGGCCCAAAAAAGGATTAGCCTCCCTGTGTAAAGCAGATTCTTTTCTATATACTGTCATCTCCATGGTCCACTGATAACCTGAAAGACATAAGGTGTGGTGGCGCTATGGGTTAAACCACAGAGCCTAGGGCTTGCCGATCAGAAGGTCGGTGGTTCGAATCCCTGTGACAGGGTGACCTCCCGTTGCTCGGTCCCTGCTCCTGCCAACCTAGCAGTTTGAAAGCACGCCAAAAGTGCATGTAGATAAACAGGTACTGCTCCAACAGGAAGGTAAACGGCATTTCTGTGCGCTGCTCTGGTTTCGGTATTCCATTGCGCCAGAGCTGGCCACAGGACCAGGAAAAACTGTCTGCAGACAAATGCAGGCTTCCTTGGCCTGTAAAGCGAGATGAGCACTGCAACCCCAGAGTGGTCTGCGACTGGATTTAACTGTCAGGGGTCCTTTACCTTTACCTTTAACAACATGGGTACTCTCCCCTTCTGAAAATTATGTGGGTGGTTCCCAAATTCTTTACCAGTTAACTCGAATTGAGTTCTGAACAGAACAACCCCGTGAAGTAGGCTAGGCTGAGAGTGAGTGACTGGCTCCAGATAAACTCAGTGAGCTTCCATGGCTGTGGGAGATTTGAACCCTGTCCTCCCAGGGCCTAGATCAACACACTAACCACTACAACACACTTGACTTTCTTCCAAGTTTGTAGCTTGGTTTTGAGGCAGAGGATCTTCTCACCCTGCAACTTAAGACCCTTTACCTGGAGCTGCTGCAGATGGTTTGAGCAAAGCATCTTTCTCCTGTGATGCTTACCTGGGTGCTGTAGGTAAAATAAGGTAACCCCATGCTGTGTGCCTTGATAGAGGAGTTAGGTGTTCCCTGGCTAAGGCTGTGAACATCAGTGGTGTGCCTTGAGTGCCTGCAGGTGGACTCCCATGGGTGGGGCTAAAGAGGGAATGGGTGCAATCATTTGGCATTCTCCATTGACTTCAGTGGGAGAGTTTAACTTAATGTCACTTATTTGGGGCATTGGGGGCAGGAGTGACTTGAGCAAGCATAGTATACTGACATAAACTTTCATGTTAACTTAGAAATAAATCTTGTTGAATTCAGGTAGGGTTATGATTGCAACCTAAGACCCTTGTGCCATGCCCCAAACTCTGCCTATCATTATCATCATTATTATTACGCATTTTATGACAATGTAAACCCACTGTGTCCAACACCTTTGTGTTCCACTGCTGCATAGGATTTAGCATTGAACTCACCCAACAGATTTATCACCCATTTTTTACAGAGCAGCTTGCGATCTAAGTAAAATAAATTATCACTAAAATGACACCAATAACAATAAAATACTAGCACGGATTAAACACGGGGGCATGTCAGAACAAGAGTTGGCACTGAGTCGGGGTGAGAGGCTTGCCCCAAAAGCCTTGACAGCTTTGCTAAAAAGCACTTTCATCCTCATTGAGTGGGTGTGACTTGGAGAACAGGACCACACAAGTTCAGTTGTATATGGTCTCTCTCAAACAAGTCACTTAAAAAAACAAAAACAACTTTGTAAAATTCTTGCTATTTTAATTTTCAGTTGAAAAATCTGGATCCGTTTCTGCTGCTTGATGAGTTCAAAGGAGGTAAACCGGCTGGATTTCCTGATCACCCTCACCGAGGTTTTGAGACTGTAAGTTATTAAGGCGTGCTTGCTTACGTCTGCCGGTTTTTACCGTTGCTATAGTACATAGTTTGGGAATGGGCTACAGCTCAAGGGATAGAGCCTCTGGTTTGCATACAGAAGGTAGCAGGTTCAGTCCCCAATGGCATTTACTTCCGGGTTTCAGTCCCCAAGTGAGTTACTTCCGGGTTTTGCTGCATGCGCAGAAGCTCAAAACGACGTCACGCGCATGCGCGGAAGTGGCAAATTGTGACCTGCAGTTGCGCGGAGATGGGTTGTGTTCACTTCAGGATGTGAATGGGGCTCCGGAACGGATCCTGTTTGCATCCAGAGGTACCACTGTACTAAGCTAGCTGGACCAGCGATCTGATTCTGTAGAAGGCAGCTTGCTATGTTCCTGAGGCCAGCTGACTTGGCCTCACATGAGACTCATTAAAGAGTTGTTTGTTTGGCTGGTTCTGTGAGATCTCTTCCCCTGCGGGGAGGAGAGAGAGAAAACAGAAGAGCCTACAGAGGCTGCCCACTGTCTCTCATTCCTATATTCCAGTTGAAGTGGCCTACATTGCCCTCTCGGAAAGCCTGGGCTATTCAAGAAGCACCTTGCTTTGAACGAACAGAGATATCATCTTTACAATGAACTAATTCTCTTTCTTTTATTAGCGGCACAGCAACTCATAGCCCCAAACCGGAAAAGTCTGATTATCTCGCTATGGACACAAAAGCTGTGGACAAGTCACATTAATGGAAAGGCTAGCTAAACACACGAAAGCTCCGTCTGGCAAGAAATTTCATAAAAATGCTGCACCCTTTTATGCCTTTTCTGTTGAGAACCCAGCGCTATGGCCTCTCCCACAGATGCGCATGCAGTTATGGCAGACTGTATTCCTGTTTACCGTCTTTATTATTACAGTGGAAAATCAGTAAAATACATTTAACGTCCTACATTTCAAGCACATGGTTCCCCCCAGAGACTCCTGGGAACTGTAGTTTACCCTTCACAGAACTACTATTCCCAGAACCCTTTGCAAACATTTGCCAGGATTCTTTGCCAGGATTCTTTGGGGGAGGGCATGTGCTTTAAATACATGGTGTGTACCTAGTCCTTGTCTTTGCTGTCTTATTCTAAAGTTTTAATGGATGCTTCCTGTTGCAAATGTTATTATGTACAGCGCTTAGTGAGGTTTCCCTGAATAAAAGGTAAAGGGACCCCTGACCATTAGGTCCAGTCGTGGCCGACTCTGGGGTTGCGGCGCTCATCTCGCTTTATTGGCCGAGGGAGCCGGCGTACAGCTTCCGGGTCATGTGGCCAGCATGACGAAGCCACTTCTGGCAAACCAGAGCAGCGCACGGAAACGTTTACCTTCCCACTGGAGCACCTTAAAGGCTTAGCAGTTTCACTATGGCCAGACTGTGTGATCTGGAGTCTGAAAAAGGCTATGCTACAAAAAGACATCTTTAAGGTCATGCCAGACTCTTCTTAATGCTTTTGCTGTGACAGATTGTGGAACATTTCTTACATCCCGCCAGCAGGCGGCACTGCTCAGTAGCAGTAGAGGTAAGGATGAGTTTGTGCAGGGCAAAATGACTTCTTGGTGAACACGAGACTTGCAGGGAAAATCTCTTTAAAGATCACCTGCTTTTTAAGCGAATGATGCATTATCAAATCCAGTGGGTAATAGGGAGTACCTTTATAGGTACACAAAAGTAAAAAAAATGAAAACTGCCCAGGAATTTATTGGGATTTCACCAGTGTGACTGTGTAGGAATACAGTCCAAGTAAATATTTGTGGGAAAATCACACCTATTTTTCTAGTTCATTCTTTCACTAGCAGCGTGATTTGTCCCTTAAAGTACATTCATTTTATTCGCTTTCAGTGCCCCTCATCTATGCCTCCCCCCTTCCCAGTGTTGCTTTTAGTTTGTACAATAAGTATGCAGGATATCATTCTACCATATCTAGTTTAAATTAAAAACAGAATGTCTCTGTCTTTGGGGTACCACGAGATACCATGGGGATCAATACAGTACAGTGTAGTGCCATTGATTTCAGTGGGAAAACATTAACAATCTGTCTAACTCTTCTGTTTAAATCAATAAGATTCTAAAATGTTAACTGGCTGAATTATACCCAATATTTATTTGCTCTGTGGGTTTGTTGTTGTTGTTTTTGCTTGCTTGCTTGTTTTAAGCTGTATTTTTATTGGAAATGTTATTGTAAGTCTCATAAGGCTTTGGAAAGAAACAATGTCATTTAGATTACAGTTCACTGGGCTTCAGACTACAAACTCCTTTGGAACAAATGCCTTCATGATTGTCAGATGAGACTATAAAGCCTGCTGTGAGCTTGGGCTTCCCTGATGCTTTAAATCTTCTCTTTCTCAGGTAACATACTTACTGGCAGGCGGCTCCATGGCCCATGAAGACTTCTGTGGCCACGCAGGTAGACTGAATCCAGGAGATCTGCAGGTAAGCTGAAGTGATGAGAACGGAGGTTGCCCTGTCTTGCCCTTTCACTTTGAAATTGGTTTTGAAGACTGGAAGTTTTGCAATGTATTTTCCCCCCTCTGTCATCTTCCTAGTACACTGATTTCTGTAATGAGGAGCCTGTGACATCTCCGCCCATCCAGATTTTGTTGGCACTCGGATTGCCAGCAGCCCCCCATGGCCAATGGGTCAGGGATGATGGGAGTTTGTGGTACAACAACATCTGGAGTGTCACAGTGTCCTCCCTCCTGGGGCAAACCATTGGACTTCAGGATTCCCTGCATCCCAGTTTGAGATGGGTTACAGTGGTGGTACCACCACTCTGTTAAGTTTGTTTAAAAGAGATGAGATTGGGGAGCTATTTAGGTATCTGGGAGGAGAGGAGAGCTCCCCTGCCTTGAATTGTTTGCAGAAGAGGGAGTTTTGTGAGATGTGGTGTTTCCTACCCAGCCCAAACATCCTCTTCTGTATGAACTTTGCCAGATAGGAGCTTTGCCTTCCTCTGGATTTGGTCATCCTAAACAGAAAAAGAATTAAAGTGGCTTCAGTTTGGGATTGAAGGTGGGACCTGGATCTGAAAAGAGTGAAGACCGATACTGTAGACAGGGGTAGTTAACCTGTGACAACCTCCCCCCCATCATCCTTGGTCATTGGAGAAGTCTGGTTAGGGTTGGACATCTGGGGGGGTCACAGGTTAGCTTATTCCTGTTACAGATTATGTTAAAGCTTCCAAATCCAATTCATTCTAATACAACATTTCTAAAGACCTTTAATGCAACCCTACATGTCTATTTAGACCAGGGTTTCCCAAGCTTGACTCTCCAGCTGTTTTTGGACTACAATTCCCACCATCCCTCACCACTGGTCCTGCTAGCTAGGGATGATGGGAGTTGTAGTCCAAAAAAGAGCTGGAGACCCAAGCTTGGGAAACCTTGATTTAGACATACGCCCCATGAAGTTCAATGGGGCCTTACTCCCAGGTAAGCGTGCATAGGATTATTGAAGCCCTAGGATATTTACATTCTGGGTCAATTCCCATCATACCACAATCCGCCGTGAAACTTTTTGTTTCCTAAGTGCTTAAAACTCATGGATTATTTTTAGCTAATAGCATAACAAATTATTAGACCTGTATTTTTGCATCTTGTTCCGCTTTGGCTAAATAATGCAAGGTGGAGTTGCCAGCTTTGATTAAAACACTGGATTGTGTGTGCAGTTTGGGGGGACGGGACTAGGAATTGAGTTGATGCTTCACTTCAGCTTCTGCAAAGCAAAATGTTTCAATTCTCTCACCTTCTCCTTTACCTTTTGGTATATAGTGGATGACAGCCGGCCGTGGCATTCTCCATGCAGAGATGCCTTGCACCGAGGAGCCAGCCCACGGCCTGCAGCTTTGGGTCAACCTGAGAAGCTCTGAGAAAATGATTGAACCCCAATACCAAGAACTCAAAAAGGAAGAAGTCCCCAAGCCTTCACAGAACGGTGTGAGTGTGTCCGTCATTTCAGGAGAGGCGCTGGGCGTAAAGGTAAACACATTTGCTGACAAACTAGCGAAAAGAGGGCTCTTTTTTTAAAAAAACTGAACAGTTCTGATAGTTATCTTATGGCTTAATTCAACCTGCAGCCTTTTAAAAAGTGAGTCCCTTGTCTTAACTATACCTTCAGGAGGGGGGAGAGGAAGGCCACAGCAGGGCGAATTGAGGGTGTTTGTGAGTGACTTTCCCTTCTCTGATGAGCAGTAAGATTACAGGGCAAGTTACTGTGTACTCCTTGTGTTTACGTAGTCCACATGCTATTGGGGAAGGAGTCCACACTGCTGTACTTCCTTGGAAAGCTAATCTGTTGGCAAGGAAAAAGTGGAATGGAAAGAGCCCTTATATACAAAAAGATCTGCTTGCAAAGAAACTCTGTGACCTATACGCTTAGATTTGTTTGCATGAAAGGCCTGCAGCCAGCTCAGTGGTGGAGGAAGCAGTGCTCTCCCTCCTCCTCCTCCTGAACAGAGCCGCTAGCTGGAAAGAAAGCCACATTGCTCACGATGGCGATTTGAGGGCAATTCCCACACGGTACTCCTTCAATGGAGCCCTACTGCCACAAAGAGATGTGTACAGTACAACCTTCCCCAACCACATGACATTTTGGACTACAAGGCCCATCAGTCCTAGCCAGTATGGCCAATGGTTTGGGGTGATGGGAGTTGGAGTCCAATGACCTCAGGAGAGCACCAGGCTGGGGGTGACTATCCAGGACTTATGCTAGATAATAATAATAATAAATTTATTATTTATACCCTGCCCATCTGGCTGGGTTTCCCCAGCCACTCTGGGTGGCTTCCAACAGAATATTCAAAACATGATAAAACATCAAAACATTTAAAACTTTCCTAAACAGGACTGCCTTAGAGGTCTTCTAAAAGTCAGGTAGTTGTTTATTTCCTTGACATCTGATGGGAGGGCGTTCCATAGGGCGGGCACCACTACTGAGAAGGCCCACTGCCTGGTTCCCTGTTACCTCACTTCTCGGAGTGAGGGAACCCCTAGAAGGCCCTCGGAGCTGGACCACAGTGTCTGCAGAACAATGGGGGTGGAGACTACAGGCACCGTCAGTGTCTTTAGCAAATGTTTTTGGGCTGTATGTTTCCCCTCAACCTGTCATATGCTTAAAATTCCAATTCACTGAAGTTACATGTTTCAGCTAGTTAATTATGTAACCCCTCAAGGTCAGACAAGTGCAAAACAAGCAGGCCAGTCGTGCTACATCTGCCATTTGTAGGGATCTAAACAACTGAGTCTTTAGTTTTAATTGATATAATTGTATGGGATATCATCCCTTTTGCTTACCTTTCTGGAAACTGTTTTTACTGTCAGTGAGATGCTGTGAGATGGATGAATTATTAGTAATAGCATCTCACTTTCAGGAAGCAGTTGTTTAAATCTGCCTGTATAGTCAAGCCGTGGTTTGTTCTTACGGCAAGGGAGAAAAGGAGCTGGGGCCTTGTCGGAGGAGGTTGAGTCTCAAGGGTCGTAATCTTGGTATTTCAAGCAAGCATTTTATTGGGTTTTTTGCCTTCTTTTTAACAAGCTGCCTTGCTGTGACCCATCTAGAAGCACATAAAATAAGTGAGCGAGTCTCATCCTATATACTGTCGAGGCATGCCTTGGTGATATACTGGAATGTGGCTCGCAAAGGAAGCCGGACGCCTTTGTTCTTGCAGTGAACCAACAGCCACTTCCAATCAGGAAAGGTTACAGAGGGAAAACAAGCCGCACAGCTTGCTAAGCCAGTTCCAGCTGGCCCCACACAGAACACTTAAGCCCACCCCACACTTTCGGAGCTGACCCCTGACCCCTGGGCTCTGCCTCTACATTCCACTTCTTTGTTTTATTAACTGAGCCCTTGCCTGTGCAGAAGCAGAGTAGCAGATGGGCCGTCTTGCCCAGGCATTCCTCCATAGCCCACTGTTAGCTTAGAGGCCGCTCAGCCTTATTTCTCATTTCAGTTGTGGCATTTGGTGAGAATTCTAGGAAGAACATTGTCAAAGCAAGGCTAGAGTGGGAGATTCAATATGGGGAAGGGCCATCTGCTTTGCTCAATGACCAGCACTTCAGGTTAGGGTTGCTAACTTCCCCTGCCTTGAAACCCTGGAGAACCACCAACCTAGAGTTAATGGTCTGGCCCAGTAGACCCTATGTATCCTTAAAACATTTCATCATGGAACTGGCAGTTCCCCCATTGTGAGAAGTGAGGTTACAGGGAAGCAGGCAGAGGGCCTGCCCTGCAGAACACCATCTCTTCAGATGCCAAGGTTGTAACTATACAACCTTTAGAAGACACCTGAAGGTAGACCCGTATAGGGAAGTTTTTAATGTTTTATTATGTGTTTGTATATGGCAACCCAGTCAGATGGGCAGGGTACAAATAAAATAATAATGTATAATCTGGTTTCTCCTCCCACAAGGCATCCTTTTTTAATCAGCCACCCACTCCAGAGTCTGTATAATTTTTATTTCCCAATAATTCAGCCTCACATCTGAAGAGGTTGGCCAAGGTTGTCCCCAACAGTTAACAGCACAGCTTCTTAGGTGATGCTCTATTTCTGTGGCCGAAGCTGTGTAAAATGCAACTGTCGGGCCAGATTCCTCCTGGACCACAATTTTCAAAGCCTAGTCTGGTACGTCTAGGAGGAGCATAGCTGATTTATCAATCTGATATTGCCTGGCAAGATGAAGAAAATACACACATTCTGTGGTGCATTAAAATAATTTATGTAGACATGCTATACCAGAGAGACACATTACTCAGTTTTTACATTTATTACCTGCACTGCATTTTTCATTGCTTAAACAATTGCTGAAAGTTTTCCAGGTGGAAGAACTCGAAAAAGTTTCATGAGGAAATGAAAGCTTTGGCTATTTGCAAACCTAAAGCACTGAAACAATCTGCATCCTATTTGCAACCTACCATTGGCAGTTTGACAGCTGGATGGTGCCCTACTCCTGGGTGGAGGCAGTTGATCAGAAGTTTGGTGCAAAGTTTCAGATGCAGAGGGGTGGTGGATGCCTACTTGGATGAAAATTTCTGCAGACTCAGCATGCCCACCTAGGATGTCAGCACTTGGCTTTAGATGCTCATGGGCATGTCCAGCAGCAATGAATTCTGGGAATAGCTACCGTAGCTGGGTGAACTGGGTGAGAAGCCAATTAAAATAGAGAGCCCCTGGGTGAGCACTTGACTGTGGCTCAGTTAATCCTGAGTTGCCTGGAAACTAATATTCTACACTATAGAAAAAAGTATGTTTAAAGTTGGACTTTAGAAAAAACAATCGCTCTAGCAAACTTCATTTTACTATACAGTGGTACCTCAGGTTACAAACACTTTGGGTTACAGACTGGAAGTAGTACCTTGGGTTAAGAACTTTACCTCAGGATGAGAACAGAAATTGCACACCGGCAGCATGGTGGCAGCGGGAGGCCTCATTAGCTTAACCTCAGGTTAAGAACAGTTTCAGGTTAAGAACGGACCTCCAGAACGAATTAAGTTCGTAACCAGAGGTGCCACTGTATTAGATCAGTATTTGTAAGTTCCTGGGGTAAATAACACCCATAAAGGAAATACTTAATCCACTTTGTGCATATTAAATACTATTTGTAGCATTTTCCATGTGTTTAATGAGCCCATACTGAAAGTATTGTTGCCACAACAACTAATTCATTGTGCTCAATTTTGGGATCCATCAGACTGAACACAATCCATGAGCCATGTGGGGTTTGTTGTTATTAGTTGTCCTTTATAGTCTCAAACAGATAAGCTAAAAAAGGTCTCATCAAGCCACTGCTGAGCCACAATTCTAGATGATGGGCTGTGTTTGGCTTGGTGGGTTAGCCAGTTGTGCAGGCATGATGTAAGTGCTTGGGATAGGATATACCCAAAACTCTGCCAACACAGCGTTGACAGATAGGATTTGGCATGGCAGAAATATTATACTCTGATGGCAGATAAACTGGGGGCATAAGGTAGGCATCATGGTCTATCTTTACACAGTAGCTCTGACGGAGGAATGAAAGAATCTCTACTTCGCTTTCCACCTTTAACAGTGATTTTAGAAGCTGCTTCCATTGTGAAAGATAGGCAGCTGCTGCTCGTTACTCCAGTTTCTAGTGCTTCACCAATAGGAATATTTCACATTGTCTCATCAGTTCAGCCAATTAACTTCAGAAGCTTCATCACCGCATTGCCACTGGCACAAACCCCCTTTGCACAAATGTCAACACTGAATATAGCAGCAAATATGTTTACGATCATCAAGGGTCATATTTTGAGTTACTCGTTTTCATTATAATACCTACTTAGACTTGTGTGGAATTCTTTAGCTGTAATTTTTGCATTGCAGGGGGGCTGGACTAGATGCGCCCTGGGGGGTCCCTTCTATAAGTCTGTGAATACAGACTGAGTAATATTAGTAAGCATGGCTCATTGCCCAGCTACTGCTACGCAACAAGTTCTAACCATAGTCATATATCCCGCATTTTAAAATGAAGATAATGCCTGCAGTTACAGTAAATGTTGTTTGCAAACTCAAGGGATGACTTCACATTGCATACTTTTCTGAAGCTTTTCCAATTGCATGTCTTTAATTTTATCACCTTCTAGCATTCCTCCCATTGTTTTTATTAGCGAACGTGCTATTCATTACGAAGACAAATCAATGCCACATGTAAGCTGTATGGCCTAATGAAATCGTGACCATACCAAGGGGAAGTTGCTGCCCTTTCTAGTGCAGGTATAACAGACAGAAAAACCCACCACCTTCAGATCGGTCATAAATTCTCTTTCTGCGTGTTGAAGATGCTTTGTTGAACCATTTTAATGCTGGTGCCTTATTACCGCGAATAACTGGAAAAAAATGTAGGCAAGATGAGCCAAAGTGGGGTTTGCATACCAAAGTAGTCATAAATTCTTTCAACATGTGGCTTCAAATCTTTCCATAAGTACTTTGCAGTGCTGTTTTAAAAGGCATTTTTTATTTAATGCCTCTTTTTGCCTTCCGGAAGGCACCCTTTTAAAAATTCAACGTGATGCATTTCCACTTCTGATTCATTTCCTGACCCAAGATTGCAATTTGTACGTTGACTCCGGTACAAGTCACCGCTGCTTGAAATTTCATGTTTGAGGGGAACTGGTTTTCCTGTTTCTTATTTTAAGAATATCCATTCCTTTTTCTAACGAGAAGGCAACATGGATTTGGGTTGTATGAACTGTTGTTTAGTATAGGTTCACAGGGCAGGTTCAACAAGCAGGAGAGGTCTTGGGAGATCTTGTAAAATAATTGGAAGCAAGCACCGTTGGAGAATGCAGTTTGTGTTTCATTACTTTACTTTTCACCTGATGCCTTTAGGGCATGTCTGTGCACGGAGTTATAAAGGCCTTTTACCAATTCTTATAATCAAAATCCCTGGCATCTGAGTGATGGCAGTGTAGGAAATTCATTGGGAAAATGTAACAAAGAGGATTGCGAGAGGATGTTCTTCCTCTCTCGTAAGCCCAGAATTGGGGCATCCAATAAAGTTGATAGTTGGGAGATTCGGTGTAGATAAGAGGAAGGACGTCACACAGCACATACCTAAACTATGCTGTCACAAGATGTAACGATGGCAGCCAGCTTGGACAACATTAAAAGGAGATTAGACAGATTCATGCGGAATAAGGTTGTCGGTGGCTACTAGCCAAGATAGCTGTATTAGCTCCAGAATTGGAGGTGGAATGTCTCTGAAATCCAGTTTCTGAGGACAACAAGCAGGAGAGGTCTTTTGCTCTCATTTCCTTGTGGGCTTCCTGTAGGCAACAGGTTGACCAGTGGGAGAACTGGCTAGAAAGACCTTAAGTGTGCCCTAGCAGGGCTGATCTTACATTCTTGTCATATAAGAAATGGCTGTTAGTATCAGGCACACCATAGTAGTATGAATTACATGGAAATTATGAGTTGTAAAGATGAGTTGTAGAGCAGAGAGATTTCTAGATTTTGTTTACATTGTGTTAGAATATATCTCAGTTCTCGTGTCTCATTTAAAAAATGCTGACCACAATGTCTGAAGACCTCTTGCATTAGTCCGTGATTGCAATTCAAGTCTTACCCGAAAGGGACACCTCCAGGGGTGAGAGGTTACTCTTTGCTAAATTAATCCCTAGTATCCCTGCTGAGCCCCATGGAGTCTGTGTGGGTTTGGAGGATTAGGTTACTAAAACACTGGCAAAGACAGAGAAAGAAATAGCTTTGTGCTCACTTTGCCTATTAAATTTGTTTAGAGGAAATTCATTTTCTCCAGACATGCCCCATAGGACTGACTTGCACACCCAAAAGTATAATATTTCCACATAATATTTTAAAATGTTAAAATTAATTGCATTGTTTATTGGTTCTGCAGTTACATTGGGGTTAGTAGCCATTAGTTTATTTATCTTTCATGAGTTTGACAAGTTTAAAACTGGATTAGACAAACTATTGACTATCATTGCATTTTATGGCAGCCAATTCTATAATTTGGGTGAAAAAGTACTTCCTTTCGTATATTCCCCAATTAAGTTGGTTGCTGTCTTCCAATTCTAGTTTTCCAGCTCTTCAATGTCGTTTTTGAGATAGAGTGACCTGAACTTTAGGCCACATTAAAAATGCTGGCAATTCTATATTCAATCTCTTTCCTAATAATCCGTAGGATGGCTTTTGCTTTTTTCAGAACTGTCACACTAAATATTCCTTCATTTCCCCCTTCTCTGTTTAGAAGTCTCTCTTCATTAAGCCACGAGCTTGACAGCAAAGCCAATCTTTTAAAACTTATCTGCAGGAGAACTAAATGAAGTGCTCTCTAAATCCTGCAGATCTTTATCAGAAAGAGAACAGTCAGGAGAAAATGCCATGTTTGTCATATGGACCAAGAGAAATGTTCATACCTGAACCTGTTCCAATAGGAGTAATAAGATGGTACGATAAAGTCTGCTGAAGTACAAACGTGTATGGTGCAGAACTGCGCCCACCCAGCCTAAAAATGGTTTAATCAGTGCTACCTATCCATATAAAGAATCTTTCTCCGTTTTACGATTCTTCAACATTTCCTTGAGACTTCACAGTACTTGGCTTCTCAGCTTCTAGGTCAGTGATGGAAAATCTGTGGCCATCCCAATGTAGAGGACTCCAGTTCCCATCAGTCCTGATGGTTGCCCTTGTTGGCTGAGTCTGATGGGAGTTGAAGTTCGGTCACATCTGGAGGGCCACAGTTTCCCTATCCCAGTTCTAGGTTAAATGCAGGTAAGGTAGCCACTGATGCTGAAAGACCTACATTGTCTCCCAGTACATTTCCGAGCACAATTCAAAGTGTTGGTGCTGACCTTTAAAGCCCTAAACGGCCTCGGCCCAGTATACCTGAAGGAGCGTCTCCACCACCATAGTTCAGCCCGGACACTGAGGTCCAGCGTTGAGGGCCTTCTGGCGGTTCCCTCAGTGTGAGATGTGAGGTTACAGAAAACCAGGCAGAGGGCCTTCTCAGTAGTGGCGGCCGCCTTGTGGAATGCTCTCCCATCCGATGTTAAGGAAATAAACAACTACCTGATTTTTAGAAGACATCTGAAGGCAGCCCTGTTTAGGGTAGTTTCTAATGTTTGATATTTTACCGTGTTTTTAATATTTTGTTGGGAGCCGCCCAGAGTGGCTGGGGAAACCCAGCTAGATGGGCAGAGTATAAATAATAAATTCTTCTTCTTCTTCTTCTTTATTATTACTAAAGAAGAGAGGCCTCCTGTTCTTTTCATAGAAGTTTAGAAGAGGGAATTTCAGCAAGCTTAGCTTGCAATGGCAAGCTGAAATTCTCTCTTCTACACAACTTTGAAAGTCACAGGCAGCCTGCACTATTTCCAATCTGCCCACCACATATGCAAGGGCTATGCATTTTGGGATTAAAACATCTTGTTTCTGCAACCATGTGGGGAAAATAACACACGAGCATTTGGAGGCCTTGCTCATGCCATTTTTGTCTCCCCTGGAGACAATTTTCTTTGAAGGCAACAGTCCGAATATGGTGTCTATTTGAATGGGAGGCTGTGAATCTTGCTCATACATTTCACTTTTCTATGCCACCTCCTTGGATTCAGGGTGGGAGTGGGAATTTTGAATTTCAGAACTGAGGCCAGCAGGAGGTCTCCTTATTGATAGTTGAGTTAACATTTCACCCCCCCCCCCAAAAAAAACCCCCTCTGCCTTCTTTCCAGTTCTTGAATGTAAATATCCATCGCTTTTTTGTTTTTACTTCCTTACCATTTGTTTGTTGTTCTGACTCCATGCAATTTCTTTAGGGTTTGTGGCTAGCATAAAAAGAGCCTCTCAAATATTCTTTTGAACAGTTGTGCTGAAGCAGATTATAATTATTTGAAGAGTGCAGCCTAAAATATATATAAATATGCACAATCTACAGGCCCTTGCATTAAATTAACTCAGTGGCAGACAGTTATTTCTGAGGAGACATGTATAGGATTGCTACTAGAGGTAGTGTTTAGTCATCATGAAGTTACAACTGATAGCCTTATCCTCCATTGAAATGCACTGCTGGTGAACTCCCTCTTTGTTTTGATGTGTTTTATGCTGCCAGCCCATTTTCCTCCTCCTGAGATGTAAATTTTCCTTGTTGCTGTTCAGTCTAAGGTGTATACCCGCACTCCGACGCTGTATCTGGATTTCAAGTTAGACAAAGGAGCAAAACACACCCAGGCTGTTCCCAAAGGTAGGAAACATTTCCTTCATCTCGTCAAAAATGGAATTTGGAGCTGCTTCAATGGTGATGCTTCAATCTCTTTAATGGTGCCTTGTTCTTAATGGATGAGTTCTTAGCGTGGGCTTAACTTCCATTCCCATTTTTGGTTATGTGCTTGGGCCTTTTTACATGACAAAATATCTGAGGGTCTGTTCTGCGCATAGCACCTTTTTTCCACATGGATTTCCAAGTCACGTCAGAGGTATGGCCCAATAGGTACATAAAGGTAAAGGAACCCTTGACCATTAGGTCCAGTCATGGCCGACTCTGGGATTGCAGTGCTCATCTCGCTTTATTGGCCAAGGGAGCTGGCATACAGCTTCTGGGTCTTGTGGCCAGCATGACTAAGCTGCTTCTGGCGAACCAGAGCAGCGCACGGAAACACCGTTTACCTTCCTGCCAGAGCGGTACCTATTTATCTACTTGCACTTTGACGTGCTTTCAAACTGCTAGGTTGGCAGGAGCAGGGACCAAGCAACGGGAGCTCACCCCGTCGTGGGGATTCGAACCGCCAACCTTCTGATCGGCAAGTCCTAGGCTCTGTGGTTTAACCCACAGCTCCACCCTCGTCTCAATAGGTACATAGTCACACTTGAAAGACTTAATAGCTACAGTGCTGTAATCTCACTGGTGCAGCAGGGCCTCTGGTCTCTCACCTCCCTCTGCACACTTTTAAAATCTGCTTTTGAGCATCCCTAACCCTCTGGAGCCAATTTGGAGGTTGGGTGCAGGGACTGAAGAGGACAGGAGAGGAATCTCTGTTGGGCACACAGACGTCTGTTGTGCTGGTGCATATGGCGTGTGGCTTCCCTCCAGGAATAGCCATAAGCCCTGTTCAGTCATTTTTCCATCACGTGGTCACCATCTCATGCTCTCCGTGGGATGCAGCTGCTGGTCCCGCCCTCCCTGTCACATTTCCAGCAGCCCCGTCCATCCAACACAGATTTCTGTGGGGTGAGGTCTGAAGCCAGCAGCCTGCTCTCCCTGTGCACTTTCTGAATTGTGCTGGGAGCCTCCAGACATAGAGTAGGCCCCCCATTTCAGACCATTTCCTCTAATGTGTAGAGGGCCGCCGGGCCGCATGACGGGGGTAGAAGCAGAGGAGGCAGGGCAACAAGCACAGCAACACCCTTTGCTTTGGGCATCGTGAATCATTTAAGGAAAGGAGGACTAAGTGAATAGGATGATAGTGAAATAGGCAAATGCTCTGGACCTGGGACTACGCACATTGCCCGGTAATGGCTTTACTTCCATTCTTGTAGGAAAAATACGTGTTCCACTGATTTAGGGTCAAAGTGTTTGGTATGTGGGAAATCTGTGACCTGGTTTTATTAATGCAGCCGTTAGTACATTCCAATTCGATTAGAGCAGTTGGATAATGGGAGATTTTTTTTATCTTCTCTCTCCATTGTGCCATTTTCCCAGTCTAAATTATACTCTCAAACTGTGGTTTGCCAAGTGAGGTAAAAAGTACAATACCCTTTAGGGGCTGCTGATTGGGGAAATTGGGGTGAGGTGGGGAGAATGAAAAACGCACATTTCCATTGCTCTAATCAGATTGGTAGCCTCTCGTGGCTGCATTTCATTTAAAGACAGAATGGCAGACAATCCAATCCCATGAACACGTAGTTCAGCCCCAGTTCTTGCAGAAACAGATGGCTGTTGGCTAGTTACTGAGGCCAGTCAGTAAGATTTTTATGTATTGTAAATGCTCTGCCTCAGTTGCAAAGAATCCGAGTTTGGATCCAAAAAACTTATGCACACACTTATCTTGCTACATATGCTATCCTGACTTTGGTAAGGCTCATTTGAATAAAGAGTGCCAAGGTATTTTTTTTTTATATTGTTGTTATTAAATGAGCTGAGGATCTGGAGTTGCAAAATTCCTTGGCATTTGCCACACATGTTTGTCTGTTAGGTAATGGGCAAAGAATTAGCTGCAAATTTGCTCCATAATATTTTTCAGCCATTTCTGTGAGAGACGGATGTTTGTTTCTGCACATTTGTGTTTCGTATGTAAACAAATTTATGGAAACTCTGGCCTTTTAAAGCAGTATACTAATAACCACTGAACAGTTAAGGAGCTGACACATAAATATATCAATAAATACTCATTTGCTATCTTTTGAACTATATCCTGAGTTCAAGTAAATCACTTTTAACACTTCTAAAAGGCTGCTGAAGATTTAAGAAGGGCAGGAGAATTACAGGCTTCTCTCTTAGGTATTTATAGAGCTGGCTTCTTTTGAAGAGGTATATGATGAGCATAAAGAGATCACAATCCCCTGCTACAGAATATCAGCAAACAAGGAACCATTAGTTCCTGAGGGGATTAGCAGAAGCTCTAGAGAACTATAGAGAGCAGTGCCTTCCCCACTTCCTGCTTAAGATGATGTGTGTTGCCCTGAGGGAAGATGGATGAGGAGAAGCCAAGTCCAGGGAGCGCATAACCATCATGGACCATCAATAGCCTGAGGCTAAGGCTAAAAGATTCTACGCCAAGGTTTGTGAGCAGGAGTACTGGGTCTTAGAGGAGACCATATAGTGTGCATTACAGACACCTGCTGGAATGGAGAAGACCAATGGGACATGGTCTTCTGGATGCAAACCGTTGTTAGATCCAGGAAGCATGTACTGAAGGTTGTGTCATTCTGTATTTCAGAGACAACATAGTCCTTAATGTGCTGGAAGAAGTCTGCCCTGCTAAGTTCCCACGTTCTCCCTTTACTCTTCTTCAGTGCAGTCACAAGGAGAGATCAGAAGTTTCTGCTTCTGCTTTAGTTTTACCACAGTTTAGCTGAAACCATCAACTGTGGTTAATCTTAACTATGATTAGTGAAAACAAGCCAGCTTGGTGTTCTGTGGCTCCAGTGGGTCATCTCAGATCAGATCAGCTGGTGTTTTCCGATGCAAGCTAGATTTCTAGCTGAATTCAGCAGTCTTACTTAGGAATCTGTGATGGGCAAGTGGGGGCCTGCAACAAAACGTTATGTGGGTTAATGATTGGTTTTAGTGCTGCAGACAACTCCACCTTCCTAGGCCTCCCACTCTGCCATTCTTGTTGTGCCTCCATTTTGCATCCCTTTCCTGTCCCACACTCTTGTTTTGTTGTGTCAGTTACCATGAAATTCCCCTTTGTCTTCACATCTGTTCCTCTCCCGTGTTCACTGATTTGCTTCTTCACCTTCCTCCTCACTTTCAAGCCATGTCTTGGTTTTTTCATCGGCCTTCCTCTCTTCCCTTCTCTCTCCTGCTTCTTGCTTTCAGCTGCATAATCTTCTTGCTCATAGTTTGTTCACTTTCTTCTGACCCAGTTTTTGCTTTCATAATTTTTCACCATCAACTTCTAATCTGCTGGGTCTGCTTCCCCTCATCTTGTTAATCTTTTTCCTTCCCTCTGAGCCAGTGTGGTGTAGTGATTAAGAGCGGTGGACTCATAATCTGGTGAACTAGGTTCGATTCCCTGCTCCTCCACATGCAGCTGCTGGGTGACCTTGGGCTAGTCACACTTCTCTGAAGTCTCTCAGCCTCACTCACCTCACAGAGTGTTTCTTATGGGGAAGGAAGGGAAAGGAGATTGTTAGCTGCTTTGAGACTCCTTAGGATAGTGATAAAGCGGGATATCAAATCCAAACTACTCCTCCTCCTCCTTCTCCTTCTCCTTCTCCTTCTTCTCCTCCTTGCCCCTCGCCCCAAACTCATTGTCCTCCTAGCAGATACAGCCAGGAGCCTGGGCAATGGAAACTTATCACGCAAGCCCTACTTCCAACATATTTTTTATGGCAACAGACATGGATGAATCAGGCAGACCCTGCACACATATGCAGTTGTGTTTCAGCCTTTGGAAGGGAGTTTGCCTCCTTTGTGTGTTAACATGTTTTTGTTTTGTTTCTTGTACTTCTGCAAATCCTGGTGTTCCCCTGAGTCTCTGGATGCTTGTGTAGGAGGTTTTAGGCATATAAGTATCACCACTTACCCCAAGAAGCAGAGAAATAAAGAGGACTGGTTTGGAATGGCTGCTGTACAATCTATCCATGTCTCAAAATCAGTTATCAGCCCACTGTTTAACTTCTGAAGAAGTCTTAAGCATAATTATATAGCCGCAAAATTTGACCTTTTAAGGCTACCTTCCAATCTGTGTCTATTTATGGAGAAAAATTGTGGTCCTTTAACTGGAGCTTAATGTGTTGGGATTTTCATGTCGAAATGATGGGGCTTGCTGCTTGTTCTGGGATATGTGCCCAGAGAATGAGAAGATATAACCTTGAAAGTAGAATTGCTATGGCTGAAATCCATGTGGTTATTTCAGAGGTGCATCTGCATTTAAAAGAACACATTTACTAACTGTTGCAGACTGAGCAGTAACGTTTTAATGAAAAGATAAGCGCCGTTTATTTATGTTATGAATTGTTTCCCATGAGGCATCCCAAAGCAATTGACAATATAATAAAACATTTATGAAGCAGGTAGAACAGTTGCATATGTAAAAACAATTAAAAAACGATTATATGTTTTAAAAAGCCATTTAAAGCAGCAGTGCATAGGTAAAATCAATTCAGACCCAATATAGGTGCCAACTGGGATAAAGAGAACAGAGTTTTAATCAGGTTACGTGGCAATATTTTTTTTCATCCATGTCAAAATGCTAGGCATTCAGCTTGGAAGAAACAGAGCTGGTGGTCAAATTTAGCAAATAAGGATTTCATCTAGCTGGCGTTCTGGTGGCTGCACCATTGTGTACTTTTAAAGCAAACAATTCCCTTCAAACCAAGTAGGATTTCCATCTGAGCAAAAAATATTTACAACTGGGCTATGAAGCAGCAAACCACCAAACAATGGACTGGCCCCACCAGTTAAATGGCTTTCCCAAGAAACGGTCCATTTTGTGTCTCCTTCCCACAGAACTGCAGCTGAAGGATAAATGGACAGTAGTAAAAGGCTAAGCAGCCTGTTGGAGAGGCCTTGGTGGGCTAGAGGTGACCTTCAGGTCTTAAATTGCCTCCCAGTATAGAAAGGTAAAAGCATATTGGGAAATGATTTATAATGAATTGAGAAAAAATGTTTAAAACTACTTTCCAAAAAACAACCAGAGTAATTTTTGTTGGGGATAGCCCATACTGAAATTCCCAGGTGTCAGAAAAGGTTATTTATGTATGCAACAACTGCAGCCTGTGTTTTGTTAGCTGAAAAATGGAAAGTGAGTAAGGCCCCAACTAAAGAGGATTGGCAACTTAAGTTGACAGAATATGCACAACTTGCAGATTTAACACATAGAATAAGAGAGCAAGAAGAACATGCCTTTAAAGAAGACTGGAAAACATTTATTGAATATATGGAAAGTATTCAGCTGAAATATACAGCTGAAAACGCTGGCAGCATTAAGATAAATTCAACAGAGTAAATAATTTTTGATGGATGTAAAAGTGGAAAACTGATTTGAATGGTTATAGTAAAATATGCAGGGATGTATGATATGTAAAATCAACCATGGGAAGAGAAGAAGGGTAGACATTGGATATTTTAAAGTTTGTAAAATGTTTATTTGAGATTGTAAAATAGAAAATTTAATTTAAAAATATTGTAAAAAATAAGTTGCCTCCCAGTAAGCCTCTTAAAATGGAATAACTTAATTATTTATCCTATTGTTAAACAAAACAGTTAATGAATACATTGGAAAGTCCAATGTATTTTGCTGTAGTGCATGTCTCTCTACTTTGGGGAGGTGTGGGAGGTTGGTAATAATGTTGTTTCATTAGTTATGTTACATCCGAAAATAAGTAAAATATGGTTTGAAAAATGGAACCTTTACACATGGATAGAGTCACATTTATACCTTGCAAATTACAACTTTGCATGGCCTAATACAGGCCTCCATATGTTTAAACTTTCTATGTATCTGACAGTATTTTGCCCTTTTACATTTCAGGTTGGACAGCGTTTATTTACACGCTCTTTGGTAATGTATATGTTGGTAAGTTGCTTGTTGACTCCACCCTGTTTTGATTACTGGAAACTGCTTCTGTTATTGAGAACCATTTTTTATTTTCAAAAGCTAGTACGATCTTTTTTTTAGGGGCGAAATGGTATTCAGACGGTTGTAAATGTCAAACAGGCAGCATTTGCTTGCTCTGTAAAAATTGCAGCCTTTAAAGATTAGCAGGTAGCTTCCTATTGGTTTATGACACTGGGTTGCTCTATAAAGCCTACCATGGTCTCTGCACAGTATTTCCTAGAGATTGCTGCTCTGCCTGTGAGCCCACCTATCTATAAACAATAAATCTGTGGTTGACCCTTGTTGAGGGTCCTCGTGGCGCAAATGCCTTAGTTGTGGCAGGTTGGAGAAAGCTTTGTTTGTTGGGTAATGAAGCGGTGATCTGCAGAGGACCATAGTGATGCTAGATACCCTTTCACAGAGTCGGAAGGGACCGTGAGGGTCATCTAGTCCAACCCCCTGCAATGCAGGGATCTTTTACCCCATGTGGGGCTTGAACTCACAACCCTGAGATTAAGAGTCTCATGCTCTGGCTGAGCTGTCTCAGCTGAAGCATTTATTTCAAAGTAGAAAACAGATATTGCAGGGAGAACTGTAAAATGCCCCTTATAGAACAATCCTATACTTGGAGGGAAGACCCATCAAATTCAGTGGGGCTTAATCAGGTAAATGGTTATAGCATTGCATGCTTGGGCATCGTAAGTCTTACCTTGCAGTGAAGTTATTCTGTGATCAGCTGTCTGCCTGGAAATTTTTGTGAAAGGTTTAATTATTCATATATGTTTTGGAAACTGTGTGAATTAGCCAGTACCTATTTGGAAATGTTAGCACAATCACCTCTTGAAAAGCCACCATTTTCCAGGTCCTTCCGATGCTCAACAAAAAATAGAACCGCACCACACTGCTGTGCTGGACGATGGAGACTGTATTCAGTTTGAAAACAAGGTATTCTGCAACTAATCTGTCTGCCTCCAAAACATCACTCCCACCCCCAGAATGCTTTCAGTAGGTTTTTAACAATAGTAGACTGGGTCAGAATGAATCCCAAATAAACTGCCTTAGCAAGAACCCCCAATTAAACTGTTAAAAGAAGTGCCGAACCTGTCTTCATTGCCTTCCTATACTAAATGTTTAAGTGTCTTTTGCTTGGTTGTAAATCTTGAGAAGCTCTTATTCTGTAACAGCCCATTGACTCTTGTGGAACTAGAGTAAGTGGACTGGATTTCATCGGCTTCATTTATTCTTACTCTTTGTATTTTACTCCCCGCACCCTTCAAGCTGCTTAAACTGCAGTTTGCGGAGTGCTTTCAGGTGTTCTCTACAATGGAAATGAGGTGTATTCTGGGATACATTCTGACTCAAGGTGGCCCTGAATAGCAGTGTGTCTTCTAACAAATGTCTTGATGACGACTTCTATAATACAGATCAATTATTTGCCCACCTCTCTCTTCAGATATTCAGTGCAGCTACACTGGAGCATAGGAGGGGCTGAGTTTTTATATCTAAACTCTCCAGGTAGCCTCTCACATGCTGGTTATGATATAGCGGTCTTCAAAGAACAGCCAGACAAAGAAATTGCCTGGCTGATCCCTACAAAACAGGTTGAGAATTGCTGAGCACATAGTAACTGCCTGGCTTATTCCTAGACTTATCACTGTACATGAAGCAGGGAGCTAGCTACACAAGGTTTGTGCCCCAGTGCTGGCCCAATGGACTCTATTGACCCCATGACCAGTGAGCAAGGAACAGAGGCAGCAACAATGTTGTATATTTGTATGTACAAAAAGAGCTCCCCAGATCCCCTAGAACTGAGGCTGAATTTTCCTGGGCCCCTTCCTGGTAGGGACAGGGAAGGACTCTTGTCTGAAACCCTAGACAGCCACTGCAAATCATTGCACACGAGAGTGGCCCTCTAGATGTTATTGGCTTTGAATTTCCACCAGCTTCAGCTAGCTTGGCTGAAGGGTTAAGGGAGTTTTAGTCCAGCAACATCTGAAGAACCAAAGGTTTAGCCAGCACTGATGTAACCAGTCCTGTGTTCTGACAATAGAAGGTAGCTTCCTCTGTTTGCTCAAGTTGAATCAAAAGCACCTCCTTCAATCTGTTCAAGTTATTACTGATATAGGAGAGTGCAGTTTCCATTGGCCTCATTCACATGCTGTGGCAGACATACAACTCAAATGGCAGCGACCCGGCTCCTTCTTCTGCCAAATTGCAAAGAGACGAATCTCAAAGCAGTGAGCCAGGAACAAATCATTGTATAATTCATGTTGGGGAGTAAGATGGTTGGTTGGTTTGTTTGTTTTGCATGCCCCTAGAATCCAGCTTTTCTTTGTATGCTTAACCATCTCCGGGCTGGAAAAATAGGTTATATTCTAGGTTGTTGGAAAGAGCAGTTTATTTTGTGAGCAGAATCATAGGAAGTTATAATTTGCTTTCTAAAAAATATATTGTCACTTCTGCTTTTGTGCTTTTCCTAAAAAAAATTGAACCTGACATGATTCAAAAGTCTTGTTTATTTTTCGATATGGGCTACACCCTTATGTCTCAAGACAGTTTTGCAATACTAAGACTACAATAGGGTCTGTCGCAATTCTTTTCTTACATAATATCCAGCAATTTATCTTCAGTGCAGCCAGACCCTATGAGCCTCTGCTGAAGAGACAATGCATCTTTGACAGGGTAGTTTACCTTAAAAGCTACAACATGCCATAACACAGGAGTGGGATTCTTAAGATGCCTCTTTTAACCTTAGGAGAACTGCCACAGCACAGTAAAAAGTTCTGACAGTTCCAGTGGGAGGCCCTACACACCAGAAGAGCCTGGGAAGCATTTTCTGACCATTGAAGTGGACTCTAGACATAATGTATTTGTTACTCTTTCAGGTGCTGGAGAACTTATTTTTGCTGTGACAATTTCTGCTACCTCTCTGGAAACTTCAGCCCAGTTATGCTGGGGGATGCTCAAGAGTTGGGGTGGGGAAGTTCCCTTGTGGAAAATCTTGGGTGGGGAAGCGTTGTCTATTTGTTTTTGGCCTTTAGCTCTCACCAAGCAAAATGCGCACAACTGCCCCCTTTGTTTACATGTTTAAATTCATCATATATTTAATAACAACTTGCATGTGGTCCATAATATTGTATTTAGATAGGATCCAAATCCCACTTTAGGCACAGCGCCCTTTCCAGATGACCTGCTTATTTGGGTTTCACGCTGACTTGCTTGCAGAAAACTTACCAAGAGGTTAGATTGTACCTGGTCTTTATTGAGCATTGATTCTGGTTTTTTGTGGAGCAGTTATACTGCATCCACCCCGATTTGCTTGGTGTTTATTCGCCTTCCCACTAACCATTTGTTCAGCCCACATGGAGAGGCCATGGGTCATCACTTGGGACAAGCACTGGCTCATTCTTCTCCCTGAGCTTGGCAGCGGTGGGGAAAGCAGCAAAATTCCAGGATCAAATCAGAAACCTGGAAGGCTTTCATAATTCTGGGACTGTCCCTGGAAAGTCGGGACACTTGGAGGATATGCTGAGGCCCCACACTTGTGATCTACTGTATTGTAATTTGCTCCTGCTTTGGGTATCTAATCTCAAACTCTCAAAATGTAATTTATATGCTGCTGATGGATGCTTTCTGCTCATCCTTTTAGGATCCTGAAATGAGCCATTTTGTCTTGGTGGCTGGGGAGCCCATTAAGGAACCAGTAGTGCAACATGGTAAATATCTGTTTAACAAGTCGTCTTCTTTTTAAACAAATGGGGCATGCAGAACGTATTTTCATCTTCAACCTCAGGTTTTATTCTGGAATATCTCCCCCTGCCCTTCTGTTGAAAAATCCACATCAGTGACTTGCTGCTTTGGTCTTCCACTGGTATTTATAGGGCTATGCCCTGTTTGTAAATCACTGTATTTTGAGAGGCCTTGCTTGGAATCTTTTGTTACAGTTGTGTTTCGCTCTTGGAAAAACAGGCTGGGGTTTGAGCAGTCAGATTATTTCCCCGGTCGAAGGATGTATCGTGTTACAGTGTGCATTAAGAGATTTGTAAATAAATTTTTGAAAAGAAGTGTATAAACGTTGGAAAGCAAAGTAAGTAAATAAATGTTACCGGCCTCCTTGCAAAGGGACTCAAAGCTGCCAGGCCTTGCTGTTGTTGCTAGTTATATCTTACCATCATCGCACAAAGCTACTGGCAAGCAAAATGTGAGAAGGGGAGGATGGGTTTGGTGGAGAAGAACTGAGACTGTTACTCCCATGGAATTTCAGTAACTTGCTTACCATAGAGCCATCTGCATTGATGCAGTGCTGTACAAGGCACATAAATGCATGGGTGGGGATGGCTATGAACGACAATGTGAATAATGTTGTGTATACGTTAGTCGGGTTGAGTCCATGCATTCCTGCAAGTAAATACATGACGTATGAGTGCATGTGATCTTGATGCACAGACATGTAAAGTGATTGAGAACTTGCATGTGCTGTGGCCTGAGGGGGGACCCTCTGCTTCACCTGAATCTGCAGGCCTTTGTCTGCGAGTGTCTGTGGAAACAGTTCTAGAGAAGACTTGAAGGTTGGAAGCAATGTGTCCCTCCCTCTGCCTTGCTCTGCCCTCTCCACCAGATGCAAACCATGGCAAACTCCTCCATCATTTACAGCATGGCAGCTAACAGTCTGTGGTACAAGGGCCACAGTCACCCATGGCCAGTCCATCAGGGGCTGCGTACAAGCAGTGGGTGTGCTCACCCCACAGCCCTCCTCCTTATCAACCAACCAGTCTGATGACTTGCATCCCATCAGGGCGCTGTGCTCCACCCACATGTCTACCTCATTTCATTTGCAGTGACCAAAATAAGTGGGGTCAGGGGGCAGAAAAAATTGCTTTGTTGGGGGCCTGATGAGGCACCCAAAGTATTGATTAGCTGCCCCTTATTTATAGGGTCAGATCTTCCCCTTCCACAGCCAGCATGTGTGGAATCCCCAAGATTTCCCTTTAATGTGAAGAAGGGAAAAGAATAACATTTCGTCAAATGCTATTGAGCAATCCTTGCTCAATTGCTCACTCAGCAATCCTTTGCTCACTCAGGATTGCTCGCTCAGCAATCCTTTGATTTGGTGCAACCTCTATGCCAGCCTTCAACACAGCTGAGCCCTTGGGAATGAATCTGGGGACCAAAAAGGAGGAGGAGAAAGGAAAATGAATGAGATGCAAATTGAATTCGTCTACAGAAAGCCTAAAGCCCGGAATATTTAAATACTATCCTGAATTTTGCAATCTATATCTTAGGTCCATTTGTGATGAATACACAGGAAGAAATTCAGCAAGCCTTTAATGACTTCAGAAATGCAAGAAATGGATTTGAGAGAGCCACCACTTGGAAATCAAAGATTGGAAACAAATGACATGGAGTAGCAGAACTCAGGCTGACTGGCTTTTTAAAAATACATTTGCAGCTGTACACCTTGATCTTTACTGCATTTACTGATTCCATTTGCTTCGTTAGTACTGATCATGTGGGTTTGCCAGATTGAGCCCAAATAATATTTCTAGTATGCCTAGAGCCAAAGTTAGCTATTAGAGTGTCGTAGACGGGTACAGCTGCATTTTTATTACTCTGAGATATACATGATATATAAACGTTCTGTTTATCTGTAATAAAAAATGTTTTCATCTAAAACGTACAGTCTCATGCCCTTTCTTTGTAAAAGCACTGCTTTAATAAATGAAATGGTTTTGTTAAAATCATTACAACACAGAAAACGTAAAGGAAAGGGGTGTGTGTGTCTGTGTGTAGCTGTATGTATACTTGGTAAGACCATGTGCTGAAGTTTCATGTTTCAGGTAATACCTTTTAAAATAATGGTGGCACACATTGCATCGGTTAGTTTAGTAAATGCTACACCATTGGTAGGGACAGAATGGGATAGGAGCCAACATGTGACTCTTGTTTTCTGCCAGTGTCTGTATCAGATTTAAGACGCAGGCTTCTGCAGGCTTCCATGAAGGCTGTGAAAAAAAGTTTCAATACAGAGAGTTGGATTACAGCTCTCTCTAGCTCAAAGCATCGGCCGTCCTACTGCCGTCTTAAAAGGAAGCTTGTAACATGGAGCACCAAACCCCCTCAGCAGATTTTAACCTTTCCTGGACCACGAATTAATATTGAGTTTCTCTTTGTGTCCAGGTGGGAGATGGATTGATTTTTTTTTTTTAATAGACTGGGACCTGTATTTGCCTGCTTCTGGAAACATTTTTTAACTTTTGTATTTTTATATCTAAAAAGTACCTACAAGAAAGAGATGACATTGTTTAAGTGAATTTTACTCTTCTTTTTTAACTGTGCTGTTTACATCTCGTGAATACTCTTTAAATTTACGTGGAGAGTAAGATTCTGGGTATGCATTTTTAAAAAACAATAGCAGTTCATAGAGAAATGAATTTCGAAACGTTCTTCTCCAGCTGTGTGACTTCAACTCTGTAGCAAAGTGTGGACGTTAACCACAAGGATGTACAAGCCGTGGACAATTATAAACATATTTATAGTGTCTCTTCTACATCTGCTGCAAGGTTCTGAACATGGATCTGTAAAGGTAAGTGGGCTTTATTTTGGAATGGTCTGCATCAATAGGAGTCTCGAGACCACATGGGTTTTCCTGTCTGAAACGATCTTCAGACTACAGTGGCACCTTTTTAATTTCTTTCTGGGGTGACTCTTAAGTATTGCATAAATAAACAACTTTGACACATGTAATACCGTCAGAGAAGATTTAACAGCACAGTCCAGCCAATTTAAGCATTTTTCTGACCTGCCAGATTTCCAAGGGAAAGACTAAAGGGCATGTTTAACTAACCCATTGAAATAAATAGTATTTAACTTTTGGCTGACTTCTGCCTTAAGGAGTATATAGGAAACAGGAATGTAATGAATCTACATTCACAGCTGATTGTCACTTTTCTTTTTTGGCCACTTAAAAACATAATGTGTTAAACGATAATTCATTTTCAGCGGTGGCAGATGACCAAAGGGAACCTTTTTGAGAATTCCAGTATGACAGAACTTTTTGCAATAACATAGCCTTCTCTTAAATTGTTTCATCCTCAGTCAGTGCTTTTCCTGCATCTCTCCAAACAATTTGTGCATTACCTGTAAGCCTTCCCTTTCTTTGGCAAGATTAGGAAGGTTGCCTTCTTGACCAGTCACTCTGTTTTTGCACGGATCCACTTTGAAAATAATTAGGTTTTAAATACTGTTCCCAAATAACGTATTTGCTACTGCCCTTTAATATCCAGTTCCTAGAAGTTTTTGTCATTCCAGGACATTGTCAAATGTATGTGTGTGTGATTAGAGAAACTCCTTACTGCTGTATAATGTACCAATCCAGTCTGAATAATTAAGCTGAATTCCCATATGGTTTGAGAAGTAATTCTTTGCCAGATATGATATGGGAAATGCCTTCTAAGGTTGGTTCATGGTGTAAGCTTTCAAAAGATAATATTCCAGCCTCCCTTACAACTTCATTGTGTAAATAGCATATTTACGAGACTTTGAAAGTTTAGAAAAGGTATCAGTGTTCCTCATTTCCTTAACTTGTTACATTCTACTGTTAGCTTCTTCAGTAAATCAGAAAACTGAATTGAAGATTCAAGCAAGAATCTTGTTATGTTCACATTAATGGGGAGGGGGGCGGGAATGCAACTGCTGGCGTTTGGCAAAAATGTGAATCAGCCAGGCCCCAGGGTATTTCTGCAGTACAATGATATAATGCCAATTATACTGCAGAAGCAACATGGATATACTGAATAGGTCAAACTAAAAAGAGAGAGAGGATAATCATTTCTTCCTGCTAGAGTAGAAGTCAGCCTTTCTGCTATTGTCTATGAAATGATTTCCTTTTATCAAAATACATTTATTGTTAATAAAATTAAGGCTGCAAACCTATGCTATGCATAATTGCTTGGGAGTGGGCTCCACTGTTGACTGTCCTTGCATAAGGATTGGGCTGCCAATGATATCTACATAGGAACGAGAAAAGGCTATTTTGTGCTTTCTGTTAAATCTCCTGAGGTTTTGAAAATTTTTACACCAAGTACCGGTACCTATTATTTTCTGATTTTTCTATAGTTTGGAATATATTTCAGCTGATGCAATTCTATACCTGCCTACTCAGAAGAAAGCCCCATTGAATTGCAGGGGGCTTATTTCCAGGTCAGTGAGTACAGAATTGCAGCCTGTGGCTCAAAAGTGCTATGAAACATTTTGAGTGGCAGGTTATTCTAAATCTCAGCGACATCAAGCAGCTCTTCTTTCATGTAGAACTATGGGCACCTTGGTGTGAAGTAGATTGATGGACTGGACTGGCTTTACAATCCTCTTGGCAGGGATCTTTATGCTACAGAGAAGAGCCCAAGCTTAAATTATGTCCTTTCTGTAGGGCAAGTGCCTTGAAACACCTATGTGCAGAATTCCCTTTTAGAACATAAGAAGATCCCTGCTGGATGACACCCCAAGACTCATCTGGTCTGCCTTTGGGGGGCCCTGTTTTAAAATTTCCCAGCAGTGTATGGCAAAATGTGTTGGTTTCCCTCACCGTATCATATTACAACAGAAGTGTGTGTGTGTGTGTGTGTGTGAGAGAGAGAGAGAGAGAGAGAGAGAGAGAGAGAGAGAGAGATTTCCTGAACTTTACACAATGACAGTAACCTGCCTAACTAACATGGGCTTGGTCCCAGTATGACAGCAAGTTGAAGCCTGTGTTCCATTAGACAAAGAGAGAGGATCTGCCTCTGTGTGTGGCGTTAGGACCAGAGAGGTGTTGGAGTTTAAATACAGCTCAGTGCTGCATACCTGAGGCAGTCAAGTCCAGTGGGAGTGCCTATATAGTTGGCTCTCTCTTATGTAGTGTTGCTGTTCCTGTAGCCCCCAAATGCTGGGCTTGGCACTCAACTCCATCACTTCACAAAAGGCCAGATACTGCTCCCTCTGGGAAAGAAGAGGAACCATTGCTTTGGCAGTGCCCCTGACCTGTAAAAACAGCTGCTCTGGTTTGGCCCAGTTCAAGCAGAGCTCCTCCCACATGCTTGGGCCAATAGATGGAGAGACCACAGAGGAAGTTTTGGAAAAGGTTGGTGAGAGCTTGGAGAGACAGAACAATGCCTCTCTTGTTGGGTAGGAAGAGTAGCCAGCAGGCACCGGGTGGGAGAAAGTGGAATTTAATCATCTCCAGGAAGCAGCAAGGCAGAAGAAACACTGTGTGTGTGAGAGGAGAGGCTCTTGTCTGGGCAAAGTAGCTTCAGGGTTCTCTCCTCTTAGCATTTGTGAACCTAATGAAAGGAAGTGACACCCAGGGCCGGCCCACCCACGAGGCAAGGTGAAGCGATCGCCTCAGGTGCAAGGATCCATAGCGGCAGAGAATCCCAATGTAGAGATTTATCCCATCCCCCCACCCCATTCCTGATGTCGCTCTTCACTCCCTGCTTCTTCCCTGGTTCCAAGCAGGAGTTCAGAGCCAATGTCCAGGCTTTCCTTTGACCAAAGCCAGGACGTTTGCGGTAAATCTCCATCTGCCTTAAAAAGGTACTTGACCCTATGCATGTGTTCACTGAGCAAAGAAGATTCAGGCTGTTTATTGAGAGCTTTTTTTCTCCCAGACAGCTGTTCCAGAAAGAGCTACGAGGGGAAGTTTGGCAAAGCCAAATCTGTAAGAGACAGTTTCTTCAAGATGTTTCTTCTGCCCTAGGGGAGAAGGAAGCACTGAACTTTTTAGGGATCCAAATCGGACTTCCAGGCTTGGATAGTCAAGTGGCCCATTTTTTTTTGTATGCAGTTTTGACTAATGTATTCATTTTTGCAAACAGTGTCCCCACATTATCATTTTTGTCTCCCCCCCTACTAATATATTCATTTTATGCCCACCTTCCCCTTAAGTATGCTTTGTTGTAAACATAGTTTGGTGGGAACTCAGAATAACTCAGTTGATAGAGCATGAGACTCTAAATCTTAGAGTCATGGGTTCGAGACTCACACTGGGCAAAAGATTCCTGCATTGCAGCAGTTGGTTGGACTAGATGACCCTTGTGGTCCCTTCCAACTCTACAATTCTATGGAGTGCTGCATCACAAAATTCAGGTAAGTACGAATTTTAAAGAATGTCTATGTTTTAGTTCTTTTATTGTTTCAGAAAGTGAAAACTTGATAGATTTAAATGTGCACTGAATTTAATTTCTCCTCCTATCCCTAGGTGGCCAGATAACAAACTCTGCTCTAACCCAGTAAATAGCCAGGCCACCTCAACACAGCTCAACTGATTAGCTATGGGGATATTCTCTATTTACATGCCTGCTTAATTAGCAAAATTTGAGAGATGAGAGATCAAAGTTATTTTTTATTTAATACAGCAATTGGAAACAGCCCAATGTTCCAGGGCTACCGCCACAAATTACATTTCATGGCATGTGCTGTGAATATTAATTTCCTTAGGAGTTAAGAAATTTTGTAAAGTACACATGTTGTCAATGAACATATTTATTGGCTTTCTGAACCCTCTGCTCCTCTCAATTCCTTGTGACTAAAAGTCATGATGAGCAACGGTTTCTACATAAAATAAATGTGTTCAAAATATTCCGGAAAATTGATCCTGTCAATTCCCCTGGGGAGTGCCATTCTTTTTTGGTAAGTCTTGAAAGAGAGCCCTCTCTTTTAGGCTGTTACCATGCACCATGTTTTTAAAACAGCAAGAGCAGATAAAAAGCACATGTTTTTTAACATCCCACTGCATGTCCTTGATGTACTTATCACTTTGAGGGGGAGTGGGGAAGGTAAAGGGAACTAGGAGAGCTTTCTCCAGCCCAGGCCTTTTTTATTCATGAAAATAAGTTGAAAGTAGAAAGATATGCCCTCCCTTTCCGGTGCTTCAAAGTTCACAAGAAATACCATTGTGTGTTTTACTTGGTTTTTAACGATGCGCCAAGCTGTTACAATAAATCGAAAACAAAAATCCCAAGAGACAGTAGCTAAGGAAATACAGCGGTACCTCAGGTTAAGTACTTAATTCGTTCTGGGGGTTCGTACTTAACCTGAAACTGTTCTTAACCTGAAGCACCACTTTAGCTAATGGGACCTCCCGCTGCTGCTGCGCCGTCAGAGCACGATTTCTGTTCTCATCCTGAAGCAAAGTTCTTAACCTGAAGCACTATTTCTGGGTTAGCGGAGTCTGTAACCTGAAGCGTATGTAACCTGAAGCGTATGTAACCCGAGGTACCACTGTATGAGTTGCTTTCAGCTATTGTATATATTCCATTTTGGGGGGAAAGTGGCTGGAGCCACCAGCCAGGTTCTTGTATCTCCTAGACTGACATTTTTGGTACTGCTTGGTCATAAACATCTTCCACATGCCAGTGTGTGTGTGTGCCAGGTTAAGGAGCTTCTACAGCTCGGTTCCTGGGTTGCTTGAAAGCAAACCATGTTCAATAAATGTCCTCAAATAATTCATAATTCCCCATGAGTCAATGCCACAGAGTGTGAAGACCACGGATGCAACTTCAGGAGACAATAGGGTCTTCTGAAATGGACAGTCTTAAGGTCCTAAATCTACCTCCCAGTTCTTCTCTCACTGCTCTCTTTTATATGCTGGACCCAAAGCTTGGCAGTCTCCCTGGGAACCTAATAGGGAGACACAATCTGTGTTAATGCTGTGAGCACTTTCAATTTGTGCATGCAACAGTATGCTTTACAGATCAAATTAACTGTAAAATGTTAGCCTTGGGGAAAAAGGGACATTGTTGAATGTTTTTCATGGCTACTGTAAGTCAGTTCTTCATGATTCTACTGACTGGATATATGTTTGTTTATCCCAAGGCACTTCTTGTTATGCTAGGGGAATTCTTCATATTTCTTTTCTATGATTAGTAATTCTTGATCAGATTTGAACAAGGGACAGACTCCTGACATTTTGGATCATTTATCCAGCAGTATCTCAAGGAGCACCTCTCCCCGTATGAATTGACTCAGACCCTGCAACCATCATTGGAGGCCCCTCTTTGTGTGCCTCTTCCAGGAGCGGTCTGGAGGGCGGTAACACGAAAACAGGCCTTTTCTTTGGTGGCTCCCCATTTGTGGAATGCTCTCCCCTGGGAAGCTTACCTGGTGCCTTCATTACATATATTTGGTCACCAGGCAAAAACATTCCTCTTCTACCAGACCCTTGGCTAATTAAACAACCAATGGCTTTTATTGCTTTTGTTGTTAGTATGCTATGTATTTTTATGTTTTTATATTGTAAACTGACCTGTGATGCTTGGATGAAGAGTGGTATATAAATTTAGTTAATAAGTAAATAATAGAAAAACCATGGGCTGTTGATCTGTTTATCTGGGATCCTTTGTAACTAATTCTTTAGTTACAAACCTTAGAAATAACACCTCTTTTAATCCAAGAGTAATTATTTAACCAGGCCCGAGGTATTTTTTTAAGCCTATATTTTTACAGTCTGTATTACATTGGCACAATCAACAGAAATGTGTTCTCTTTCTTACCTAAGGGCTATATATAGGCACAGGATTGATCTTCTGGTTTCCACTCCTTCCTTACAGAGAACGTCACTTTCTGCCCTGGAGTGGTCAGAGCAGCAGATCAGGAAAGCTGCTAGCCTGGAAGAGCTTCTTCGCATCACCCACTCTGAGGACTGGAAGCTTTGGAAGTGCCGGCTAAAGCTCAAGGGCATGGCCGCTCTGGATTCCAGATCAGCCTCGCATCGCTCCACAAGATTTGCTGCTGCTTTCTATGATATTGAGATACTAAAAGGTAGGCGCACAGTTTATGAACTGAATATTTCTGGATCCACTGTGACATATGTTGGGCAGTATGCAGAGCTGACCCACCCATGTGGCTGGGTGAGGCAGCTGCCTCAGATGGCATTCTGCATCACCCCTCTTCCACCCCGCAGCTTTGCCACTGGTCTTCTCCCTGGTCTCTAGCAGCTGTGAGGGACTGGCAGCAAAGCTCTGCAGAACATCTCCTCTCCTACCAAGTTGGCGAGAGGAGAGGCATCGCTGACAAGTCAGTGGAAGATTCGTCCCCCTCACCGGGCAGTGTGGTGGGGCTTTGGTTGGCTTCTCCTGAAGGGAAGAGCCAATGCTAACTCCACTGCTGGGCAGGAAGTGGAAATCAAAAAAGGCTCTTTCCTCACCACCACCCATACCTTGGTCTGATGAAGAAGACTTACAGAGTTTGCATCCGGGTGTGGGTGTGTTTGTGGCGGGGCGGCTGTGAGACGTTTCTCTTTTTTGTGTGTAAGTTTTTTTTATTTGATTTTTAACAAATATAAACATATAAAAAATAATTCAAGATCCATATATCGAGATTGCTCTGAATCTCCTGACTTCCCCCCCATCCCTTCCATGGGTCCTAATAATAATAATAATAATAACTGGACATCAATACTTACCCAAGTTTTAACCATCCAAATTATCCATACTTTTGCGAGATGCTTCTCCTCAGGTATCAAAAGGTCTTTGGCCACCCCTGTTTTTATGTGAAAGGCAGGTTGTTATGTGTTTTTTGTGCCTGAAACACACACACACACACACACACACACTTGCTGATGGGTCTTCTCCTTGTTCATAAGGTTATGTCAGTGCTCTGAGTGATATAAGCAGGAAGCTGTCTTTTTTAAAAAAAAAAATCCATTTGAAAATAAAGTAAAATAATATTTTAAAAAGTTGAAAATGGTACAGTTAGGAGTCACCATGTGTCTAGAGATGTCACAGACACTGTCCAGTATGTATTGATATAGTATAGCCACTATACCGAAAGCATCCCACAATTGTGTTTGTAGTGCTTGCTTGGCTGGGAGGAAATGATATTTTGTCGGCAATAAAGCAATGGACTTTTTTTGCTTGGGGTGCTACCCTGGGAGAAGCTGCATGGATCCCTGGAAGGAAAGCAGAAGCCATGAAGCATTTATTCCATGATTTAATGTGCTCACCTGGAAAGGTGTCTACAAACTTGAAAATTCACACCCTGAAAAAACAACAACAAAAAATTCAATGTGCTGATAGGGTGCTTGATCGAAGTTCTGAGTCTGAAGTGCAGACAGGTGTCAAACCCATTGTTGCAAGATCTGTATCAGGCATTCTGTCTCATGTGTGCTGAATGCAATATGGGCAGTGGCCTTACATACCAAAGGAGACCAAAAAGAGGAGGAATGTCCTCTAAGCCTGCTACAGACTTCTTTAGATTTTCTGCACAAAACTAGGTATTTTTCTTTGTTTCCGCTCACAACACAGTTCGAGCAACTCTGCTCTAAACAAAGCATTTTTCCACTGCAAGGAAAAATGTAAACAGACAGCAATATTTAAAAGGAATGTGCCAACAGCAGCTTGAAATGCAGAAACATTCAAATGCCTGTTTTTATTAGGTGTGCCCTGATGTAAAACACTTTATCAGCTTGGACATTGCTGGGCAGGAGCTTCCTGGACATCTGTTCTTACAAAGAGAGGAAGAAACAGAGACTAAAACATTGGAAAGGATGGCATGGGCTCTGGTCATACCCTACGGGTGTGCTGTGGCATCTGCATTTCTGTAGTTAGACCAAGGGTTGCTAATTCCTGAACTGGCTCTTATAGCTGTCCCTTTTAACAGCCGTTTGATCAGGTGACCAAAGAGCAGGTCATAATGTCTGCCGCCATGTTATGAAAAGTTTCACCTGCCCGCTTTGAGCTCATCAGATATTTGCTAAAAGGTCAGGAGAAGGCCAAAGATGATTCCCACCCCTTTTCTGGCCAGTTACATCAGAAGAGCTTGACTGGATCAGCCCAAGGGCCCAGTGCAGTCTAACATCCTGAACTCACAGTGACCCAACCAGATGTCTTGGAGAAACCCACAAGCAGGGCCTGAAGGTCACCATGTTCTCCTCAGTTGTGAGTCCCTGCAACTGGTATTCATAAGCTTCATGTCACCCCAAGCTGGATCCCATGATGGCATTGGATAATCAGTGTTGGGCAGCATTGTGTGATCTGGCAGATCATGAGGTGCACGTCAGTCCTGCACCTCTAAGGGGGCTGATGATAGAATCTATCATATCTGAGTTTTACAGAACACATTGTAAAGTACAGAAAGGATAAGGGGAGAAATTATAACTACATCAGCTATGGTGGTCAGTTGGTAAAGCTCTCACCTTGATTGAAGCAATTCATAATTGATCATGATCCCTCTCTTTCCAAATTGCCATTTCAGAGGTGAGTGTTCATCCCTCCAGGCCAACAGGGGACCATCCAAACACAGAAAGGAAGCACAAACTGGTTTGCAGCAGTGCCAGGTTTTTGCAGGGAAAACTCATGGAAGAACCATGCCCATCAGACAGCCCAGTGAGGACTGAGCATGGCCATGAAATGTTGACTGGCTCTTGCAGGGGTGGATGGGCACGGAATACCATGGCGGAGGGAGCACTCCACTCTGCCGCATTTAATTGCACAACTCGCTTGGCTCATTTATATTAATAAACAGCAGATGTCATAATGTTGTCAAAGTGCAGTGCTGCATCTCACACAGCTACGAAGGACTCCGAGAGCCGGCCAGTGAGCTGGTGAGTCCAGTTGTGTGATGACAACTGCTGCTTTTAGAATGGCTCCCTTGTTCTCCAGTCATAGATGAGGAGTGGCAAAGGACTCAGTGCGTACCGAGGGAGACCTGCGTGGAAGTTGCCAAAGAGCTGGGCACGGCCACCAATAAATTCTTCAAGCCTCCTTGTGTGAATGTCTACAGATGCGGAGGCTGCTGCAATGAAGAGAGCCTAAGCTGCGTGAACACCAGCACATCTTACATATCCAAAATGGTATTTGGACTTTTTTTCTACTCTTCTGCAGTTTGTTTCTCCTTAACCGTCAAATCCTATGCAGGTTGACTTTGAAGCAAGCCCCTCTTAATTGAATAGACTCGTGGATAGCTCTTTCCTAAGTAAGTGTGTGTAGGAAGACCAGCCACCCAATGGATGTCCTCTGGCGCTGAACTCCCATCAACCCCAGCTGATAGGAGTTGTAACCCAAAATACGCAGGGGACGCCATGTTGGGGAAGAACAAGGCCATGAAAGTTGCCCATAGCTATGAATCTATTCACCATGGCAGAGCAAGTGTGGCTGTCCCACATTCACTCAAGTCTGTAGAACTATAGACTCCACAATGTGAAGAGGAGGACATGGGGTACATGTTAGATTCATGCCCATCGCATCTCCTTAGGGGCAAATTGTAACTGAAGATTCCTAACATGAAGCTCAATCCTCTATTTTGCTTCATTGAGCAGGAAATGTGGAGGCTATTTAACAATTAGGGGAGGCTATCTAACGATGTGTTTTAATAGTAGTGAAAAATGCTGTATTTCATCTTTCCAGCTGTTTGAGATTTCAGTTCCTTTAACAAATGTGCCAGATCCGATTCAAGTCAAAATTGCAAACCACACCGGTTGCAAGTGCTTAACAAATGCTCAGCGCCCATCGTACACCATCATACGAAGATCTGTTCAATATCCAGAAGAGGATAGGTAAGATGGGCAGTCAGTCTTCTCTCTATCCCATTTTTTTTAAAGACACACAATCGGTCATGAAGCTTTTCTGAGTGTTCATGAATTGTATGCTTTGTTCTAAGATCAGTGGTTATCCGATGTTTTTTAAAAAGTATGTTTTTCAATGCTACAAAGAAAAGTTAATGACTGCTTGGAAAAACAATGTAGAAACATGTTACATAACATATAGACTTCTCTTCTAGCAGCATTTTTTAATTACTATGGCATCTTTAATATTTACATTTTTTAAAAAAGAGAGTCAAAACTGTCACAAGCAGCTGTGGCAAATTAATAAACAGCAGGCAGTTGGAATGTATCGAGGCCCCAGTTTGATGACTTAGCAAATTTAATTCCTTGAACTGTTCCTTTGACGGTAATGAAACTTCTGGTCCAAGTTCCTAAGACACGTCTCTAAATGCAGAAGCTTCTCAACAGACTCTGAGCCCCAATACACCACGGCCATGTGCCGTCTGTCTGCTTAACTCAGCCTTCCCCAACTTGGTACCTTCCTGATGTTCTGGGCTATAACTACCATCTGCTTCATCCAGCATGTTTGTGCTGGCTGGGGGTGATGGGAATTGTAGTCCAAAATATGTGGAAGGCACCAAATTGAGGAACCCTGGTTTAATGTATTTGACTAGGTGTAGGGACACGGGTGGCACTGTGGGTTAAACCACAGAGCCTAGGGCTTGCCGATCAGAAGGTTGGCGGTTCGAATCCCCGTGACAGGGTGAGCTCCCGTTGCACGGTCCCTGCTCCTGCCAACCTAGCAGTTCAAAAGCATGAAGTGCAAGTAGATAAATAGGTACCGCTCTGGCGGGAAGGTAAACGGCATTTCCGTGCGCTGCTCTGGTTCGCCAGAAGTGGCTTAGTCATGCTGGCCACATGACCTAGAAGCTGTACGCCGGTTCCCTCGGCCAATAAAGTGAGATGAGTGCCCCAACCCCAGAGTCATCCGCGACTGGACCTAATGGTCAGGGGTCCCTTTACCTTTAATTAATTTGACTAGCCCCCCCCCCCAGCAAGCTGGCTCTCAAATGCCATTTTTGCATGTATTTATTTGAATATTTATATACCACACTTCCATAAGAAATATATAGCGAAGCGGTGTGTATACATCAGTTACTTTTTAAATGTGTTCTTAACATATTTATTTGGCCTTTTGTTTTCTTCTAGTTGTCCCCAAATAAACAAACTGTGTCATAGTGGCTGGATGTGGGACAGCGATAAATGTGAATGTGTTGTAGACAAAGATCGTCCTGGCAGAAGGGAAGGTATATACAGTACTAGTACTACTTATATACACACTTTAATATTGAAATCTGGACCAGTTAAAAGAACAACATAACAACATTATGAATAACAACATTATCAAACTGAAATAGGTGGGCGGAGGTGATTTCCCCCCCTTGCTTCTGTAACTCTGCATCCAGGAACAAAAGAGTAAATCTGGGCAGATTGGTAGTTTAAAGCATTTTGCTTTTACTAGAATAAACTGAAATGAGAAGCTCAGTCAGACAGAAGTAACACTCCTTCATTTGAAGCAAAGCATTTGTCCTCCTCCCAGATACTCCCACCCAACTTCGCACGCACAGCGGGATTATCATCATCATCATCATCATCATTGATTATCCTAGGCTATGTGCACCTGGAGGGATAGTAAAATCTGGGCAAGTTTCAAGAGCAATTTCCTCATGATATGGCATGAGAATCTGATGTTCAAAGCGGGTGGGAAGAAAATACTTACCAAGTGATTTCTAGCCATTGCTGAGACAAATACTGCCCCACCCCAGGAAGAGAAGCAACTCCAGATAATTGTGATTGCAATTAATGACCTGGAACAAAAGAGCCTCACAGCTAGCGCCAGATGCTCAAGGGTGCTTTGCACTTTGTTTTTCCTAAACAACCACACCGCCCCATGCCACAAAGCAAACCATGTGGGAGAAGCTAAGGAGGAGTTTGTGAAATTGTTATTAGGGTCTTCTATTCAAAAGGGGAAGGCAAAAAGCCTGCAAATCCAGGCTAAGCTAGCTCTTTAGATCCCAACTGAAAAAAACACACCCTAGAATATGGCTGTGTATACATCATACACATAGTGCTGCAGGGGGGAACTGCAATTCCTAGAATACTTGGGGTGTACGGTACACTTTAAATGTATGTATATTGCTGTCATGACTTTTAAAGTCCGTATCCATACAGACTCTGTTTATTTCTGCTAGAATATCAACTTCATTATACAGTGGTACCTCAAGTTACAGACGCTTCAGGTTACAGACTCCACTAACCCAGAAATAGTACCTCAGGTTAAGAACTTTGTTTCAGGATGAGAACAGAAATTGTGTGGCGGCGGCGCAGCAGCAGCAGCGGGAGGCCCCATTGGCTAAAGTGGTACCTCAGGTTAAGAACAGTTTCAGCTTAAGAACGGACCTCTGGAACGAATTAAGTTCTTAACCCGAGGTACCACTGTAGTTCCATTCTTTTCAAGCTGTGGATTCCATAGTTTTAATGGCAGGTTAATAGGAGTTCAGATTTCTGGACTCACAGTGCCATAAATAGTGCATTTTATAGGTTAAGTTCAAGTCTTGCTGTACACCTGCAGGATATTACCTTTGAGTGACACCCTTTATCTCTCTCTCTCCCCTCCAAAACATGTGCCAGGACTCCCTCCACTTGCTGAACTTGCGATGTGTGCACCAAATATGAACTTTGATGAGGAAAATTGTGAGTGCATCTGTAAATGGAAATGCACTGGCAATTTATTTCAGAACAAAGAGAACTGCAGCTGCTACTTGTGTACGGAGAACCAAGACAGCTGCCTTCAGAAACACAAGGAGTTTAATGCAGAAACATGCAGGTAAGCCTTCCTTTACATTTGAGTTCCATACGGCATGCTTGGTCCACAGCCAGGTTGATTGATTCCCACCCCGGGTTGAAATTTGTACTAAATGATAGGGCTTGTGTAGCACGTAAATCTCCCATGTAACAAAATGATAATGAATGAAGATCTTCCATGCAATGTGGAGCCATTCTGTACCTCCCTTCACATGACCATAATGGACATAGTCTTTTCATGCGTTCCTGTACATACACCATGGAACAGAAGGGTGCACTTACCACATTGTCTTCTCTGACTTACTGTCTTCAAACAGCTGTGAAGACAAATGCCCATTCCAAGCCAGAATGTGCCCAACCGCTCGGCCGGCGTGCTCGAGGCACTGTTGCCGCCCAAGAGGGGGAAGAAGTCCTCACGGGTCCCAAAGCAGAGAAACACCATGACTGAGCTTTTGTTATCTCCTGTACTACCACTACCACACTGCTTTGCAAAGTAGCTGCCCACCATCGACTGTTAAACAATAATAATCATGGATATGGGTGGCTTTACTGCTAAAAAATACAATTAAAATCCAGTCTGTCTTCGTTATTAAGACAACGAATGGATCTGCAAGGACATTGCCATCTGACTGCTGATATATGCTACAACAAACTTTATCCTTGTTCTGTAACGGACTACCAGAAAGACCTACGTTCATTGATGTTGTATGAAAAAGAAAGTGGCATGTTAGCAGCAATGGGGATATCTTTACCAAGCAACTTTGAAATGCAGAGAATAGTTCTAGGCCTTCAACCTGCTTATTGGTCATATTTCTTTTTAGACCAACTTTTCCAGACCTTTTAAAATTTGGTTCCCTAATGCATTCAGCACTGAATGATTCCATCTACTGTCTATCTGTGTTTTATTATTTGGGTTTATCCTAGAACTACTGTCTGATGTGCCATATTTAAAATGTATATAGAAAAATAAAGGCACCAGTTATTAAGTAATATGCAGTGACGTGTATAATTTCTACGGCAAGCTTGGTCAGAAGGAATGAACTACGACTAGAGGTTTTCATGTGCATCCTTTCATTCCATACACATGGAATAAAAGTGTCCCCACACTCCTCCTTTTTAAAGAATTCTGTTCTACCACTCATGTGGTAAGACTTGGGGTGAAGCTAAATGCTAACCCTGCAGCAGGGGATTTTTTATTTGATGCTAGGGAGAAGGAGGGGAGGTTTCACCCTTCCCTCCAGATGTAATCCTCTCCAAAATCATTCATCTGCATTGCAATTAGCCTTCTTATTACTTTACACCCTGCTCCCAAAGGAGCCTAGGATGGCTTCCAAGAGATGCAACAATAAAATTACCTTAAAAACAATTCCAGTATAGATGCAGATGAGGAAAGATCTCAACTTAACAGGAGGGAAGGTCTTAAGCAGGCGCTGAGAAGGCGTCAAAAATGGCACCTTCCTAATATTCAAGGGGAGGGAATTCCAAAGGGAAGGCGCCACAGCACGAAAGGCTTGATTCTTCCATTGTGCGGAAGGGACTTGCTGATAACAGTGGTATTTACAGGAGACCCTCCCTCACCTGTGTGAGTGATCAACTGGATATATACAGGCCGAGGCCATAAGGAGAATAATGCACTAGATCAGGACTATGCCATGTGGGGATGGGAGCTTGAACCTTTTGCCTCCACCCCAGCCATGATCGGAATTGGATCTCACTCCCAACCCCAAGTCTGCTATTTGCAGTTGGACTGAAATCTCCCTTTGGCTCTGCTGGCTGGGTCTGCTGGGAGCTGAAGCCCAGCATGAATGGGCACAGGTTCCTTGCCTCTGGTTTAAAGGTTTGGCGGCTAAGAAAGCCAGTACTGTGTTTTTCAAATACTAGCTTATTTAAGGGAAAAGAATGTATCTTAGTAGTAAGGCACAGTAGTAAGACCCCTAGGTATAGGGCGATATATAAATTCAATAAATAAAGCATAAAATGTACCAAATGTACCAGGTTCAATTCTGGCATCACTAAAGAAGGCTGTGGAAAAAACAAGCACTTAGCTTTTTTCCCTCACAAAGTGGTTTGACATTTGTCCAAATGGTTCTCTTTCTCCATAAGACTCACCTGTGATGAGGTAGATGGGGGAGTTAAATGCAATTTGGAAAATGGCTTTCGCAGAATGGCAATTTTGGGGGCCAGAAATTCATGCAATGATAACGGCTTGCAATTTTTTTGCAGTAGCTTGCAGCAAATTATCATATATGGGCTAATCTCCTTTTAGTGTTAAGGGCAATTAACTGACCACTTTCATTAATGTCTTGTGGATGTAAATTGATCTAGACTATGGTAAGTAGGCATAAACCTTTCTTTTGGCCTGCCACACTGTGACAGATTACACAGGAAAATGTTGTATTCCAATAGCTCCACCTAGTGTTGTCCGGACATTATTAACAGGTTTCTAAAAAACTGCAACTTCGAAACATACGAATTAAAAGAAAATGTTCTATGCAAATGTCCATAAAAATTAGCTCAAACCTAAATAAACTACTATATAAATTTAGGAATGCTGAATGCAGTGTTTCCTTGTGAGATCACAGGGCAGATTGTTCCTTTTTTAACAAATATTAAAATGGAATATACAAATAGTATACAGTGGGATGAAATAAACATGGATGAAATAAACATGAATTTGCACAAATCTGAACAGGAAGAGAAAAGCATTAAGCTTTTTTTAATCCTAAGCATTGTTATTTAATATCAATAGCTTGCTTGGGACAAAAACAGGGTATATTTTTGGTAACAGAGGAACATTAGCGGCCGGAGAGTTTAAAATAGATGTCATATGATACCAATAATAGTGAATGTAACTTAGGAGACCTGTGAAGTTATACAAAGGGCAAAACAAAATGGAAGGCAGTACGATACTCTATGCTTTCAATAACATTTATTTTGCAATCTTTGCTTTGTTTTGTTTCAAGCTCTTAATCAAAATCTCTTTGGCTTTACTGACCCATTTCTATATTGTGAAAGGGAACAGGAAAGAGGCTGCAAGGATAGCAGAAGAGATCTATGGAATAGCCCCAGGTAAAATTGTAGAGATAAATATTTAAAAAACTAACTGATCTAAAAAATCAAAAAATCACTGAAATTGTCAAAAATTGATACTCATGACTGCATTGTAATCAAGCCGATTGGAAATATAAATATGTGTATGATTTTGTTAATACAAGCATAAGCTAGAATGAATATGTCTAAGATGAAGAATTAAAGATTAGCAGGGAAAACCAATGTGCTTCAATATAAGGTAATATTTATTTTTGTTATAGGAAATAAGGTTTTCTTTTTATTGTTATTATTATTTTAAAAGCCAGAATTCTGCAATGCTGCTATTTAAACTATTTCGGTATTTATTTAATACAGTCTTATTGTGGGTCTGTTGCATCATTATGCGTACAAAAATGTGAAAGATTTAGAATATGCCTTTTCTGAAAGAAGACACTTGCTGGGAGAGTAAAATGTATGCTTGAACAGCAGTTGCACGTGGCTTGGCTCGCTTTTATTGGAGGGATGAAACTGGATTGTTCCTGCTTTCTCTGCCAAGCAGGGCAGCAAGTTTACAACTTTACTATATGTGAATGAATCACAAAATGTTAAGCTTGGGTCTTTGGCCAGATGTGTTGACTTAATGTCCTTCTGGGTTCATCCCAGTCCTGGCTACTTATGATTCATCCATGGCAATAAAATGATGGAGAATGCAGGGATAGGGGGTTTTAACATCATTTAAACTGACATTACCAAAAATCTTCCATTATCGCTGGCTTATTTCCTAGGCATTCTCATAGCCTCGCAAATACAAAGTTGTGCACGCTACAAATTTTAATCTGCAATGTCAAACATGAACAGGGGAGAAAAACTGCTTTTAAATACACAATTGCAACAATGTGGTTTTTCAAACATCAGTCATGGAGACAAAATGATCTGTAAATGATGAAATTATAATATTTATTAGGTATAATTTATTTGTGTCTAGGCTACATAAGTATCAATGAGCTGTCCCGTCGGAGTCAGTAAATCTGTCAGAAGCAGTAATGGTTATGAATGATATTATTAATCTCTCTACATTTTATGGCCTGCAGTTCCCACTTATCTCTGCAATTCTATAAGGTAGCATATGTTTATTTTCAAACACATCAGTTTCCCTCACTGAAGGCTTAAAAAAATAAAATAAAAACAATTCAGACGAAAAGGTATTGGTTATCTACGCTCTTTTCCTCTGCCACATTGCCTTTTGCCAGTCTGTCAAATTGAGTATCGTTTTTCAAAACACCACCTGACCACCAGCTCTGACCTCGATTAGATTACTTACACACCGTTACCGCTAAGCTTTAAAGTAATGCTGTCCAGTGCTGCTGCATTTACTCTCAGAGCTTCATGAAAAATACCGTTTCCGGGATGCCTTCAGTACCTGGAGCCTTAAGAGGTGTACCTTATGGGAATTACATTTGTCATATGTTTCAAGGAGGTATGTTCTAGATTGCTTAGAAAACTACAGCTCTCTTTGTGCAAATACATTAGGCAGCTGCATGTAGAAAGCTTGTACTTAAAAGACAGACACGTACAGATATTTATAGCCTGGGCCTGTTCTTGTTTTCATGGTTATATTTAACCCTCACATTTCGTGCTATTTTGTACGTTAATGCATCTCTTGTTTGCAGCATCACAGGTAAGGCAATATTTGCTCCTTTGAGCTTCATGGCTTAAGAGTATAAAGAGAGCCAAACCCCAGTTATGGAAAATGGAAGGTGATATCAATTAATCACAGAACTGGCACAGTTCTGCTTAATGTAACTGGAGCCCCTGCTCCAACTGCTATATATCACAATAAGAATTACATGGATTTACTGAGTGCACCTATTTATTCAGAAGTAAGTCACACTGTGCTCAGTGGGATTTGACTGCTAGATGTGCATGTAGGGCCATCTTTAGCATATGCGTCGCCGGGGTGCAAAGAGCCGCCCAGAGCCCCCTTTTTTAGGGGGGTGAACTCAAAGTTGTTGACCTTTGTGGGGGGGTTGCTCACCTGTAACAACAGTGCAGCAGAAAAAAACTGCTTTTGTTTGATGCTATGGAGTAACAGAGCAATGGAGGAGGGGTGGAGACTTACGCTCCATTGCTTTTCACTGCCACCGATAGAGAGATAAACATTTGGCGCCCCTTGCACCCCCGGGTAAAGACAGCCCTGTATGTATGCACGAGATCACAACAGAAGTATGGTTGTTCTCTATCTCTCTCTCCTTTCTTATTGACTCCAAATGGGCCGTGAAGGAACAGAAGTCTGGTCATCAGTTTCTGATTGATGAGTCTTGCAAAGTGTTTCAAATGGCTCTCTACTGGGGTCTTGCAATAGGTTTTGCGAGACATGACAATTGGCTGATGGTCAGGTTGTGCAGAGTGCTTTGAAAAGTGCTTTTTGTGCAGCCCACATGGCTTGATTTCATTATGTTGTCAGGCAATCGACAGGCGGGTGGCCCCACCTACTTGTTAAATTTGGCCTGCAGGAGGTGGGGGAGATAACGACCTAATGCTCGGTTCAGACACTGTTCCCTGCTCCATGTTAAAGCAAAATAATTTGCATTGGGCCACTGATGATGGTGAGTGGAGGAACACATATATGATGATATCAGAGCATGGTCATCATCATCTTCATCTTCATCATCTATATACTACCTATCCAAGGTTTCTGGGCAGAAAGTGATCCTGCATGTTGTAGCAAAGGAGAGAACTTGAGGATGCCATTTTCCCTCAAGAAATGCCCAAATAACATTCCTCTATAAAAAGGGGCATAATTGTACTTAAAGGTAAAGGGACCCCCGACCATTAGGTCCAGTCGTGACCGACTCTGGGGTTGCGGTGCGCATCTCGCTTTATTGGCCGAGGGAGCAGTGCATGGAAACGCTGTTTACCTTCCTGCCAGAGCCGTACCTATTTATCTACTTGCACTTTGATGTGCTTTCAAACTGCTAGGTTGGCAGGAGCAGGGATCTCTGTTCTATAGACTTATCTTTCAGTGTTCTTATTTTAGGCTCATGGGCAGACAGATCTCCCCTTCACGAAGCCGCCTTTCAAGGGCGCCTCCTCTCATTGAAAACCTTGATAGCACAGGTAAGAAACCCTAATATACCATACTTCCCTGATTTTACAATGCAATCCTACATGTCTACTGAGCAGCAATGAGACTTGCCCTCAGGTTAAATGTGTATAGGATTGCACCCCAAACATTCTATTCACAACAATGCATACAGACTACACAAATAAATTCAGTGTTGAGTGTGCAAATTCAAAACTGAACTGAGCAGAGCTTGCAAAGATTGCATGAAAGGGAATAAACTTAGGGCCAATGACTGCAGGTTGCCCAGGGTGTTTTCACCAAGATTTAGAAACAAAAATCCCCCTCCTTTTCCAGATCTGTTTATTGTAGTGGTGAAAGTGTCAATTTTTTGGAACGACACAAGAGAGGGATAAGTTCTAGACTGCAGCTTGAAGTGTTGGCGTAGCAGAAGTCCAAAACGATGAATTCTTTAGAAGCAGCCGCGTTCAGTGGCGTAGCGTGGGTTGTCAGCACCCGGGGCAAGGCAAGTAATTTGTGCTCCCTAACCCGTGGATTTGCGCCCCCTAACCCTAACCCCCAGATGTTGCGCCCGGTGCGGCCAGCCCCCCCTGCACCCCCCACGCTACGCCACTGGCCACGTTCATAGTTCTTTTTCTCCCAATGCATTTTTCTTCACAAACTTTGCTCATGCTCACACCAGTTCAGCATCCATAAGGAGGCAATGGGTGATTTATTAATCAATTTCTTACCATATTCTCTACTTACCGGTCTTCACACTGATTCCCCATAAAATTCTGTTTCCAGGGGAACTGGGCACATCAATTAGTTCATATTGTGGAGAAGGCTCTATTGCTGAGTAATGTTGCTGTGTTAAGAGTTTTTAAAAATTATTTTTAAAATTGCATTTTTATTTCACCTTTCCTTGAAGTAATGCAGAGTGGTATACATGTTCCCTCTATTTTATTCTCACAAGAGCCCCATGAAGTAGGTAAGTAGCAGGCCGATATTTTATACCTCTTGCATCCAATCTCTCTTCAGTTAGAGAAATTGGATTGCTTAAACTATGCTTGTTATGGGAGAACTCTTGCAGATTAAATTTTGCTGAACCACAAATCTAACCACTGGAAAAGGGTGTTTTAATTCAAGCCAATATTAAATCTGTGTAGCTATACATTATTATTATTTTGGAACTGTTTATTATCCATACCTTTTGTTCTCAACTGTAGGGGTTCAACGTGAACATTGTTACAATAGACCATGTTACTGCTCTTCACGAGGCTTGCTTGGGTGGCCATGTTGCTTGTGCAAAAGTGTTACTGGAACATGGTGCTCGGGTGAGTACTACCATGACTTCCTGGTTAAACTAGGCTTTATTTCAACAGGGTCAAAGCCCCAGTTTGGCACACCCTCCACGTGCATTTGTGTATGCACACAGAGGCTGGGAGCTTCAATGGTTGCCCCTCTGGAGGATTCACCCAGGGCAAAAAACCTTGCTAGCCCCCCGTAGCTATGCCTCTGCTTTCCTGTACAGTGGTACCTCGGGTTACAGATGCTTCAGGTTACAGACTCCGCTAACCCAGAAATAGTACCTCAGGTTAAGAACTTTGCCTCAGGATGAGAACAGAAATCGTACTGTGGTGCTGCGGCGGCAGCAGAAGGCTCCATTGGCTAAAGTGGTGTTTCAGGTTAAGAACAGTTTCAGGTTAAGAACGGACCTCCAGAACGAATTAAGTTCTTAACCTGAGGTACCACTGTATGAGAGATGCTGCTTCAAAATGGGATCTAACAGGGGAACTGTGTGCATTTTGTATTATTGGGAATGTCCAAGAAGATAATCAAAATGGAAAAGTTAAAAGTAGGCACAAATACCATAAAAAAAAATCACTAACAGGAAGTGCTTGACTCTCCAACTGCATCCACCCACACCCTCAGTCTTGTCTTTGTTCTGTGTTGCAGGTGAATGCAGTCACTTTAGATGGGATCACACCTCTGTTTAATGCTTGCCGTTGTGGCAGTGCTCCTACCGTCGATATGCTGCTTGAATTTGGTGCCCGGCCGCAACTGGAGAATCATTTTGCTTCCCCAATTCATGAAGCTGTCAAGAGAGGTAACAGTAGTGGTTTTGGACAATTTTAACTAGATACAAGAATGTCAGATGCTCTGCAGAGCTTGTCGGTCCCAAGTGAGATTCCAATTGACTGCCTAACAAGGTGGGTCCAGCCCATTCCCCCTGCCCTCCCAATTCTGGGCCACTGTCGATGAGCACAGCAGGTAGAAAGCCATAAACAGTTATCAGAGGCATTAAGCTTCATTGGTGATGCAGGGAGACTCAGGGTCACTAGAGGCTGCCTCACCAACCTCAGTCTTCAACCAGCCCAGGCGTGGATCCTGCCTGTCAGCTTCTTCATCTTCCACCTAAGTCACAGTGTTAACCATTGTAGAACTCAGCAAGGAAGAGGATGGGAACAAAACCTTTCTAAATAAGTAAATAGAAACAAGGTGTGTGTGGAATTTGGGCAGGAAATTGGTGGGCAAACAGTGATTGTGTGACAAAGAAATACAATACATAAACAAAGGGAAGGGAAGCAGCTGGAGGAAATTTTGAGTAGAAAAATGGCTGTGGGGGAAGGGTTAAGCAGTCCATCCCACATCATTCTTCAGAGGCAGGATTCAGGTCAATGGGGTTTAGGAGTGTCTAGTTAGAGAGCATTTAGAGGGTTTCTAGGGATGTGGGTGGCGCTGTGAGTTAAACCACAGAGCCTAGGACTTGCCAATCAGAAGGTCGGCGGTTCGAATCCCTGCGACGGGGTGAGCTCCCATTGCTCAGTCCCTGCTCCTGCCAACCTAGCAGTTTGAAAGCACGTCCAAGTGCAAGTAGATAAATAGTTACTGCTCCAGTGGGAAGGTAAATGGCGTTTCCGTGCGCTGCTCTGGTTCACCAGAAGCGGCTTAGTCATGCTGGCCACATGACAAGGAAGCTGTACGCCGGCTCCCTCGGCCAATAAAGCGAGATGAGCGCTGCAACCCCAGAGTCGGCCATAACTGGACCTAATGGCCAGGGGTCCCTTTACCTTTAGGCCACTTGCTGCTCTATAGTTCAACAAGGTTTTCTCCTCTGTGTTTACATAGGCCACAGGGAATGTATGGAAATTCTTTTAGCCAATGGTGTTGATGTGGACCAAGAAAACCCACAGCATGGAACAGTACTGTATGTGGCCTGCGTGAATCAAAGGACAGACTGTGTCAAGAAACTTTTAGAACTAGGTACTCTGGCATGTGTTGGGTTTTCTTGGATGGGATTGGTGGGCTGCTGCATTCCTCAACATGCCAACACTATTTCAGGAACACACCCCGTCGTAAGATGGAGCAAGGCTTTCAGAGCAGCTGTCCCTGTTCTGTGGAACAGCACCTCTGTTGAGATATGGCAGCTGTCCAGTATTTGTAATTTCCAGAAACCATTGAAGACATTTTTGTTTCAACAAGCTTTTCCAGCTGGGTGTAAAGGTGTTTATTTTGTATTGTTTTTAAGTCCATCTTATTTTGTTTTTTTTTTTCTATTAAAACAAACTGTTTTAGTTGTTTTTACTGTATCTTTGTAAATAGTGTTGAAACTCAAAAAATAAAAATAAAAAATACTCCAAATGGTTGACAGGGAGATATAAATGCAAGTCTGGAACATTCTGTGTGGACCTTGGCTAGTTCCTAAGCTTCCGTTTCCTAGAAGCAAGCAGAACATGTAGCCCAGCCAAGTCTCTAATACAGATGCTGAGGGAAGTTTGTTGTCGTGCTACATCTCCGAGCCTAGGGAGACTGCAAGAAATCAACAGCCCTGGTGCCTGGGAGGGACAGGCATCACTGGCATGCTCCCTCATCTCCCTAAATAATATTTATACTCCAAGCCTTGAGAATTGTCCTTGCCTGAAGGAAAAGGAGGACTGGTGTCAGCATACCCCACTTTTGGAGGCTGGAGCTAGTATTGGTTCCAAGGGCTAAGATTTTTATGATTTATTATGATTATTATTATTAAAGTCATTTTGCAAGTAATTTTCCTTAATGTAATGCATTTTGGTATGTTATTTCCATTAATAAATGCATTTTGGTATGTTATTTCCATTAATAAATGCATTTCTATGCACATTTTACCCTAGTAAATGCATTTTGTGCACATTACTTGTCTGGAGAACTGCACAGCAAAATTCCAAGAAGTCTGAATTTCAAAGGATAGTCGCGTTTCAGTTCACATATTGTTTCAGAAAGTGAGTTAAGTAAGTTTGCCTTGGAATGCAGACTCCATCCCTACTTCTCTTATCTGTTCCTCAGTTCCCTGGGAGGTGGGGTGGGGAACAAACCTAGCTGCTGACATAGAAATAGTTTTTAGAGAAGTAATTTATTCCAGTGTTAAGAAAAAGTATTAAAGGAGGAAATAAAAATTCACATTGCTGTCTTCTTGTCTTCTTGTCTTCTTTCCATGTAATGCTAACTGGTTTGTTTTCCTTTCCATACATTCTCTCCAAGGAACTAGTGTCAACCTGGGTAAGGGACTGGACACACCACTTCATGCAGCCGCTAGAAAATCCAGTGCAGAAATTGTCAACTTGTTAACAGACTACGGGGCCAGCTTGAAATGTAGAAATTCTGAATTAAAATGTGCTCTTGATCTTGCTGCACCTAATAGCTCTGTTGAACGGGCACTGTTGCTTCGGGAAGGTAATGGCCTAGACATTTGTCACCGTCATGCTTCTTGCAAATTGTCAGGTCTTATTGTTGTCCACAGAGGTTCTTAGGGGTTAACTGGTTACAGGGATGTCCTTGAATGACTTTAAGAGAATTTGAGCCAATTAGATCATGGCTATACAAATGAAATATATGGAGATGGGGAAAGGAAGTGATCTGCTTTGCCTGTGCATAAAAATCTGGGAATTCCTATGCCTGTAATATTTCAGAACTTTGGGGGCTTTCATTAAATTGTAAAGCAAAAATGGAAATGGGAAGCCACAAGACAAGAGTGTAGCATTTATCTCCATATACAGAATAGTGAAAATTTTATTAAATTACTTTGGTTTAACTAAAGCCCAGGTTCTGTATCATTGTGCTTCAAAAATTATTTAGTGAGCTAAATATAGTGTAATCTAGGTTCCCAATTATTCCCATGGAAGCTAAAATCTAAATTTGAATTGATGATGCTTTTTCTATCTAGCTTTTTACCTGGATTTGCCTACTCTTGATTCACAGTCTCCTTATAGACTAGATTTCTGCCCACTGATATATGCTGTACTTATCTCTGAGTTGACATTATTGAATTCATACTACTGTTCTTTTTTCTCTCTTCCACCAGGCCCTCCTAGGCTGGCCCAACTGTGCCGATTGTGTATCCGAAAATGCTTGGGCCGATCATGCCTTTATTTAGTCCACAAACTACACTTACCTGAACGACTTGAAGATTTTCTTTTGTTCCGATAACCTTACAGTTCTTTGTAGGCTAATAGAATCAACAAAAAAGATTGTTTACTCTTAATATAATAAAAACCAGGGTGAAAATTAACAAAGGCACATGGGGCTTAAAACCATAATATAGCAATCTTGAAAAGAGCATCTGTGCATTATTTTCTGTGCAAAGCTTGTTCTGGAGGTTGAAAGTTTGCTTTTCAAATGTTTAGCCAAAATGAAGCAGTTTCTATGTAATCACAGCAAAATGGGCTCTAGGGTTCTTCTCATACCTTCCCCATGGTTTATTGTACCTCTTTGTATTAGAGCACTACATCTGCAGCATATCCATAGTCTTACATTTTAACTGGTGTAAGATGTTCAGTAAGTCCATTAAAGGTTTTTCATTTTCATTTTAATTAAACACATCTAAACTTATCTGCAAGTTACTTTTTTCTTTGTTCTTTGATAAGCAGAGCGTATAATTCAATTGCCATGTCCTTTTTAAAGGCCATTTAAATTCAGAACAGGATTAGCCAACGCCTAGAAGATGAAAATACACCTGGTCATACTTTCTCATCTGCTCTAAAAGAGGAGGAAGAGGATCCATTAATGTTGGCGTTATCACGCGCACATACAGTATGAAGCAGAACAAATGGATTCACAGGAAATGGTTGATTGCTTAGTTTCTGAAAAGATAAATGACACTGAATCAGTAACATCTAGTCCATTATAGAAAACAGTTATCTTTCTGCCTGTGAAAATTACCTGTAACTTTTGCCATTAATAGCTAACTCTACTTAAATGCACACAGGAGGACTCTCTGGGACTAGGTGAACGTTTTGAATCTTGGTGGATCTATTTCAGAAACAGTTTTGCTAGGGTTGACATACTCCAAAAAGTAGAAACCAGGACTCCTAAGTTGTTGAGCTTTTTTTAGACAAACCCCTAAGTTTTTATTTTTTGGGTTTTTTTTTACAAAAACACAAATAAAAATGTGATTTTTCAATTAACTTGCTTAAGATCCAGGACAAAGCGTCACCTTTCGGTGATTCCCCCTGGATGTCAATTCCGTCTTGGAAATCCCAGACATATGGCTGCCCTAGTTTTGCTCTCTCTTCCACAAAACCAGTTTGTTTTGTCAAATATTAAACTTTTTGCCAATTCACGTTCACTATTCTATATTAACATTCTATATCCTTCTATGCTTTTACATGTATTCTATTCTTCTTTTCCCTGTGATACCTGAGTGCCAAACAATCTCTCTATTATTTAGGCAGAGTGCACAATAATTCAGGTTTCCTGCTGCATTGCTCAGAGCCAGATATGTGACAAGGTGACTTGTCTGAGACATAAGAAAAAGGCCCATCTAGTCTAGCATCCTCTTCTCACAGTGGATAAACAGATGCCTGTGGGAAATATACAAGCGTCCTGTAGCAGTAGGTTCCATAACGTAACTAAATTTTAATTGTGCTTAACGTTTCAGCATTCTAGTTCATTGGAGGTCCACAAGTTCTAGCATGGGGTGGGGGCATTTCTCTGTCCACTTCCTCCACGCCGTCCATAATTTTATAATGTCTGTTACGTCACTTCTTACTCATCCTTTCTCCAAACGACAAAGTCCCAAATGCTGCAACCTTTCCTCACGGAGCAGTTGATATAATAAGTAAAACAGTGACTATCAATGTCTTCACTGTCCAAGCGATCTCTTCTGTGTCATCATCATCATCATCATCATCATCATCATAATTTATTTATACCCCGCCCATCTGGCTGGGTTTCCCCAGCCACTCTGGGCGGCTTCCAACCGAATATTAAAAACAATACAGCATCAGACATTAAAAACTTCCCTAAACAGGGCCGCCTTCAGTTGTCTTTTAAAAGTAAAATAGTTGTTTATTGCCTTGACATCTGCTGGGAGGGCGTTCCACAAGGCAGGCGCCACTACCAAGAAAGGCCTTTGCCTGGTTCCCTGTAACCTCACTTCTCACAGGGAGGGAACCGCCAGAAGGCCCTCGGCGCTGGACCTCAGTGTCAAAACAATAAGCAGGATGCTGCAGGGGGAAATTGAAGAAAGTGCTGTGCTTGCAAGCACCCTATGGGTATCTGGTTGGCACCTGTGAGAATACGATGCTGGACAAGACGGGCCTTGGGTCTGATTCAGCAGAGCATCTTTTATGTTCTTAGCTGCCAGAAATGGCAAGAAATCTTCAAAGACAGAGAGTCCTAATAGCCAGGGCTGAGTTTCTGAATGTTTCCAGTAGCAGGCCTTGAGCCTGGAATACATGAAGTAGTAATAGAAGAAGAAAATGCTTCTAAATATGTGTATAGCAGCTTTCCAATATTATCTCTCCTATCCCCAAACATTTGTCAGTAAGCTGGATATGTGACCATTTACCAAACGGTAGCACAGTGTGCATGTTTAGTAAGCCTGTGTTACCCTGCCAGGTTGTAAAAACAATTTTACCCTACATCAAGTTCAGGAGTGTAACAAAGGGGTCATCTGTGACGTCCTATAAAATGCCTGACACATACCAGTGTCACTTTTAAAACAAACAAACAAACAAACAATAACCTATTTTTTATTTTTTAAAAAATCAGTATTTATATTTTCTATAACTTAAATTATTCAGACTAGCACACATAAAAAATGGTCACTGAACAACACCAAACTAGTCTAAAGGTTTTCCAATTAAGCAACAGTGAATATCTCTCTGTCTAAAGTTTTCAAAAGGGTTAGGTGTGTTCCACTGTTTGACATTTTTGAAACAACTTCTAAATGTTTTGACAGCTTTATTTATAGAGCTACAGTACCTGGATCTTACACACTTTTTGGAAGGAACCAAAAGTTGGGATTTGGTATGCATACAGATGATTACAAGAGTTTGAAAACAGGGCACTGTTCTACCAGAAATGTGTGTCGGCTGGTGCTGCAAAAAGCATAATGAATTCATGAGTCTTAAAGATGCTTTGGACATCAAATCTGAGGTTCTTAGGCAAAAGGAAGCAAAGGTATGAGAGGCATCTGAAAGCCCAGCTCCTTCCAACAGCCTGTGTCTCTGCCAGCTCTACTCCTTTGTCTCAGAACTGGGAGGGAGGGAAGATTGCAGGATCATGTGGTTGCTAAGTTAAAGGCCTTGCTTCTCTTGGCCCCACCCCAGCCAGCCATGCCCAGCAGGTAGGCTCCTTCAGAGAAGACCTATATCTCAAGAAATCCCCTGGGATCTTACCTACTCATACTAGATCCCCGATGCACTTCTTTTCAGCACGCTAGCAGCAACGAGACTGGGAAGAGCAACAAAAGGAGACATGAAGAATATTGCTGACAAGTGCCTGGCGTGATCTTCTTCCTGCCTTCTTTCCCTGCCCCCTCCCTGCCTCCTTGGAGCTGGAAAGGAAGTGTCTGGGGGACCTAGTGTGAGGAGGTAAGATCCCATGAGCTTTATTAAAATCTAAAGCCTTTATCTTCCCCTTTCAAAGGTGAGCCACCATCCCACCACAGGCTTGAGACCACCTATTCCATTAGTCTGTTATCTAGTCATGACCTTGCTTTTTCAGAAGTGGGGTTTCTGCCCATGTTACTTTCTTATGTAATATCAACCTGAAAGGAAGTCCCCCCCCCATGACTAATTCATTCATTGGTTTATGATCCATAGTAAAGGCCATTTGGTCAAGGAACTGAATTTCAGGTTGAAGCCGTTTCCTGGCACCCTTTCTACGAATGAGTAAGCACCTTATGCTGAGCTTAGTCTAAAATGCTGGGACATGTTTACACTTGGGTGCTCTTAATTTTTATTTAGGGGGTGTCACCACCTTGACACTGGGTGGCATCCCTCACTAAATCCCATTTGAGTGCATCTGTGTATATTTGTTTACAAATGGTGCTTTAAATGGTTTATGTTAAAACAAGGGCGTTTGGTGAAACTTCCTAAAAACAAGATTGAAACAAAATGATACGGCTCAAATAAAACGGAGTGGTGTACAAAACAGAGAATGAAAAAGTCACAAGAATCTGAATCAGTGGAAGCTTGGGGCAACCGTTGGTGTTTAAGAGGAGTTTAGAATATATCATTGTCTCTGCCTCGTGAATTGTCTGGTGTGGGTGCTGTCCCTGAGAAGACTCTGTCCCACGTTGTCACCAAATGACGATCTGCTGGTTTGGGACAATGTGTTGCTTTGGGGTCCCTGCACTATAAAGGCCCCTCCCTCCACATGCCTGTAATCCTCTTCACATGTTCTGTGCAAGTACACTAAGTAGAAATTGAAGGAGGAAGGGGATCGCAATTGCAAACCTTCCCCTGACAAATATATGCTCAGTTGAATGTGGGGAGTGACACTAAAAGAAACCATCACATCGCCCAATTATGTGGCCAGAACCGACCCAGCCAGATGGGTGGGGTATAAATAAATAAATAATAATTATTATTATTATTATTCCAGTCAGTCAGCCATGCCTGTACCCAGGATACTCCATTACCCTCCTCATCCATTTTGCCACCATTCTGACAGCTGGTTTGCATTCCATGACAACTGAGCAGGCTCATTAGGCTGTCTTTTGACTCCCCTCCTTTTCAGGGTTCCCTTCCCAGATATTTTCTATTTCTACAAACTTAAGGGCTCCACCAGGCGGTTGATAGTTTCATCTTGTGTATGAGTGGTCCATTTTGCATACATAAGCGCTGGCACTTTACACCTGCACATCAGAATCAGAAGGTATAATGTTCAGAAGCAAAACCTGAATTGTGGGAAATTGCAGCTGCCTTTGATTTGCAGTTTTTTATAGCGAAAAACAGGCACTGTTGAAAAGACTGGATAGCTTTACCCTGAGCATAATGAAAGCAGACATAATGCAACTGTTCCTACATTGCTCTGCCAATTCTCATCATTCAATCCTGATGTATAGCCCCTTCTCCCATTTTAAGTTTACTGTCAGTTATGTGAAACGCGGTCAAAGACCAGACTGTCAGACATATCAATGTGTAGGATTAAGGCTGATGTTTTACTCTGGAGGCTAAGAGCTATTCCAACAAATGGAATAATGGCATGAGCTACCTGTGCTACTCAGTCCGTTCACATTTTCCGAAAAGAGCTGTTGTGATAGGCTGTGCTTAGTTCCTAAATGAGAAGAGCACTGAGTCACGATTTCTGATGCCCTTCCAGGTGTGTGGAAGCTTGAACGGGAAATATATTCTTAAATATTTCAGAGTTGCGGGTTGGGAATAAATACTTTTATTTGTATACATCATTTAATGTACTTTACAATTTAATTAAATTAAGGGACGTGGGTGGCATGTAGTCTAATCCACAGAGCCTCTAGGGCTTGCTGATCGGAAAGTAGGTGGTTCGAATCCCCACAGTATACCGTAGTGAGCTTCCGTTGCTCCGCCCCAGCTCCTGCCAACCTAGCAGTTTGAAAACACACCAGTGCAAGTAGATAAATAGGTACCGCTGTGGCGTGAAGGTAAACGGCGTTTCTGTGTGCTCTGGCTTCCGTCACGGTGTCCCATTGAGCCAGTAGCGGTTTGGTCATGCTGGCCACATGACCCAGAAAGCTGTTTGTGGACAAACGCCGACTCCCTTGGCCTGAAAGCGAGATGAGCGCCACACACCATAGTCACCTTTGACTGGACTTAACCATCCAGGGGTCCTTTACCTTTTTACCTTACGTTTAAATTAACTGATGATGCTACAGTGTGTTTGGATAACTAATTTTCCCCCTTGAATTCTACCTTTTAATTGTCTCATTATTTATCCACAACACAAAGCCCTGTTTTGTTTTTTTTAATCATGGTTTCTTCAACACACTAGGAACCATTCCACAAATGAGGAAACAAACCACAACTTATTTCACTGCCCGCCCTACTAGGGTACTGATTGGCCCATTTGAAATTAGAAGTTTGGCGGGTAATCCCCCCCCCACTTGTCCAGCCGTGGCTATTACTGACATCAGCCGGCCCCACAGGTGATCCTCACCCCACCCACCCCAGCTCTCCGCCAACCCCAATCTGAATCGCCACTGCCCACATAGGGTAAGTGGTTTTATCTGTACTTTAATAATAGTAGTAATAATAACAAACTGCCAAAAGAAGAACACAGGATCCTCATACATTGCAGTCACCGCTGTCTTATAATATGCCAGTCTCCTCCTTTTCCCCTTGCTCAGTGAGCCTTAGAGAGGCTCATGAGTGGTCGTTGCTCCTCTCTGTTTTCATTTAATTATAGTTGGGGAGTTGCCAGCCATTTTTCCTTGAAGGGCCACTAAGTTAATAAGTTTCTATTCAGGTAAAAAAAAAAAAGCAAACTACCAAGTGTAATATTAAGTCCCTAAACAGAAACGGATAGGTGGGGGTGGGGGTGAATAGAACAGTGTTGGTTTGAATGGGGTTTTGCTTTGTTTACCCTTCATCATGTGTCGTCTTGAGTTCATCTGTGGTCAAGATATTAAAATGAAATAAAGAAGCTCTGCCTAACACTGTGCTTTTTCATGCCATAGGGAGTATAAAGGAGCAGTTGGAAACAGCTCTCCAAACATGTGGTTTTAATATTCTTGTGGTATGTGGTGCAAAAACTTCTGTGCAGAAAGGATTCAGCTTGCCATTTCTGCGTGTAGTCATGCTTTTTTTGAATGTTTGTGATGGTATGTCTAAAAACAAATTAATTTGTGCCTTGTGATAAAGGCATTGCAGACAGCGCTAACCCCCCCCCCCTTTCTCTCTTTCTCTGTTATAAATCCCCTGAAGGCACAGTTTGCTGAGCTAGTAAAACTGGCTCTTTCTGTCTTGTTTTTTTGGCAGCTGAGAAGTTCCTTTCTTATAAAAACAGAAGGCAAACTTGCTGATTGGACATGGTCCTGGAAAGGATATGACATCAGCCACATCCCTCACTTTGTTCTCTGTGCCCGAAATCTTCATGTACTTTTTAACCCAGTCAATGAAGAGGTGTTCTGTTAAGCTGGAGGGCCCAGGTATTTGGGTTCCTGTAAACTTGATGCTAGCACTGAAGCCTTGGTCTTCTGCAAAATGTTCTTCACTTGCACACACACTGCTTAATAAATGACTCATAGAACTTGGGATATTTTTTTAACAGGCGAGATGGAATTTGAACTCTTCTCAGCTGTGAAGTGAAATCACAGTAGCCAGACTGTCCAGTGTCGCAATGGATGTGGAAGGGGCAAATGCGAACGCTGGCATATCCCAGAGATCAGAAAGCCAGCCTCATCCAACATACCTACCTAATCTACTGATGGGAGGTAAGTAATAATGCTGTTTTTACAAAAGGGAAGGGATTGTTTCAAAGTGGAGGTGGAAGGATCATAGCTGCTCAATGAGAGTTAATGTATAGAATTATGTCTTTAGAACATTTCTATACCACCTTTCAGAATAGTTTAGCAATGCAAATAAAAAAACAATAAAATGCAGCAAAAAGCAAATGTAAATGTGAAAAGCACCACAGTGCTTAAAATAACAGAGTGATCTATGTAATTTTAAAAGCATATGGGAGGTAGTTAAAAAGCCTAGATGAATGGAAAAGTTAAGGTGTTATCAGTCTAACTTATGACTTGTTTTGAATCATTGCCACTAGATGTGAGCAAGCATACAATAAGTTAAGATAACTGGCAAACCGCTTTCATCAGCATTTTTAAAAAAATATAGAACATTTGGCATTTGTGATAAAGAATAGTTCTTTCGCAGTTAGATGAATCGATATTTGCTCTTGTTGATTTAGAAACTGATTTAATGATACAGCATGTGAGCTGAACATGCTGCCACAATGAATGAGTGCGTATTTAAGATTAGAAGTATGCGGGTTGAAGATACATATAGACATTCGCTTTACAAACATTCCTGTTTTACCAGATCTACTTTTATGAAGATATATATATTATAATATTGTAACTGTCAGGAGTAGCTGACGGGGTGGGGCAGTGCCATGTCACTGCCTTCCCAAGAGAAGTGTTGTTGCTGCTACTACTTACTGGGACAACGTGACGCTAGGGTAGATAGAAGTGAGACTCTATAGGTGTATACGGGAGGTGTTGCGGGATTTGTTCTACCAGAGTGACTCTACAACCCTGGCTTCACCAACCCTTCCACCTGTGCCCCAAACCCATCCTGGTAAATAATAATAATAATAATAATAATAATAATAATAATAATTTATTATTTATACCCCGCCCATCTGGCTGGGCTTCCCCGGCCACTCTGGGCGGCTTCCAAAAGAATATTAAAATACTATAATACATCAAACATTAAAAGCTTCCTGAAACAGGGCTGCCTTCAGATGTCTTCTAAAAGCCTGGTAGTTGTTGTTCTCTTTGACATCTGGTGGGAGGGTGTTCCACAGGGAAGGCGCCACTACCGAGAAGGCCCTCTGCCTGGTTCCCTGTAACTTGGCTTCTCGCAGTGAGGGAACCGCCAGAAGGCCCTCAGTGCTGGACCTCAGTGTCCGGGTAGAACGATGGGGGTGGAGAAGCTCCTTCAGAGATACTGGACCAAGGCCGTTTAGGGCTTTAAAGGTCAGCACCAACACTTTGAATTGTGCTCAGAAACGTACTGGGAGCCAATGTAGGTCTTTCAAGACCGGTGTTATGTGGTCTCTGCGGCCGCTCCCAGTCACCAGTCTAGCTGCCGCGTTCTGGATTAGTTGTAGTTTCCGGGTCACCTTCAAAGGTAGCCCCACGTAGAGCGCATTGCAGTAATCCAAGCAGGAGATAACCAGAGTATGCACCACTCTGGCGAGGCAGTCCGCAGGCAGATAGGGTCTCAGCCTGCGTACCAGATGGAGCTGGTAAACAGCTGCCCTGGACACAGATTTGACCTGTGCCTCCATGGACAGCTGTGAGTCCAAAATGACTCCCAGGCTGCGCACCTGGTCCTTCAGGGGCACAGTTACCCCATTCAGGACCAGGGAATCCTCCACACCTGCCCGCCTCCTGTCCCCCAAAAACAGTACTTCTGTCTTGTCAGGATTCAACCTCAATCTGTTAGCCGCCATCCAACCTCCAACCGCCTCCAGGCACTCACACAGGACCTTCACTGCCTTCACTGGTTCTGATTTGAAAGAGAGGTAGAGCTGACACTATGTGCACATAGAGTAGGGCCCACCTGCACTATAGATTTAAAGCAAGTACAGTGGTACCTTGGTTGTCAAACGGCTTGGCTCCCAAACAAATCGGGTCCCGAACGCCGCAAACCCAGAAGTGAGTGTTCCTGTTTGTGAACGTTTTTTGGAAGCTGAATGTCCGACACGGCTTCCGCGGCTTCAGATTGAGTGCAGGAAGCTCCTGCAGCCAATCGGAAGCCGCGCCGTGGTTTTCAAACTGTTCTGGTAGTTGAACGGACTCCCGGAACGCATTACGTTCGACAACCAAGGTACCACTGTAGTGGCTTCCCCCGAAGAATCCCGGGAACTATAGTTTGTTAAGAGAGTTGTTATGAGACCACCCCCATTTTCCTAGCAGAACTACAATTCCCAGAGTTTTCCGGGACCAGGAATTGACTGTTAAGCTAATCTGAGAATTGTGGATCTATGATGGGATTTGGGGTCTCCTAACAACTCTCAGCACACTTAACAAATTAAACTTTGCAGGATTCTTTGAGGGAAGCCGTGGCTGTATCAAGCAGTATGATCCTGCTTCAAATATATAGTCTAGATAGGGGCCTACTTCTGTTACCCTCAATATTCAGTTTAGGGGAGGAACGAGATCCACATTGCTTATTTAATTTCCAAGTGCCATAGCAATATACATTTCCCCCCTTTTAATTCATCTGTCATTATTTTAAGCCTGTTCTCTGAGACTTAATTTAGATATAACTTTTATTTATTACATTTGTACCCTGTCTACAAGCTCAGTTTTATTTTTTTAAATCTCAGAATAGCCATGTGAGGTAGAACAGGATGAGAAGACTGGGTACTTTGCCAAATGCCAACTAAGGAATTTCATGGCCGAGGGCAGCACTGTGCATTACAATCAGTGCAGGAAACACTGGTGTTAACATCAGCATTTCATGCAGCAAATATGCAAATTGCGGCTAGGCATGTACATGTCTCTTTAAACAACCACATGCACGTGTATGGGAAATGAGAATTCCTGGATGCACATACACAATGCTTTGTGGCATCTGCAGTATATGCATTTCTTGCAGGGCAGTCCAGTGTAACCAGGGTGTTTTCCTGGAGCAAACGTAACGGGGGAGCTTCCCTGAATGAGGATTGGAACCTGGCTATCTCACATCTTAAGGCAAACAGTTTGGCTGCTGTACCACACTGCCTGTTATGTTTATGGAGGATTGGTGTACAAATTGCAGTGGCAATCATGTTTTCCACAGTTGCACCAGAAATCCTAGAGGGAATCATAAAATGGCGTGGGAGGGTCAGAACAGCATGTGGGGGTGGCGAGGACAAGACCGTTCTGTCTGGCAGGCAGCAGTGCATCGATGGAACATTCATGCAACATTCAACTCCACCCAGTATATTCATTTCACATATTTGATCAACGAATTCAGAAAATCATACATTGCAGCCTTCTCCTGCAGGTGGAGAATTACAAGCCTGAATGCTCCCCACTCTAAAAACAAGCCATCCTTGTCCATGAAAAACTAGCATATGAAAGAGAAGAGTTATGGCCAGGCTTTCTCTCTGATGTAGAAGCTTTCTTTATGCAGGAAGTTTATGGCATAGGGTAACATTTAATCCCACCCTGCATTCTGAAATGGAAAATGTGACGCCTCCTCATACTGAGTGGGACCATTGGTCCATAGAACTCAGTACTCCAGGGGTGAGGAACCTGTCGCCTTCCAGATGTTGCTGAACTACAGCTTCCATCATCCCTGGCCATTGACTGTGCTGGCTGGGGCTGATGGGAGCTGGAGTCCAACGATATCTGGAGGGTCACAGTCTACTCTAACTAGCAGGATGTTTTCTGAGCACCTGGAAGAGGCCTGTCCCATCACTTGGCACTTGCACATTTAGCTGACATTGAATTTGGGACCTTGCAAGGCATGATGTGATCTACCACTTAGCTACAGTCTTCCTTGGGTACAGTCTCACGAGGGTTCTATCACATGATGTTCTGCAGATACAGATTGGATCATAGCTGGCTGTAACCTTGGAAAATCCTTCACGGCAGACAAGTAATTCTGTTTGCATTTTCCTTTTAGTTTCCCTGTTGATCTGATGGGGGAGGTGGTGATTTTTACATGGATAAGAGACATTGATGCTGAGTTCAGGATAACATATTATTTTTCAGGATGTTAAAAACAAACTGCTGACGTAGCTACTTAAGAAGAGGTGCCCAGGGCTTACAAAATTTAATCAACTTATTCAATTATGATTTGCAAGTGACAGCAGCAAAATAGGGAGAAGTGTCCCCCAAATTAAGCAAGTTCAGCTCCCATTTAGAAAATAAAAGTTTTGTTTCAATTATTTTGTCTGAGCTAGTGTTTCCACTGTGGTCTCATGGTTGTCATTATTACATAGGCAAACGTTATTGAAACCTTTGAACAGTTGGACTCCAAGCACAGTCTTTATGCTCTCCTGATTCTGATCAGTTGTGCAACACTGTTGATTTATCATCTACCTTGTATAGGTAATGCAACAGGTGAGCTATATCCTCATTAGAGGCAACCTACTTCTCTTTGAGGATAGGGCAGAGGATGGTGGCCTGGACCTACTGCAATGCATGAAAATAGACCGCCATCAAGTCCGACACCCATAGCATGTAATAACATAGTCCTCTGGTAACTGGCACCAGGTAATACCACCCAGGTGGCTAGATATATACCCTAAGGACTACATCAGTGGATCATCCTGTAGGTATTATATTCTAATGTTAAAGGTAAAGGGACCCCTGACCATTAGGACCATTCGTGACCGACTCTGGGGTTGCAGCGCTCATCTCGCTTTATTGGCTGAGGAAGCCGGCGTACAGCTTCCGGGTCATGTGGCCAGCATGACAATGCCGCTTCTGGCGAACCAGAGCAGCGCACGGAAACGCCGTTTACCTTCCCCCCGGAGCGGTACCTATTTATCTACTTGCACTTTTTGGGGTGCTTTTGAACTGCTAGGTTGGCAGGAGCTGGGACCGAGCAACGGGAGCTCACCCTGTCGTGGGGATTCGAACCGCGACCTTCCGATCGGCAAGTCCTAGGCTCTGTGGTTTAACCCACAGCGCCACCCGGGTCCATTATTCTAATGTTAAACCATTCATAATTTTAAAAATAACATATTCATTTGATGTTTTTCATGTCTGTGGCTAAAAGCTGGAAATTAAGATTTAGGTATGGAGCAGTAGATCAATTTATCTAAACTCCCCTCACTAATTTGTCACAGATTAAGATACATCACAATGAATTGGTGTAGTTCAAATGTGTAGAGTGCTACAGTGCAACCCTATGCATGTCCAATAGAGTTTACTCCCAGGTAAGTGTGTAGAGAATTGCAACTTTACTCTTGGAATGTTGGGATTTTGGTTCAGATTCCCCATGAACATCACTGATTACTTTGAACCAGTTACTGGCTGTGTTTACACATAATTCTAAGCCATACTTTGTTCAACAAACCATGAGTCATGTCACAAGCAAGTGAACAAGCAAGCCATGCCTTCTTTTCTCCAAATTTTGGCTTGTTTTCCAACTACTCTTGCCTTGTGCCGTTTTAGCTTTACAAGTGTCAGGGGTGAGGAGAACAGACTCACCATGGTTCAGCAAGGCTGTTGGGTTCAGATGTGACACCAAACCATAGTAAAAACAAGGCAGAGTTCATAAGTCAACAAACAGTTATGGGGTTTTTTTGGCGGAAAACAAACTGTTATTATTTTACTGGGATGGGTTTGGACATTCAAACAAACCACAGTTAGGGTAAACAAGCCATGGCTTAATATTGTATGTGAACCAGGACACTTTGCCTCAGTCTAACCTCAGAGGTTGTTGCAATGATATAAGCATAAATGTGATTGGCCTGGAAGAGTTCTTGTCAATGAGAATGAGCAGAACTGAAAGAAAAGTATGAGGGCATGGATGAGATAAAAAAATGGAAAGGAGTAAAAAATAGTTAAGGAACAAGTTATTGAGAGGGTATTTTGATACCTTTTCAGGTTTCACTGTTTTGCTGAGCTGTGTTTCCAGTGAGCCATTATTGAGGATTTATGTTTGCTTAGCAGTTTGGTTAATGATCTGTGACAAAACATGGAAGAAGGAGTCTCCTCTCACAGATAGGTACTGCAGCATCTTTATTATCAAATTGAGCAGAAAACCATACATTGCCAGCAGCTGGACCTTCTCTCATGATGACATTCTGAATGGTATATCAGTCTCTAAATCATTCCAGAATGTAGCAGTTGCTGCTGCTGTTGTTATTAAACAATCAAAGTGCATGCTGTCCTTATTCTGTGGAGTTTACCAGCTAAAATCTGACCCAGGAGAAATAACAGAGGAAGGGGAGTAAAAACAGTATAGGCAGGCATACCTGGCATAATCTGTTGTTCTGCCTACTGGGTAATGCAAACAAGGAGAGTATATCAGGGTAGTATATATATGGATACTAGCCAAGCATCATCATTGAAGAGGAAAAGAAAGGAAAAGACATGCCAATGGATGTGCTATGAGACTGACTTTTTATCTGTTTCTCTAGCATGCAACAGTTTGGTCTTCCCTCGAAGTTCATTGCCTTGAGATCAGGTTGACAGGTCGGGTAATAAAACACAATTGCTTTTGCTCACTGAAGCAAGGATGAAGTAATCACATTTAAACACATGGATATCGCTTAACCTTTAAGAATCCTTTTAGACAGTGCCGGATTTACTGAGCTACTTTCCCCAAACCAAGAGTAGATAACTTCATTTAATCACATTCTTAAGCCTTGTTTCCCCTCTTAATGCAGATTTTGTTTCTGACTGGTCTCCTTTGCACGATGCTTCCATTCATGGGCGGCTGCTTGCTCTGAAGAAACTCATCCATCAGGTACTGCACCATTAGGGAGATAAACACTGAGTTTGCCTTGCTCATTAAGCCTCTTGTTGAAGGCACACTCCATTTTATGCAGTAAGGTAGCAAAGGTTTGACATATGTGTTGACCTGAAGGAGAACCAAAATGTAATGTTTTCAGAAAATGGTAGTCTTGTGAGCTATTCAAAACCAAAACCAAAACAAAAACAAAGCACCCCAAGAGTTGAGAGTTGGAAAGGGAAGAGTTCCTTTCAGTTGTTCTTTGTAGGAAGAATGGTGATTATCCATCTCACTTTTGCATAAGTCCACTAATGACAGCGGGAGCTTTCTGGAAGCTACATGTTAATGTTGACTAAGTGGGCTGAAAAAAAAGAATCATATATAAACATGTAGTATAGCTTAAGAGGAACACTATGCATGAATCCCATTAAGAAAGTTGTATTGAAGGCAAAAGGAAGGATATCATTGAATGGACCAGACCAGTAGCAGCTGGTGAGGTGGAGCAGCATTGCTCACTTGACTTCCCATGTGGAGGTCACTGCCGATAACAGAGCAGGTGAGGCAGTGGTGACGCTGGCGTGGTGCAGATGCAGCAGCAGAGCCAGTCCAGCACTTCTCCTCCTGCAACCATGCTGACCTCTCTGCCACCTCAACACACCCTTGATTATCGGTAGCAACCTGTTTTGGGAAGCCAGGTGAGTGACACTCTGCCCCACTAGCTGGTACTGGAACAGACTGCCTTGGAAGGCGGTGGACCCTCCTTTGTTCAGATTTTTTTTTTTTAGTGGAGGCCTGAAGGCCATCTACCAGGGATGCTGTGACAATTGTTTGCTGCATTGGCAGGGAGGTGGGCTACATGGCCTTTGAGGTCACTTCCAATTCTGTGAACAGGGATGCTTCCATATGAGCACTTCTTTCTGTGTCCACTCACTTTTTTAATAGGCACCCATGTTGTTATTAACTGTTGCAGTCTAGTATTTTGTGGGTAAGCCCCCCAAGTTTTTCTACCCTCAATTTATAGTGATTATTTTGCAATAAGATGCAGTTGCAGCATCAGCTTGTCCAGGGTGAGCAGGTGAAATGCTATTACGGTATTTCGGGGCTCCAGTGCCTTTAAACTGAACACTCTGTCTTTGCAAGTTCAGTCCATTTTACTGATGAACTTTTTATTGCTTTTGATCCAGGCCTAGGGGCGAGTAGTTAATAAGCCTGCAATAGACCCTATCTAATTCCCCCGGTGTTTGTTTCGCTTTCCAGAATTGTAGCAGGGTGTGGGGCAGAGTTTTACAGTACAATTGTAACCATGTCAGAAATCAGTCCTATTGAGTGCCATGGGATTTGCTGTCAAGTTAGGATGGTAGCCTTACTTACTGATTTCTTCTCACTTCCTTTTTCTCATTTTTAAATGTTGAAACTTAATGCCATTTTACCGTTTGAAAAAGAAAAGAGAAAACAGTGAGAGGGTATCACCCCCACCACTCTGGAAAAGAAACGGACATTGCGGAAATTTACAAAGGCTATTTAGATCAGAGCCCAGATCAACAAGCTGAAACTGCAAACAGGAGGCTTGTCATTCGCATCGGGATGAACCTTCCTGAGTGGAATTTACTTGTAAATAGGCATGGCAAAAGGAACATGGGTGTGGGGAATGGCACTGCTGACTAATGCAGTAGTATATTAACAACAGCTGTGCAGAGTCTCTGAACTTTGCAATGTAGTTCTCCAACCAAAGAATGTGAATATGAATGTATTAGATGAAAGTGTTCAATTCTATATTTATAAAAGGTATCCTGTTAGGAGGAAATTGCTTACAGAAATGTATATTAGCCGACACTGCATGTAAAAATGTGTTTATTAGGATAAATTTGCATGAAAATGCTGATGGTTTTTTGTGAGAATTAAAAAATCCCACATTGCTGCAGAAATGTCGAGCACTGAATTTAAGATTTGAAAAATGGATAAAATGAGAGAACAAGCTGACAGATTTGTCCATCACTAGCTACCAGTCAGTGTCTGGAATTCTGAACTAAATGGACCAATGGTCTGAGGCAGTGTCCTACGTTCCTATGTTTTCATTTTCAGTCTTTTAATAATGGTGGATTAGCAAAAAGGTCCCTACAATTTCTAAGGAAACTGGGAATAGACAGCTAGCGAAGCCACACATCTGCATTCTGCAGATGCATCATTGTTGAAGTAAGTTTGCATATCAAGAATAACCCTTGAGTGAACCAATCATTCCTCACGTCAGTGGGACTTACGCAACTGAAACAACAATCGCTACCGTCTCTGAGACCAAGGGTGCTCCAGTGCTTAGGACTGTGATGCTGTACACAACACTTACCTCATTTAATTTAAATTAATGGGACTTGCTTCTGAGTATTAGTGAATAGACTTGCACTGCTGGCAACATAAAACATTTCAGATTCATGCAGGGATCAGCCTCTAATTATCCTTTCTTTTTATTTTAAACCAGGGAAGTAGTGTGAATCTTGTGACAGCAGATTGTGTGTCTCCTCTCCACGAAGCTTGCTTAGGGGGACATTCTGCCTGTGCCAGTGTCTTGTTAAAACACGGGGCCAATGTGAGTAACTTGAAGATGTCTGGGATTTGGGTGCATGCAGAAATAAGATGCCCTGATAGCTCAAGAAAGTGAGCCATGCCAATGATGACACACACAAACACTTGGCACTACTTTCTCATTGTCGCTGACCAATCTGTGGTTGGGAAAAAATCCTTCCCAATCACTGCCAGGACAATCTATTAAGAATAGAATAAATATTCTAGAATTGCATATGCTATGTGCAAGGTTGCTGCTGACTGATTGCAGTAATTTGTTTATAGAAAACAAGGCCAGGGGCTGGAATCTCTCTGAAAGTCATTGCCCCTGATCTTGGCTGGATGGGAACAGGGTGTGAGCAAACCACATTCTGATAATGCTCCAAACATTCTTAGGACTGTGTCTTAGCACTGAAAACAGCAAGAAGGTCTCAAATTGAAAGCTAGGTGGCATATGCTTATTTCTGGCTGACGAAAATGTCACGCTTAATGCCAACAAAATGACTTATGGTAGGGTGGTTAGTAAATATTCATTTGCATGGCTGTTTTCCCAATGCTTGTTCCACTGCTTTAGGCAACATCTACATTGCTGGCTCTTTTCCTTTCAGGTGAACATGGCTACCATTGACTGGAACACCCCTTTGTTCAATACTTGTGTCAGTGGCAGTGTAGACTGCTTGAACCTGTTACTGCAGCATGGAGCCAGCCCCCATGCCGTGTGCGATCTGGCATCACCTATCCACGAAGCTGCTAAGCGAGGTAAATGTCAGCAGATGTGCCTTTACGCCAACACAATCTTTGCATCCATTGTTTCATTTTATTTTGTTTTTTTCTTTTCTTTTTTGTTTCTTTATCCATTGTTTCATTTAAATGCATGGGCTGCATATAAACTCAAAACCTGTGATGTGTATGTATGTTTAATCAAACCACGGTTTATGCAGCAGGTTTGTTTTTACTAACCAGCATCAACCACAGTGCAGGGTTTGGGTGACACGCCTAACTGCAGTTAATCTGAAACAGAAAGTGATTCCAATCACTACCTCACAGATGCACCAAAGGAGGGAGGGGAGGGTGCAAGTCCTGGAAGAGAGTAGCCTTATTACCATAATGATAAACCATGGTTTAGTTTTATCACTGAGCACAACTTCTATCACACTGGCTTTCTAAGAGGGCTAGCCCTGTTTTCTTCGGGTGGTTAGGAAATAAGATAATGCGGGAAACAATGTTTGTTTGAATTTCATTGTGCAGAAGCAGCAACCGTCAATCCCACCAAATAGGTTCATTAAAATTTGGCAGAAAAAGAAACCTTATTGTTAGAGACAAAGAGAGTGGATGAAACTGGAAAATTTTTGAAAAGACAGCAAAGCCTTGCTGATTTCTATCATGGCTACAATGTTTTAGTCATCAGGTTGGTTTTGATACGACTTATAAACTGCCTGTAATCCTTTAAGGTCATACCAAATGTGTGGAAGCCCTTGTATCCCACGGAGTCAATATTGATCACAACATAAAGCATCTTGGTACTCCACTCTACGTCGCTTGTGAGAGCCAGCAAGAGGACTGTGTCAAAAAATTACTTGAGTCAGGTAATTTAAAAAATGTTATATCCTGCATCAGGGGTAGGCAACATGGTGGACTACAGCTCCAGTTATCCATGACCTTTGGCCACACTGGCTGGGGCTGATGGGAATTGTAGTTTAAAACATCTGGAGAGCACCATGTTGGCTACCCTTGATTTGTAAGCCAAGAGCAAACTCTCTCTTCAAAGATGGATCCTTATGAAGCCAAAATGACATCATCCACGCACAAAAGAAAGGTTATGAGCCAGCCTGAGGAGATCTGTAATAATAATAATAATAATAATAATAATAATAATAATAATATGCTGCCCATCTGACTGGGCAGCTCCCAACAAAATACTAAAAACACAATAAAACATCAACCACTAAAAACTTCCCTGAACAGGGCTGCCTTCAGGTGTCTTCTAAAAGTTAAATAGTTGTTTATTAGTTTATCTGCTTGACATCTGATGGGAGGGCGTTCCGCAGGGTGAATTCCACTATCAAGAAGGTCCTCTGCCTGGACTTCTCAGTATCTGGGTTGGATGATGAAGGTGGAGTCGCTCCTTCAGGTATACAGGTATATAATAGTTTTTAGAAAACCTAAGTAGAGGGAGGGAATTCCAAAAACAGCAAGGGAAGAATGAATCCCCACCCCCAAAAGGGAAATAACAGTGATGCAAGAATTTTGCCTGCATAATTTGTAAGGTGTTAACAGATCCCAGGGTATCTCTTTGGACAGCAGCCACTGAAATAAATAAGCTCATATTTTAACAAGTTAGATCCACCACAACAAGGTTCTCCTTACTCAGAGGGGGCCGTGGCCGATGTAAACACAAAACCACCAACGCCCCTTCTTGAACCTGTCCACCCCATCATAGCAATACAGGAAGCTCCCTTATATGAACCAGATCTTTTGTCTATCTAGCTCTATTTGTCTCAGTATAGATGGGCAGTGGTCGGGGTTTCAGTCAGATGCCTCCCAACCCGATGAGGAGATGCTGGGGACCGAACCTGGGACCTTTACCATGAGAAGCCTACTGAGCCACAGTCTCTCCTCAGATCAGGAGTACAGAGGGTATTCTTCTCCTTGCGCTGATTGCATTAAAATTGCAAATTTACTTAAGGCCACTAGGAACATACCATACCCTTATAGCAGGGGTGAGAAGCCTGCTGAACTCCAAATCCTATCAGCCCCAACCAGCATGGCCAGTGATCAGGAATAATGGAAGTTCTAGTCTAGCATCCCCCCCCCCTCTCTCTCTCTCTGTGTGTGTGTCTGTCTGTCTGTCTGTCCCCTTGTGGTGGTGGGGAGTGCACAGGTTCCTGTCTCACAGTAGAATAACAGATACAGTCAAACCTTGGTTGTCAAACGTAATCCATTCTGGAAGACCGTTTGACTTCTGAAATATTTGGCAACCGAGGCACGGCTTCTGATTGGTTGCAAGAGCTTCTTGAACTCAAGCGGAAGCCGCGCCGGACGTTTGAGTTGCCGAACTGAGAGATTCACACCTAATGAAACCAGAGTGAGTACCTCAGTTTGGCTAAACTGTAACAACTTTTGCGCAGACAGAAGTGAACTTGCCTTGCAGCTTTCTACAGTTTGCTGTGTTCTCCTGCCAACTCAAACACCTGCCTGAGACAACCTACGTGGGTTGAAATATTTGCTTGTTAGGTTAATTGTCAAGAACACTGGGACCTGTACTGTGCAAAGGCATCAATCATTCTTTGTGAACATCCCCGAATCCTTTCATGCGTGTTCAGTTTCCACGTTGCTTTGGCTGCAGGCCAAAGTCCGTGAACAGGCTTGAAGCAAGTTGAAATTTAAACTAAAAAACCCCCAACAACTAATGTGCATATATAGGAGGAGATTGTGTGAGCCTTAAACGATCCTTAAACTGACCAGAGGTAATAAAGAATATGGGGAACTGCAGCTTTTGCTAGTTTTAACTTTTTCCTTTCCTTTTCTCCCCCCAGGAGCGAGTGCAAATACTGGGAAAGGACTGAATTCCCCTCTCCACGTGGCTGCTCAGACCTCCAATGCTAACTTAGTGCATTTACTTATTGAGTTTGGAGCAGACATCGGGGCTGTGAATGCCGAGGGCAAAAAGCCAGCAGACCTGGTTCCTCCAAACAACACGCTAGTGCAGACATTGCTGCAGAGAGAAGGTGCCTATTAATCTTGGTTTCATTCAAATTCAAAGTATTTAAGGGTGCTGAATCAAGCTTTGAAAAGGACACACTCTCTTTTTCTTTCTCTCTCTCTTTCTCTCTCTCTTCTCCCACCACATTGTTAATTATACTTGTTAATCTGAGCTAAATAATAATAAAAAAACCTTGCAGATAACTCGACTTGGTTACAACAACTGATGCCACAATGTGACCCTGAAGTTATGATAGGGAGTACACATGCCGATTGCTACACATTCAAGGACATCTTTGTAGGATCCAGGTCTCAGAAGAAAGTAGAACTGTGTGTTCTTGTAACTCCAAAACCTTGGTTTTTATCCTAGTTACTCTTTGCGATTTTTGTTCAGAGACAAGTATCCACGCCCATATTTCTTGGTATGAAACAGAAATAAGTTGGGTGGGAAAGTGCTCCAAGAAGGAAAAAAAGTCTTGTAGGATGTACTGCCAATATGCATCGTCTGGTGTGACAATAACATGTGAATGCTTTGATAGCAGGTTCCCTTCTGCTATGCACTTCTTTCCAGCAAATTTATACCCATCAAAATAGACTTGATTTTCTTGTGCAGATGTGGTTCATTATTATTATTATTATTAGATACTATTTGTTGCATTGAAAGAATACAGCAGATAGTATAAAAGAAAAACAGACCAGTGGGACTGTATTGTTTCAGATCTGTAAGCAAATTTGGGGACCCTCCTTATCACACAAAATTAATATTTCCTTTTGCATATTTCCTGATGAGCATAAAACTAATTCACATTGATCCTGCTTGTTATGTTTTCCAGGATAGGAGACTGTAAGCTCAGTCTGACTCTTTATGCATATATTTATATCTACGTCTATACACATAGACACACATATTCACTTAGATCAAAATGTTATATACAGACACTAGGGGATATGCATTGTATGATATAAATCAGGCATAGGCAAACTCGGCCCTCCAGATGTTTTGGGACTACAACTCCCATAATCCCTGACCACTGGTCCTGTTAGCTAGGGATGATGGGAGTTGTAGTCCCAAAACATCTGGAGGGCCGAGTTTGCCTATGCCTGATATAAATGATGGTGGGTTGGTGTTTTTTTATAACGCTAGTGTAGATGTCATATATGAAGCCTTAGAAGGTTTGCTGTATAGGCCTGATGTACTACAGTAGATTATTCCTGCAACATAGTTGCATCTGTGTGGAATCATTTCAAGGGATAAATAAAAGATGAAATATGTATATAGCCTAACTCTTGCTATCTATGTATAGTTATTATACTATTGTGAAATGTTTTGAAGGCCTCAAGTATGAATCTCACTGAGGAAAGGCTTTTAAAAGCTCTGTTGCCATATTTAATTACCATGTTTTGTAAGAAAATACGCCGTTCATCTTGCAGTTGGCAGATAAATAATATAGCTGCTAATGAGAGCTAAATGGTGGATATGAATGACTGTGCTCAGCTCCGTTAAATCATAATGAGATGTTTGACTTCAGTGTGGCAGCTCTAACATTTCTGTTGCAACACACATCATTCATTCAAACAAACGAGCATCGTTGTTTTCCACGTATGATCTTGGATAGAGTTGGTTTTCCTCTCGGTTATCACAAACTGGCACAATAAGAAACCGGTTATTGGATGATATGACATTCCATCTAGAATTAGTGATATAATATATACTAAGCATTCTGAACATTTGAAATGGGCTGTACCAGGGCTGGATTTAGGTTTGATGAGGCCCTAAGCTACTGAAGGTAACGGGGCCCTTTATATGTCCAGCTGTCCTTTGTCAACAACGAATTGTCGCTGTTTTTTGTGTTGAATATATGCTATAGGTAATTTATAGACCTAATAGGTATCTAAAGCCATTTGCTCATGACAAAATATGCATTTTATCAAAGTAATTGTTGAACTGAAATACAGTTAAGAAGTATATTAATAGTGAAATAAAATTAAGAAGAAGTATATTAATAGTGAATTAATTGTTAAGTTCTAACTTAAAATGATTTTTTATTCACAACAAACTTAATAATGCAAACACATTGACATATATTTTGGAAATGTACGTTCAGGTTTTTTTCCTTTAAATTTTTTTGGGGCCCCCAAGAGAGTGGGGCCCTAAGCTATAGCTTGTTTAGCTTATATGTAAATCCGGCACTGGGCTGTATGTAAATAAGTATTTTGATGACTTTTTTTAAAAAAAAATCATTGGAAAATCTCTATACTGTGCTCACATCCAGATAGTATACTCTATGTAGTCCTTGAGGCTGGAAAGGCAATTTCCCCTGTTAGCACTGGATCATGGTCCCAGAGGAGAGTTTCCCCTTCTCTGCCTGCTGTTCATTTACTTGAGCGACCTAGAGATCTGTATTCTGCTTCTACTCTTGCGTAATGTTTTGCTCCCTGCTTGAAATCCATTGTGACACGGTTTGTGCCTGCAACTCTATGAGGGTTGTCAGGGCCGAGAGAGATAACTTTTTGTTCCCATCAAATTCATTTTTTGACCTTATATCAGAGGGGAGACCCCCGCAACCACTAATGTAGCTGAGGGGATAAATTTAGGTTTTTTTGCTGACAAAAGCTGCTGCCACACTGAGCATCTGCTCTGCATGATATCGTGATAATCCTTCCATTTTTCCCCCTGTTCAGCTTTGAGGTTGTTCCTCCCCCCCCCCAAAAAAAGTTCAGAAAATCTTACTCTTTTAACCCAATTAACTTCCTGTGTATTTTCCCCAGGAGATCTGTTGTTCAGTTATTCAATTGCCTTCCTGGGTGGTTTTGAGCTGTGTAGAACTTGCACTAGCAACTTCCTGTTCTATAGACTATCTCGCCTGTCTAGAAATCAGCACTATCACTCTGACCTTCTCCTTTGTATCTATTTTTCTCTTTCCCTCCACCCTGCCCTGCAGTTTCAGCAAGGGGAGAAAAGGATTGCAAATTCATTGAGGTAAAGGCAGTATTTAACTCTTTTCCACAGATAATGGTCAAGGATGAAATCTCACTACTATCACCATTTGGGGCTGGAGAAAGTAGAATGGCCCACTTAACTAAAATCAATGTTATTCCAGAAGACTGCTATTTCACTTTCATCTTAAAGCCATATGGCAATAATTGGTTGCTGCAAATTCCCCCCCCCCCCAAGATTATAGACCCAAAGATTACAGACAATCAAATCTATTTTTATATTATTCCATTGCCCATTTAGCAGTAGCCTTCGTAATACAGTCAGTTGCTTTGTTTGTCTTTGTTTCAGCCCATATTTCTCTTATGCAGTAATTTGCTTTTGACCTTGAACAATATATCTCAATTTGGAAAAAGTCAAACACAAGAATTTCTTGAAGCTTTCAGGTGCACTGTGAGAGTAGAGAACTCAAAGCTGTTTTGTTTCAGTGCAGCTGCTTCGGGTCTCAGAAAAGCTGACCTTGTGATGCAGCTGCAGACGGTGTTTTGTGGGAAAGTGTTATGAAGTCAATAATACCTTGCTTGTTTCTTTGGCCTCTTCCCCCCTCCAGGGCCCTTCTCCTTGATGCAGTTGTGCCGCCTTTGCATACGGAAGTCCTTGAGATGCAAACAGCGACAGAGAATGAGTGAACTTCTGCTACCAGATGAGCTGAAACGGTTTCTGTTGTACCTTTAAGTGTTTTGTTTTGCCTCATGGGTTATTAAAGTGTTGTTTCTTATCCAGGCATATTTGTTGTTGACAGCTGTCTGTCTCAAGAGACAATGGAGTGTGCCTCCAGGGGTGAAGTCAAACCGCTGTATTAGCAGCACCAAAGTGACCTCCCCGGGACGTAAGCCTGGGCAGTATGTGTGGAAGGCCTGGGCTGCAGAGACAACAAGACCCTCCTCTTGGCCTCTCTGGTGTGGTCCAAAGGAAAGCAGCTTGGCTGCAGGAGTTGCCAGAAAGAGGCATACAAGGCGCCAACCAACCTTAGGGACTCGACTCTGGATCTGAAAAACTGGGCAAGTGTGTATGTGTATGTGTGTGAGAGAGAAAGAGTGTGTATGTCTATCCATCTATCTATCTATCTATCTATCATCTATCATCTATGACCTCACAGTTTCTATCCTTGTCAACCTATGTACTGAACAAGTAAAAAACCCCAGACTGTAGTATTTAAAACAATTCGCTAAGCAACTGGTATTTAATAACACTGTATGGTTATTATATGAGCCAAGTGTGGGGAACCTTAGACCCAGAGACCAAATGTGGCCCAATCCAGATGTCTCGGTCTGACCCTCAGGACTCTCCCCAGGCCACAGCTCTTCCTCAGAGACACCCCTCAGTTCCCCCACAATGCATCCTCCACAAAAATTTACCCCTGGCTGGAATGTCTCCTTGAACTGTGATAAGGCATAGTGCTTGTCTGTTTTGGAGGTATTTGGTGTGTGTGTGTAAACATCTGATTTTTACATAGTTCAGATGTCACCTACTGTACAAAGGTAAGATTCTCACCTGTTGCTCCACCCACTGTTGGCCTCTGGTCATGCCCACAATCAACATATGGCCCGGGAAAGGTTGTCCACAAGGACATTTGGCTGTCAGGCTGAAAAAGGTTCTTCTTCATCCCTGAAAAGGTCTTAGTCACTCCCTCTCTAAACGAAGAGAAATTGGTCAACTGCCCCCTCTTTGAATCCAATAATGAAAGATAAATTTGCTTTGAAACTTGGAAGGAAAATGTACACATAGCAGTACATGTACCAAAATGAGCAGGCTTATTTTCATACATTGGTTCTGATCCAACTAAAGTTAACAATGGTTAAGTTCTTTTGAAGCCAATGAAGCATATTACTAGCGACAAATGCACAGTTCTGGTCTTAAACAAGCCTACTAGGGAGTAAGCCTCCTTAAACACAGTGGGTCTTACTTCCAAGTAAACATGCATAAGATTGCACTGCGCACCTCTGCTGTCAGTGGAGCTTGTACATGACTAACTCTTAACTGGATTGTGGCCACCATTTGAGGATCAGGGTGCCAGTTCCCTGAAAATTCCAGCCACCTATTTTCTCATGTAATTTTTATCTCTGACATTTTGAGAAAACAGCTCTTGCTTGTACCGTGTTTTTTTCAGGCTGGTGCACTGTGTCTTCCAGACTAGGCTACATGCATCAAACTGTCAGGGTGGTGAGTTAAACCATGTGAAAGGGTGTTGCAATTGATGTTGCCCAGTGTGGTGCAGGATGTCACTGAGCAATCTTTACCTAGGATAGTGATAAAAGGGAATTAATTTGGTAAGCAACAATTGCGCACAGCATCAATTGACTGGATCCTCTTCAGTCAGTGGGATTGCAAAGTTGTCAATGGGAAAGTTCTCCCCACGGGAAGTGCAGTGCTGTTATGAACGAGTCACAAAAATGTGAAAAGGGGTATTTTGAATATTTCAAGGCTCGCTGTTTCTCAACAAAATAGGCGCTGGCCCATTTGGAAAACAACACCTGAAATCCGTATTAGGTTTGCAGCTCTGTTAGGCCAACCAAAATGCCACGAAAAGTGGAGACAAGCTCTTGAGGTCTCCAGAACTCTTAACCAGGCTAGATTAGCCTTCTTTGACCCAGTGCCATTCAGTGGGACTGCTAAATTCTCTGATAGGTTGGAGTGCACTGCTCAAGCCTCGTTTGGGTCCATGGGAAGCCCCCCTCTCCCAGAGAGATGCCTAATCCCTTGGTCTCAGGTTTGACACCCACATTGGGCAAAATATTCCTGCAGGGGGCTGGACTACGTGACCCTTGTCCTTTCCAACTCTTCAGTTCTATGATTCTATAAGCCCTGTCTGTGGTCAGGAAGAGGAGCAATCCAATAAGCAGACCACCTGTGTCCACAAAGAAGGAAATAATAGGTAAAGGTAAGACAAAATCGCCATTTTTCTACATGCGTGGACCCACTTGCAGTATATTCAATATGACTTCAAATCGTTCTAAATAGAAATCAATTGATGTTTTGCTATTGATTTTGACACAAGCAGGCTTTGGTTCTTACTTGGGAGGCTTCTAGATGGTGCTTAGAAAAACTGGGACTTAGAGGGTATGATAAATTTGTTCTGGCACGCAGGTGAAGAACCCAGTGAACATTGAAAGAAAATGGCACAGGAATTATCTGCCGACAAAGCTCACCTAACACGAAAAGAAAAGGGTAATGCATTACCAAATGTCAACTCTTCGGTTCTGAAGAGTATGCATTACAACAATAAAATGAGTATTCCATATAAAATTATCTTTGAAAGCTTAAGTTCTGCTAACCCCCATGCAAACATGGTGAATACCTGCTTTCTGAAGTGTTTTGATACCAACAACAAAAGCTGCAGATATTGGAGCAGATTAGACTGCAGATGTTATGTATTCTTATGGAGAACTGGCTTTTCAAAAATTACAGTTGGGAAGGTCTGGACAGTTTTCATTAGTTTTAGAAATTCTGAGAGCTGGTTCACAAGCGGAGCTTGTTGGTGCATTGTCTGTGCATAAGGAGAGACTGGAGTTAAGTCTGAGCACATCACCCTGATACGTATAGAGAATAAATTTGTCACACAAGGCCCAGACATATACAACCACATGTGCATGTAACCCAGTCATGTTGTTGTTATTCACATTTATTAGACACTTATTCCATCCAATGCCTTGAAGGCCCATCAAAAGATAGCATTTAGACAGCAGACATATCTCCTGTCATAACCTCCCTCACTGAGAGGTATTGTATTTCTGCTTAATTAAATATTTCTCAGTTTGCATATCTACCTATATATTAGTAAGGGTAAATTTTATGCAAATACAAGTGGCCACACTATTCCATTGTATTGATGGCATCTATCCCATGTTCTTATTCCTTGGCAAACACCTAATGAACCTACAATATTTGGGCAATGCTTGGAAAACTCATAAAGTCTGCATTTAACTGAGCTATCCGGCTGGAAACATGAGTGAACAGAATTGGCAGCCCTGTCTCCAGTAGACTGCACAATGTTAGTTAAGATGCATGCCTCTCATTGAGTTTTATTACATATATTAAACATTTACAGCTGATTTCTCTCTCACCAAACCACCTCTATTTCCTAAACTACATTTCCCAATATAAGCACAAGATGGCACTCTCTTACTGCCTTTCATCCGGGCTCACTCCACTCGTACAGGAACATTGCGCTCAAACAAAATCCCTTCAGAAGTGATAATGTTAGCTTTTCTGCTGAAAAGAACAGCAAATGGACTTCTCAGAGTTCAGAAGTCTTAGTGGGAAAATGCCAGATGAAGTGAAGGCTCATGAAGGCTCATTTTAGTATACAGAGAGAAAACTCCTCCCAAAGTAGAAGGGTAACAATGCAATTTTGTGCACGTCTTCTCAGAAATAAGTCTCGCTTTGTTTAGTAGCACTTACTTAAGTGGGATGGCGGCCTGAACTGAATTACCTGAACTGCTTTGCTCTATTATTCAAGCAATGCACCCAGCATACGCAACATTAGAAACAAGCTGGCTTCGTTCAAAATCCACCACAGACACAGACACAGACACTCCAATTGTCTCTATTTTCTAGGGGCAGTCCCAGATTTACAGAAGCCATTCCTATTTCTGATTTGATCCTGGAATGTCCCGTTTTCCCTTAGGACATCCCTAATTTGATTGGAGAAATGTTGGAGGGTTAAGTGACCCCTGAGCCAGGGAGATACAACCTTTAGAAGACGTCTGAAGACAGTCCTGTATAGGGGATATGTTTAATATTTTATGTTTTATTCTCTTTTTATATGTTGGAAGCGTCCCAGAATGGCTAGGGCAGCCCAATCAGATGGACGAGTTGTTGTTATTGTATAGGATATCTTTATTTTCATCAGAGAAATGTTGGAGAACATGTCAACTGGATTGACAGAACTTCTCAGGGAAAGCCAGGCCCCATTCCTGCCTTGGAGATAGATAGATAGATAGATAGATAGATAAATTTATTGTCATTGTCCGTATATACACAGTATACACAACAACGAAAATCAAACACCCACTCGAAGACCGGGTTCACATACACATTTGCACGTATCTCCAACACTCTCATCCTATTCAGACATAATCTATAAAAACATATCATACTCCAGAATGTAACATAACCTATTAAAAGCATAACATAACCTAAAAACCTGTCTCATTCCTTCCTACTCCCTGCTTGCTATTCCTTGCAACTGGCCCTGAGATCATTATTTAGTGCAATCAGAGCTCTTGGATAGAAACTATTCAGAAGGCGTGTGGTTCGTGTTTTCATTGTCCTATATCTTCTGCCCGAAGGCAACAGTTCAAAGAAGTTGTGAGCAGGATGGGTGGGATCTCTCAGGATATTGTGTGACTTCTTCAAAGTGCGAGACGTGAAGATCTCATCCAGGGTTGGTAGTTGGAGCCCAATAACACTCTGGGCAATTTTAATTATTCTCTGTAAAGCTTTTTTATCCGTTTCAGAGCTGCTCCCATACCACGATAATATACTATATGTTAAGACACTCTCGATGGTACTGTGATAATAGGACAGAAGTAGGTCGGCCCTTTGGTCGGCTGCTTTCATAGCTGGCCTGCACCAACCAGGTCATCTGAGGGCCTGATGCCTTGGAACCCCCATTACCATGCCACAAGGTAAACATTGGAGCAAGTGCTACCAGGAAGGCAGTTTGCCGGTTG